TTCGAACGTTCCCGCCGGACATAACCCAGCTCCGAGCTGGTTGTGTCACCGTCAGTCACCAGCTTATGTCACCAACCGTCGCGTACCCTGAAGCATGCGCCGCAGCCAGCTGCAGCATGCTTCTGGACATCCAAAGTTACTTGGACGAATCCACGGGTACATAAGCAAAATGGCTCATCCATTTCCAACTTGACTTTCATTCAAGTTAACAAAATCGCCACCGGACACTCGTGTCCACCCAGCATCCGAGCGCCTTGAGCGTTCACCCCAGCACCCGAGTACCTCGAGTACTCACCACCAGCGCCAGCAGTACCGGCGAAGACAGGAGACAACATCAACAACAGTACGTACCAGTACGACAACACCACCGGCGTAGGAGAACGACAACATCAACGACAGCAGTACCAACACGACAGTAACTTAATCGGCCTTATAGCCTTCAGCGTTACCTTCTTGTTTCACATCACCATGTCCCACGCCTCCGGCGATGCCATCATTCAATCAGTAAGTGTCATTTGCCTGTACTTGTCTTGTGCCCATGCTTGAATGCCCTTTGGACATCCAAAGTCCCAAAGTGCGAGCCACCGCCAAACTGGGTAGTGAACCTCTCGGACGGACAATGTGGATGCTGTGGGGATTGCCTTGAATGTTAGCACAAGCCACCTCCAATGCAACTTGTTTAGAACATGCCATATACCAGCCATACTTTTCTGAGCGTCGGCTTAGGATCCATCGTGTCCTTTCAATCAATCCTTAACCAAGGGAAGGGGCCCGACCCCGATAATGAATGACTATGAATTCCATACATGCAACTCAGTTATAACCAAGCATACTACGAATTGCCCGTACCATGTATTTTTAACGCTTAGCCGATCCACATGTCTCTTCACGGCACATGACCGACGTCAATCAGACGCCGACGCTGTGTTCCGTGACACTCTCAACAAAGGGATCGATCATAGCCTGATTGTTTGTCTTCAATATGATTGCATGGTTCGTCGAACATGAATACATAGCTCGTGAATGCCATTGATTGGAATGGTCATCAAAAGCCAATTCACGATATATTGGAAGTCCAGTTCTTAGGATCTATACTTGGAGCCTGCAATCATGCAAACAACAATCCCAGATATCAATGACGCGGTATATTATCTCCTCGAGTCCATCAGGCCTTTTTTCCAATACCAAAATGATGGGTAAATCTTGCACAAAGAAATTTTAAACCTGATCGTAGGTGCTCATGGTGCAGTCCTTGTTCTGCGTTATCAGATGCTTTGAACAAATGTGGTTTTCAACCAGCTAGAGCTAGGAGTTCGGACCAATTCTCAAGTTCAAGGCGAGCTTGTAGGCTACATATGACATGTAACTAAAGTGCAGTTCCCTACATCTAGCTCGTGAAGGCTGCCCTGATGTGGAATGCAATTTTGGGCTAGTCCAAGGTCCTCAACAACATTCGTGTCTTTCTCAAAAACGGATTCCTAAAGCAATTGATTCATCTTTGGTGCAAGAAATCGCACGTGTCGCCTTTCACGCAATACCCTTTCGCAAAGTACATGCACGCCCTGTTTTGCTTTGGCCGGTGCATACTGCCGGGTGGGCCCTGGGCCCCATACGGTCTCTCTGCGCGCTCTTCATAACCATCACGGGAAGACCCTCCAGCTGGGGGCTGCCCCCTATACTGCGGTGCGACATTTCCACCAGGACCAGTCTCTAAGTTTCTCCTCGGCGCTGCGTCGAACTGACCGCGAGTCACGTCGCCACGTGGCAGCGGGTTGCCCTTCCACCTGTCGCCCTCGTCCTGCGCCCTTGCAAAGTTCGCGGGCGGGCCGCGCCCGCCATTCGCCCGACCAAAGCTGCTTTGCACGCGGTCACCTTCCGATGGACGGGGCGCATAGTCTCTACTAACGAAAGTGCTTTCGCTCGGTCCACGCACTTCTCCTTGGTAGCCTTGCACGCCTGAAGCAGTCTCGTTTGGCCGAGCCGAAGCACCATAACTAGGCTGAGGATTATTTCTTGGCCCACCCGGAGCAGGCTCCCAGCGTGACGTGCCTCCAAAGCGCGTCGCTTCAGGCCTCTCGTGGGACACGGGCGGCGTTGCGGTTCTTGCCGGCTCAGCCGGCGTTCGGCTCTGGAACGTTCCGCCGACCTGAGCGGCCGGAGCTTGAGATGGCGCAGGCTGGCTTGGTCGCCCTGCTTCGGTCGCCAAAATCGAGGTCAACAAAACGGCACTGGACTCGGGCCGGTTTTCCATCCAGACTTTGAGCTCCGACGGGAATGCGCCAGTCGCCTGCCACTTTTTCAACTGCGCGAGTGTGAACGGGCCCTGCTGGACGCCCTGCGGATCTCTGTAGTGCCACTTAGGATCCGGCGGAGGTACGTACGGCGGAACGGGAACGGCCGCCGGGGCGGGAGCCGCCGGCGGGAGCGCTGCGGGGATTGGGAGGGGCGCGATCGGGGGCGGTTGACCGGACCGGAACGGCGGACGTACCCCCGAGCGGTCTCCAAAGCCTCGATATCCAGCTGTGTCCGTGTGCAGCGGGGGCGTTCGAGTAGGCGGGGCGCCCTGCTGCTGCTGAGTCACTGCCGGCGGCGGCTCGAAGCTGCGCTGGGGCTCGAAAGTGCGCGGCGGGTCCAAAGCGCGTGGCGCGTCATACTTACCGTACTCGGGCCGGTTGCCCGACGGCCTATTGTCAAACGGCCCTGCAAAAGGCTGCCGGTTCTTGCTTGGGTCGCGCACATGCAACGCCCCTAGATCCATGGGGGGTCGGACGGGCGCTGCGAAAGTCGGCGGCGTCTGAAGCAACGGCAGGTCGCGAGCGTCTCTCACAACGCTCCTTCCGGGACCCTCCCTCGGGGGCGGCCCGCCCCGCCCCCCCCCTCCAGAAGGCGCCATGAATCCTGAACCCCGGCCCCCGTTTCCGGGAGGTCCCAAAAACCCGGGTCCAAACGGCGGCGTTCTCTCCTTCCGTTCGAACCCGTTCCCTGGGCGGTCGTTCGACGGGCCCCTCTCCCGGTCACGAGGCCTGTCCCCCCCAAACCGAGGCGAGATTCCCGGGCGTGAAGAGTCCCCCCCTCTTGGCGGAGGCTCGTCGAACCTACTGGCACGTGGCGGCCTCTCGTTGAACCGCTCCCCCCCGCCCCGCCTGTCCGGCCCCGACTCTTTCCGCCGATCATCGTCCCGGGGGGACACTATGTCCCGGTCTCTTGGGCCTCCCCGCCCTCCTTGGTACGGAGACCGCCGTCCCCGCTCCCGTTCCCTCTCCCGACTGCGTTCCCGGGATCGCTCCGGCGCCCGCTCGATCGGCCGCCGCTTGTCGAGGCCAGAATCTGCTCCCTTTCTCCGGTCATCTTTTCCCGGGGGGTCGGAACCCCGGCCAGCGGGACCCCACCGGCTGGTGCGGTCGTCACGGCGATTGCGGGGGCTCTTGACCGGGGCCGCGGTCGCCTTCTTTTGCTCGGCGGCGCGCTGCTGGGCCTCTGTGGAAGAACAAGACTTGCGTCAGAGGGTATCTTTCTGCAACGCATCCGAATGTCAGCAGGAATGTGATGGAGCACAGGCTCTCTGTATCTCATTGCCTGCCCAGCAGGGATACCACTCAGTCGATAGCCCTTCGATCTTCCTGACTACTTCCGCTTTCACTGTCCGGCCGTTTTTGGCTTCCACGTCACGCTAAGCACAGCTGTGACGACGTAATTGCAAGTCCGACAAAGCTCCGACTCCCACTGACGCCCCAGAGAAGGCGACCAACATCCAACGAAGACTCTCCAGGACAATCCGCAAAAGCTGGCGCACCTTTCTCCTTCTTCTCCCGCTCCTCCGCCTCCGGATCGTACGGCACGGCAGGGTCCATCTTGGGATCGGCCTCGATGCCGAGCGGCGCGCTCAGGCGGCCGGCACGCGTTTCTGGCCGCTCTACTTCCTTGAGCTGCTCCACGATGCGCTTCAGCTCCTTCATCTCGCCCAGCTCGCTCGCACGGTCGCGCAGGTTGATCAGCTTCTGCTTCTCCGCCTCCATTGCCTGGAGGGATGAGCAAAATGAGGCATTCAGTTCTGGCGAAGAGAAAGTGCGAGATTTGTCATTTCTCCATGGCTATTGGGTCAGGGACAAGACTGTACGTGCTTGATTGCTAAACGGGTAAGCTGACTTTTCAAGAGTGGGATAATGAGAACCTTTGAACTAAGGATTATTTTGCATGTAATCCAGGCTGAGCATGTCCCTGTGTAAAGCTATGAGTGAGCTTAAGGGACATTCAGAACCTCTACGTCGACGAGGTTTTCTTCACAGTGGAAACAGTTCCGACACAGTGCTTCCGTAACGCAACAGGTCGTGTCCGCCCTGACGGACACCAGCTGGGAAACGAACGGTCAATCGTCTTGCCAGGATGAAAAAACTCTTAGCTTACGAAAGGCCTTGCGAGGCCTCCATTTCATAGGTCCACCGGCATGGTCGAGGCACCACTTTGGGTCCTTGAACAATCACAATCTTGGATGCTTGAACGACAAGTATCTTCACGGACTGCCTTAGGAATCGATGAAACGGCTTTCGAATCTGACAGATTGGGCAGGAAGGCGTGCGGCTCGCTGACCTCATCCACCCGGAAGGGCAGGATCTCCCGGGCCTTCGCCTCCACGTGGCCCACCGTCATTGGCTGAAACACCTCCGCCACCTTCGTGGCCCTCCACAGGCGCGCCATCTCGTCCTGCGCAATAACCAGCACAGGTCAGCTTAACCTTGCGGGCTGGGTTAGGGCTAATATGGCTGGGCTTGTTGAGGGAAACCTGGTAGGCTGCGTAACCAAGACTTGCACGAAACCGAGTTAGAACAAGGAAACGGACCAGACTGCAACCAAGCACAAATTCCGATCGCCACCAAACCGAAACCAGGTTAAAGATCACAGCGGATCGAAGCTTCCAGTACAAAACGAAACGGCTTTCCACCAGAACGAAGAATTTCTGACCGAGACAAGAAGCAGTTCTCCGCCCACACCCTCGCAAATCTCCTCAACTTCAAAAGTCAGTTTGACCATTCCCAAATAGTTGCTCATAAGCGGACTTTCGACAAATGAATGTCTTTCCAGACCGCACCTCGTCAAAGCCCTGGCTAGAGAGCTTGTCAAGGTATCTCAGCTCTTTCAGTCAGAATTGCTGCTTAGTTCGAAAACGATGCGGAAATCTCAAAGCGCACCTCGTCGAAGTCCTGGCTGAAGACCTTGTCAACAGATTTCAGCTCTGAGAAGCGGATATTGCTGTACAAGCATGCTGCACATGGCCGAGATGGGACGGAACGGAACGAAACGGAATGGAAAGCGGAATGGAAGCCCCGAGCGCACCTCGTCGAAGTCCTGGCTAAAGAGCTTGTCAGTGAATTCCGGTTCTGAGTAGAAAAGTTTGCTGCACAAGCATGCTGCACAAGGTCGAGACGGAACGGTACGGACCGAAACAAGACGGAAAACGGAACGGAAGCCCGGGGTGCGCCTCGTCGAAGTCCTGGCTGGAGAGCGTGTCGTTCTTCGAGCTTTGAGTAGTGTATATAGTTGCTGCACAAGCATGCTGCCAAACTTGAGATGGAACGGAACGGAACGGAATGGAAAGCGGAACGGAAGCCCGGAGCTCACCTCGTCGAAGTCCTGGCTGGAGAGCGTGTCCATAAGCGTGTCCTCCACCTTGCTCAAGTTCTGCACTTTCAGCAGCCGCTTCGTCGGCTTGCGCCCAAACGTGTACTCCGTGCCCTCCGCAAAACCTGCAGAATGACTTGACACGTCAGCAAGAGTAGTTTGCGACGTCAGCAACGGTCGAGGAGACCGAGGACAGTACTTGGAAGCGCGCCTTTGCCCTGCCAACCACGGAACCCTGGGCCCGAACGTGTACTCCGTGCCCTCCGCAAAAATGCGAGTATGATTCGACACGTCAGCAAAAGCGAGTCAACATGTCAGCAGCAATCGAGGACACTAAATTCAGGTTTTCAGTTGCACGTTTTCGCCCTTAAAATCCCCAGACTCTGAACCCGAGCGTGTGTTCCGGGCCCTCCACGCATCCTGCACGTCAGCGACAGAAGATGAACCAGAGGAAGATGCAGAAGTTGATTCCTGAAGGCCTGTTGTTGGCTTGCGCAATGAGAGACGTTGCAGTTCTTCAAAAACTGCATGGATGGTGTTCGCTGGCCTCAATAGTACATGAGAAGAGGTACAGAGATCGCTCTTTGGGAGGCGCCTTTTTGGTGTCGGCTCGAGTGAACATAAGCACGAAAAGTAGAGCAGACTTTGGGTGGATCATTGTAAGAAGAGTCGATAGTGCACGTGGGTGACATCGCGAAATCAACGTCCAACAACGTTAAACGTGGACATCAAGAACACCTGCGGGAATCAGAAACGTTATGAGATGCTTGAGGAGCTCTTCCAGAAATGGGAACAGGAGTTGCCGACCGTTCTCTTCTCTTGCCCCTCTCGTAAAAGACGGTCCTTCTCATCAGAGAATCCTTAAGCCGCAGGGTCATCCTTACCAATCACTGGCACGAGACGGTACGCCGCTTTGGTGGGGTTGTCGATCGCGATGGTCTTGATGCGCACGAAAGCCCCCAGCACAACGCGCTCGAAGTCAGGGGACTCCACGAGCGACTCGAGCAGGCTGCGGCGGATGTATAAGAGCTCAATGTTCTTGCGGCTGATGGCCGCGTATTGCTCCTTCGTGGCGCCGTCTTCGGCGTCCTGCAAAAGAGGAAGACATCTCAAAATCGGAGTACAACGGAGAGAATATCTCAAGAAGACACGGAGTAAAACAAAGAGGATGTCTCCAAGGAAGACACGGAGTAAAGGAAGCGGATGTTTCCAAGAGGACACGGAGTAGAACGAAGAGGATGTCTCCGAGAAGAAGTCACAAATGCACTTTTGCAACACGCTCGCTGGACTCCCGCGAACCAAGTTGGGGGCACGATAGTAGTGAAGAGGAGATCAAAAACGGAGGCACAGTCTTAGTGAAGAGGAAAGGGAACAGCAACCAAAGGAGACGGAAAGACAAAGAGGAAAGCGCAGGATAGACAAGAATGAAAACTATTTCCACCTCCGTCGGGGCCAACAACGGGAACGCCTCTTCAAGAATCGTCTGCGTACTTCAACTAGCAGGACGCAGTCCTTACTTTGCTTGTGGCTGCCGCTGATTTCTTCTTCTTGGAGTCGGTGCGCGTCAGTCGTTTCGTGACCTTCCTGCCCTTGCCAGCGGACGGGCCCTTCTGGAGCCGCCGCCCCGACACGCCCCGCTGCGTGAGGGAGCCGCTGAACTGCTCCTGGAGAATCCTGGAAGACAGAGAGGACCAGTAAGTTAGTCGTGCTGGTTCGTGAAACGAGAAGGGAGGGTTCGTAGGTCCAATCTCTGAATAAAATGCTTTGAGGAGCTACAAACAGTTCAGCATCCGCTTACAGCTTCGCAGGGAATCTTCCGAAGTTGGAAAGCACAAGTACCGGTATCTGAGTTCGGCAATAAATATCTTCGCCCGGCCGATAGTTTTGGACTTCATCGACAGGCGATACTGGTTCGATATTGGTTGATTTAGCTGGTAAGTCTAGGTCTGCCGGAAGGATCAAAAGCTTTAGGATTGACTCTTCGGCTTCAAAGGTGCCGAAACGAAAGGCCTCCGGCCTTGCTTCAGAATCATCTGGTCGTACAAAGGGCGGCGACTTCAAAGCAATCGCAGTCCGCTTCGGAGCAGATCAAGGACTTCCTTTTCGGTAGTCTATCAAAACACACGTGCCCAGATAGAGCTCTGATGAGCGCTGGGGCTTCTGACAAAGACATTCACAGTTGGTTGTGCAAGGATCGGGAGAATGGGACGAGAAAAGGAGGGCAACCGAGCCTAAAAGCTTCAGTATCCTGTGGTTGGTTGACCACAAGGAGAAAAGGAGGACGAAACAGGAGAGCGGGATGGAGCAAGCGCGTAAGTGATAAGGTTTTGGGTGGAAAACCTACTAAGTAGGATATGTTCGAAAGAAAAGACACACAAGAAGGAACAGAACGAAGCCAGAACACTGTTGCTTAAACGTTCAACCGAACGAAAACCCAGCAAACTTCATGTTTCCTCATCGACAATGGTTTGCATCCAGCCCACAAAGTCCAAGTCGTTTTCAACTTCCACTCGGTTTTCGAGGAACGAAGAAAACAGAATCACGACAGCATTTCAGGCACGGTACCTGAGCATCGCGAGCCGCCCGACCGTTTTCCGCCGGAGCAGCTTCTCGAGTGCCTCGTCGCAGCGGATCTCGGCCGGCTTGTCCGGCGCCTGCAAACCCTTCTCTCTGACGTGGTCCCACACCGCCTTCTCCACGTCATCCCGCGGCAGGGCCTTGCTGACGTCATGCCCACGTCCGCCGAGGAACGCGAGCAGCTCGGGGGACGCCCAGCTGTCGAACTTGCGCCGCTCGGCAGGGGCGGGCGCCGCGGCAGTAGCGTCGTCGTCCGCGCCTAGATCGTCGGTGGCTGCGGGAAGACGCGAGTCTCCTGTTCTGTTCGTTCTTTTCCTTGCCCAATCAGCATTTATTTCCGGTGCGAGCAGAAGACTCTCATCCCAAGCTGAGACAGGCGGTGTAACAGGCGACGAAGGGATCGTGATAGAGGGATGAGGAGCGACATTCAAATCAAACGGAGGTAACGACCAGTAAAAGCTGATACTGGTTCGTCGCTTTCGAGTCCGACTGATGAAAGCGAAGGGACGGGAATCTTCAAGCGACTTTCCCCTTCAAAGTTTCAAAGCCTTTCGTGTGACCGATTGGCCCGGATCTTGAAACTGAGAACCATATGCCGTCTAATTGGCAAATGGTCGACCAGGCCAGAGTTAGACCGCTCCGACAACCGTTCACAGACATAACTCATTATGCGTGACAAACTCGGGCAAGTCCTGGCTCGACACAAAGATGGTAAACGGTTTCCATACTCCTTCGTAGAATTCCAAGAGAACGAGACCCATATCACTCCTCATTCGGCTTCTACTCTCCCTCGAAGGTGAGAACAGCTAGAGCAGATTCACAAGAACAAAGAAAGAAACACACGCGCTTAAGATCGCTTTCACACCTGCGGACCCTTCCTCGTCCCCCTCGGCTTGCTCGCCCTCGGCCGCGGCCGGTGCTTGAGCGGACGAGCGCAGCTGTCGGGCCCCCTCTGTCTTGGGCAGCGAAAGGCCCAGCTTGGACCGCTGGTTGAGCCAGTAGTCCCGGAAGAGGATCTCTTTCACTTCGATCTCCGAGTCCCCAGTCTGCGGAAAGCGGTCATCGAAGTTGGCAACAAAGTGAATGGCACGCCAAAGTTTTGCAGAACAGGCGGGGCCGCTGTGAGCTGGGCGGAACTCGAAAGGGCGAAACTTGATGATACTATCACTTCAACAGAAATATGAACGAACAAGCTTCTTGCAGCACCCTCTTTGACCAAGTAGCACAGAAACATGGAAAACGACTTGAACAAGTTTTGTCGAAAAGAAGAGTAAAAGAACCGACGAGGCAGCGCTCCCGCTCATCCGTCAACCAAATGCAAGCCTTCTTCTTTTCTGCATTGACAGTCACAGTGCATACTGCAGGCTCACTTCGCTGACATCTCCTCCCTCGATCAGCCTGACTTGTGGCAGGCACATGAAGCAGAGCCCCAGCTTCTTCTTGAGCACAGTGAAGTCGGCAGTCCGGAAGTGGGCGGGACAGTAGGCCCTGTAGCAGGTGACGCAATGGTACGCCGCTGGCTTGTTGCACTCCTCGCAGTAGTGCCGTCCTGAGCAAAAGCCGGAGTTGCGGTTTCAGAAAGACTCGTATGCATAAACCTATCATCCTCCGAGGTTGACTATTGACTGGAAGTACTGGTGTGACAGGGAGTTGCTGCCCAGGTGTTTTGTGGCTTGGTCACCAGCTGTGATTCGTCGAAGACTTCTGGTGAACCTTAGGGATGCCAGAGATTTCCCTTTTTGCGGCTAGGTTCCGTGTGTAAAGGCAGCCTCTGCTTAAGCGACGGCCGAGGACAAGGTAAAGGAAAGAACTGGGTAGGCTTTGTGTGTAGGAAGCTTAATGAAGGGCTGTGGGAAAAGTCCGTTTGAGAGATTGAGCATACTTCGAACTCGGACAATGACTTTTGTCAATTATTGGCACGATGCTATGCCTCCCTGATTGGATCTTGGTCAACAAACAAGGAACTGTGACTTTCTTCCTAGTCCAGATCGACGAATTCGTTGAACCTCAGAATCTGTCCCAAATGAAATGCTCTAAGTGGAGTTTCATATGGATCGTCATGGATCACTAAAGCTGGTTGAGTAGCAGACAGCAATCGATTGTACTTTTCAACGAATTGAACGGTTGAAAGTTTCTTAAGCAACTGAACAAAAACCCACATAAGTTGGAAGTCGTAGGCACAAGTGCCAAATAAACTGCTAAGGTTTTCACTAAAACAGACTTCATTGCTGTGCTTTCAAAAGTAGGATTAATACGGCGCCGGTGAGAAGTGTACTGGTCGTCATGTACTTGTGTAAGGGATTCGTAAATGTTTCGGAGTGTAGGGCTCTGATGCTCAGCAGGGGGCTGAAGTCGTGGGATATACAACTAATGATTATGAAGCTGATTTGACGATTTAGGAAGTGATTGGACAGGCAGAGTCCAGTGAAAGCTGTTCAAAGCTGTGATGGGACAAGGAGAGCTCTGGTTGCTAAGCTGTGGGGTAACATCGGGCTTTCAATGAGCATTAAGTGCGTCAGGTCCTAGCCTTCTCTACCTAACACTAAACTAAAGTACGTAGAAATTTCAGGATTGACTCGAGTACGGACAAGGTGTAGGTAACCTCCCTGGATATCTGGCTCGCACTTACCACAGTACCAGGTCTTGTTCTCCTCGACAACGTCCACACCGATGCATTCTGTATGGTACACCTTGGGGCAATCGCTGTAGCATGAGAATGAGAGAGCGTTTCAGAGGAGTCTATTTTCAGCAGACTGCTGCTGGCTTCCCTTGTGGGACAGACCCCATGAAGGTTCTCTCTCATGTTGTGTGCTTCCCAGTAGAAGCCACGCAGAGTGCTGGCCCTTCAACCTTTGCAGGCTTATCTGAAGGATGGGCAACCGCTGACAGGCTTGGAAGTTGAAAACTTGACATTGCACCTGTCTCTCAGACTTCTCTCATGCTAGTTCCCTGCTTGAAGCACTCGCTCCTGGACTTTGAATGAGCAGTACCTGTCCACTGATCTTTGTTTTGCTGTTGTTTCCCTTCTTCCATCCAGTAGAACTTTTCCAAAGTGGGATGCTAAACCAGAGGTATGGTCTGCAGACATGCGCAACTGTGGATGCATAATCCGCGCATAGCTTTCAAAACTGCATATCTGGGACCACCAAGTGCGCTTTCTTCAACATTTTCTGAATACAGCCATGTAGTGGTGCTGTTCAAAAGTGAAAAGGCCCTCCACGCTGTTGCTAGAGCTTACTTTTTATGGTGACAAGTCTCCCAATAAAGTCCCAGTGTAGGCATTGAGTTTTGACAGCTTTGACGTGTAAGTGCAAAAAGAAACATGCAACACCAAACACTTGGGCGAGGCGCTAAATAACATCCTGATAACATGAGAAGTCTCCCAATCCAAAGGTTTGTCGATGCAGTATCCTGAATCACAGACCGCTGAGAAAGCCCCAGCCAGTCATGCATCAAAGTAGTGTAGCGTGAGGCTGCGAAGAGTCTGCTGAAGGCTTTGAACCAAGTGATCCCAATGCTGCTTCCAAAAAGGCGATGACTGCACTCCCGACAGACATTCCGGCTTCCATTCTTTGGTAATGGTCGGTCGGTGGCGCTTTCCGTCCTTTCTCACACAATCCGCACATCAACTTGATTGAAGCTTTGAGCAGGTGAGCCAAGCACTTGCAGGTCTGTGCCCACTTGTCTGCGTTGGCAACCACCCACAGTAAATCAGTTTTTGCTGACACAAGTTAAGATGGATTTGAAGAATTAATCCAAGGATTATCCAGGAGTCACTTCTCACTAACCGCTTGTCACAAGCCACCAGCGCCCCTCCATCATGGCATACAAAGCAAACGTCCTCCGTGACCTTTTCCTCAACTTCCACTTTAGCCTTCTTGCCCTCAGTGGGATACTCCTCTGGCGGTCGCTTTCTGCTGAAAGCAGACTTGACACCATCATCCTGCTCTTCTATCTCTTCCTGCAGGTCTGTGTGCGTCGTCTCAGTGTCGGACCCCTTGCCTTCATCCGGATCTGCCAGGAACTCATCCCCACGCAAACTGGTCTCCTCGACATCGTCAGCTTTAACGTTTTCAGCCATCACAAGTGCTTTCCTTCCTCCAAACTTCAGAGTCTTCGCTTTCACCAATTCACATGCAGCTCGGCGGTGTCAAATGCATTCTCCCAGACTCTCATCTATCTGTGTCCGTAGCAGGGAGTCATGTTGTCAAAGGGAACAGTCAATGCCAGAAGCATGCGCGGTTCACAGGTGGACTCCTGAAGTAGCGGCCATGCCGGCTCCTGCGCGAATGAGCAAGATTTCTCTGCAAATTGCAATCTGATCCGCTGGCACGAGGGCCTTCGCAAGGAATAGCTTTAGGTGTGAATTTGCTCTTTCCTGGCTAGGGGATCAAATGCTAGCATGCAGTGGAGTCCACTGTGGACTGTCAGTGTAGAGATTCAGCAGTTCAATACGCGACCTTCAGTGTGAATACGTTGCACTTGAACCGTAGAATCGCGCGTACGCGCGCAATTGTCGAAATTCGATCATGCATGCTGGTGCCTGCTGGTGACGTGCAGTCAAAGCGCCCCTTCCGAGGGTATTGCGCTGGATCACGGCAAGCCTGTTGCTCAACGTACGTGGCCTGTCTCACACTACCTATCTGTACCTTTTGCTCATGCAACCGCGCCTGTACGCCTGAGTCTGTTGAGTGTAAGCTATGAGTGCTTGACAGGTCGTTGAACCTATGTTGAACCAAATAGGTCTGTATATTCATGCAACTTTGAGATTCACCATTGCAGGTCCAGCCAGGTCCAGCCAGGTCACGTCCAGCCAGGTCCAATGGCAACCAAAAGCTAAAACTTTGTGTGTTACCGTGCACTTTCATCATGGTCACACTGAAGGTGTCAGAATTTACGAGTGTTGTCCGACTGATGTCATCGTTGAATGCTTGCCAACTCAGCTCGAGAAGAGCCGCAAGCGAGTTACTTTCACAGTCGGGAGTTCACTGGACTCAAAGTTTCAAGCTCTAGCCCTTGAAATGCGGCCCTTGAGTGGGGGTCCTGAGGAGCCGGGACGGAGGTTCCACCCAATTTAGTACGAGACCTTGACAGGGCGCCACGTGCAAGGAGCGCTACATGGAGCCCCTTTGATGGCTGATGCGACGGCTTGAGTTACGGTGACCCGTTGTGCTCAAACCTTGTGCCCAAGGTTGCTTTCGTGCTAGTTGAACTTGCACAGGGGGTCAAGAAACCGTGGGCCAGTACCCACACCAAAGATCTGGATTCCAACGTAACTTCATTGACGCATCCCCAGCTGCAAGCATCATCGGGTTACACGTACACTTTACAGGCCTATTACCCTGGCTTGGAAAAGCCAACAGGTACTGACTAATGCGCATCTTCATTTGGCTTTTGGTTTCCGGCCATACTGGACGATCAACGGCTTCCCCTTCAGAAGGTAACCATGTGTGTAACCCTGCACAAGACGAACGCCAAACTTGCTGAACCTGAGCTCTTCAGCTGTCGATGTTTTGATGATTAGAAAGCCGTTTGAGGAACACTGCAGTAAGACACCCCACAAAGTCGGTGGAACTCTACGATTGACTTGCTTTGACAATTGATCAATGCATCCGTGCTTACCATGGCTTCCTCTGCAAGTAACGCGTCAGGCAATGTAACGAATGCTTGTCCTTTCATTCGCCCTTCCTGCAAAGCGTGGAAGGAAAGGGATCAGTCTCTTGTAATAACACTCTTATCGTTGTCGCCTTTGCAACCCCCTAAGCGAGGTACCAAAGACCCAACAAAACCGATGCAGGTGCTCAATGTAAAATCAAAGCTCGTTTATTCCCCCAAGCAACGCTTGGACGGTCGAATCGAGATCGGAACGGGGTGCAACTTTTTGTTGGACGGCACGGGCAAGGCAAACTACGCTGTCACAAGCCAAGACATACGTGCGGAAGATAGCGCTTGAAACAGGACCTCGTGTCTAGCTCTCGAGATAACGTGCGTCTTTCCTGCAATACCGCCGAATTTGCCAAGAGTAACCCTGGTCAAACGGCACGACTGGACCCGAACGGGCGGACAATCGAACGTGTTACAAGGGTTCGACGGCTGATGCCTAAAAGCAACGTTGGCTACTCACAAATCATAAATACCTGTAGCGCAGTACCAACTCTGACAGGCTCGCAACATACCATGGGATCGCGCCTACGCGCACAAATGTGTCTATGGAAGCTACAAGAGAGTACCCACCTGCATCAGGCGGATCGCGCCTGCCGCGGTGTCGCCAGCGCTCAAGAAACCACCTGCAAAAAGTGAGCCTGGTTATCCCAACTCCTCACTCATAATGAAGAAGCATGGTTGCGAATGTGCATGCAAGGTGCGGGCAACAGCCAGGAGGAGACACGAGGGGCCTGACCTAATAACGTCGGTGCAGAAGCCTTCGATCTTGCTCTACATACGTTCCGTTCCGTGAAACTCGGTCCCGAGCCAACAGAGAGACAGCAACAACCACTCTCTGGCTGGATGGCGATCCTCCACCAAACCGCCCAGATTGCAGAACCACTCCCCGGCCAATCTCCCCTTGGATCATCGAAGACCGAGCGAACAGCGCCCATGGTCGTTTGCTGGGTCTGCTGTGGCTTAAAACGATATGGCTTCTTTCGTCCAAACCCGCGGATAAGGTCGTGAATGAAGTATGTACACAGATGAAAAGCAAACAAGAGAGTAACCAGAGACGAGTTGCCGAAGGCTCCTTTGACAACTTGGCAATGATTCCTTCAAGACAGAGGAGTCGAAGCCCCGACAAACGACTCACCGAAGACGTGCTGCATGTCGGTGACTGTGACGTCTTTCGCAATATTTTTGACGTACAGCACCGGAGTCGCCTCCCCGGGCGCGTAGTTCTGGAGAGATGAAAGGGCGACGTTAGCTGACCATCGCCACAGTTGAGCTCCTCGAGCATGTCATAGAATGTATTCACCATAATATGGGTGTTCTTCACATACGGATGTAGGTATAAGACGCTCTTCTGTGGACGTACAGCAGCCTCTGGCAAAGCCCGAGAGACGTTTGCTCTCCTTGTGGATCCCTGTCGTAATCGAGCACCTGATTTCGGAAAATCGGCACTTATTTGATGTAGAAATTGACCCTTCTGATGTTCGTTCAGACGCACCTTGAACGCCGGATTGGCTAGGAGATCCTCCTGAGGCGCCTGGCCGGCTTTCAACTCTTCTCTCCTTGCGGGCGCCGGCTGTGCTGCTTCTATAGAGTCAGGGGCGGCCGATATGGAACTTGGTGGATTCGCGGAGGGCTTGACAACTCGGGGTACCGGCAGCTTGGCTGTGCGGGCTTTGATGGACGAAACGTCCAACTTGATCTGGACGTAAACAAAAGAGGTCTTTCAGAGATCCGTCTCTGCTTCTTTCATTTCAATTTCAGGACTCAAGAAGATGCCAAGCGAAGCGAAGACAGAACAGCGCACTACAAGATGGTAATTCTACGTGTAGGTACTTCTGGCGGTGTGTTTTGGCACTCGAAGAGGGATTTGTGTAGCGACCCTCGTGTAAGGGATGGAAAGAACATCGACGGAAGGAAGCAAAGGCTGTACAAGATTGATTTCTGAAGAATGGTGCACCATGGATCTTCACTCTCGTTCTTTCTTCAACCTCCAGTAGCGTGCAAGACTCGGTTTTCTGCAATTTAATGACCGACTACACTGCAAGTTCGGCATAATTTTTACATCACATTATGCAGATCTATCTAATAGGAGTACTCGGAATGCGGTTACCTGCATGGTCGCCTTCTTGACCTGCGGTCGCACCTCCCGTGGCCCAGCCGCTTCAAGTGGAACATCCCGCACCCCGGCCGTCTCAAAGGTCCCCGTCGCTCCGCTACTCCTTCGCCGCTTCTTCCGGTGCTCAACAGGCCGGTCCTTCTTACGCTTCCCTAATGCTGTCTGCGGGACCTCGCCGTCTTCTTCCGACTCTAGTTCCGACTCCGACTCCGATTTTGACTCCCCGCTCCCGCTGACATTAGCAGGGCGCTCATTTGGTGGCAAGTGGGCAGTTTCAGTTGATGGTGGGACTGGAGCGGCAGCTAGGTACTGTGGGGGCATGGCTACGGCCGCTGGCCCAGAAGGGATCCCTTTGCTGACGTCCGCATGGATGGATGTGGGGGGGGCAGGTACGACTGGTTTGGGAGCGGGGGCTGGGGTTGGCTGCGATGGCGGAGGGGGAAAGACGGAGGCGAAGGGCGGGGGGAGGTTCATCTTGTTCATAAGGTGGAGAACCTGGGTGTAGAAGCGGGGGACCGAGATCAGGGCGGCTTGGATGTTACCGAGCACGCCAGCATCAGGAGGGGGGTACCGGTACCTGTGGAGTGGAACAAAAGTGTGAGAGCGTGGTAACGCACCTCATCGTGTGCTTCAATCTCAGGCCCTTCTTTGGTCCCCAAAGTTTTGTCCACCAGTCTGCCAACCGACTGACCTGGGGCATCGACCTGCCAGTCTTGAGATGATGCCAATTCTTTCTTGCCGCCAAGGCCTTGCCTGGGCCCTCAGGCAATTGCTCTGAGAGATCGGCCAAGTTCATCCAAAGTCCTAACGACTTATACCCAAGTACCCTTTGTCCTTCGAACTTTTAATCGAACTCCTAAAGCCTATCCAGTTCAGCCTCTTCCGGCGACCCTCACCTGAGATGAGGAGGAAAGGGGTAGTCCAGATTGAGGGCTGAAGCGATGCTCTCAGGCGGAGGGGCTCTGACTGATGGACCATGTGGGGGCGCCATTTGTGTTCCACTAATTGACCCAGACGGCAGCTTTGAGAGAGATTCTGCTGGCGCCCGCGCTCCTGAAGTAGCGGGGTCAGGTGGCGGCTTCGGAGGTGGGGGCTGTGGCACTGATTGGGGCCGGGCAAAGTCTGCTGCCAACGTCTTGTTGAGAATCTTCAACCTGCGGGGATTGGCGGACTGGGTGAGCCCCCGTGTCGGCTAATCAATATGTAGAAGCGACCAGGAAAATGAGCCACGCTTGACCGACGATGCACCTCCGGGCCGGTTTTTCAGGCGACAAATGGTCCGATTGAAGATTTAAAGAGTCTGAACAGTCCATGACCTGCTGATTTTGAAATCAGGACAGAGCGTGGATGAAATCTCAACTGGAGGAGCTTCTGATGTCACTTCCTCTTCCAAGCCCAAAATCCGAGACAGTCCCAGGAATGGGGGAATCAACTTTCGGAGCTTTCCGCTTACCCATGCAACTGATCCTTCGCCCTTGCCGCAACGCCCGCGTCTCGAAAGTCCACAAAGACCACCCCCCTCAGCTTCCCCTCCACATTGCTCGCACGCACAGCGACTGCCCCAACGCATCTGAAAACCTCTTCCATTGTGCTGGGCTCAACATTCGTCGGCACATGCTTCACAATAAGAGTGATGACGTTGCTAGCTGGCTGAGGATACACCTGTGGTGCATAAGAAGCGGCAGTTACATTTTGCAGCCTTGGGGATGGATATGCGAGAACACCCGGAGGTGGTGGCTCCTGGTGGCTGTCTGCCATGGGAGCCTGCATTCTTTGTCACAGTCTTCACTGCATTATATTGTAGCTACCGAGCATGGCTCCCATGTATACCCGGAAGCTTTTGTACAATTCTCTACATTACACCATCCTTATATAAGTGCTAGCGAGCGCTGTGCCAGCTTGTGGTATTTCTTGATGAGCAGCCAATATGTGATTCGTGAAGGCTGGTGCCAGTGGAGACTGAGAAGCTCAGATTTCTGGAAGCTGGCCTGGCGAAGCTGATTGCAGGGTTTTAGGGTTCTCGTTTGAACCGGTTGTTCGTTCTAGGCCTAGACTAGGGTTCTTATAAAACGGGGGACGGTTGCTAAGAGATTCTTGCCTGAGGCTGGTCGAATGACTTCATCGCTTATCGGGTAGAGGTTCCTGCCTATCCCAAAGGCGACCACCGCAGTTTCTCGAGCAGATAAGCAGAACAGGCAAGGCGCAGGGGCAGAGGCACAAAGAGGGACGCCTCCAGAATCAGGGCGTCTGCAAAGGTTCGCGGCACAGTACAACGTAGATGCTAGCAACAAGTTCTAAGGAGCTGGTGTATTGGCAGCAGCTAAATTTTGACAGCCGATTTGCGCATGCTAAGAGCTGCTGCAGATTTGATCACAAGAGGAGACAATTCAGGTTCAAAAACAGGCGGCATAAGCGATGCAGCCAGTCATTGGTAAACCCCAGCATTGCTAACTAAGACTGCACGATGGCCACGAGATTGAAGGCATTCCTTGCGGGACATGAGAAGATCCATATCTTAGATGTGCACCCAACGCAGCCGTGGGTTGTCACAGCAGATGAAGCTGACAGTGTGGTGGTATGGAATTGGGAGCACCGCCAGGTGAGCTTCCACACCTCGTTTTTCAATCCAAAAATGAGGCTTGGCGTTGATGGAGCGCTTCCTTCATGATCCACTAGCTGTTGTCCCGCCTTCTTAAGCAGATGTTTCTATCTCTGCACAAACGAACCAGCTGTGAGCAGTTTAGATGATTCTTTCTGCAAAGATGATCATGATACTCCTGCACACATGTTCCACTTCTTTGCAGCGGTTACATTACTGATATAGTTAAGCTTTCAGAGAGCCAAACATGGCTTTTAAAGAGACTGCTTCCTTCCACGCGTGAAAGCTCCAATTGGTCAGATCATGCACCATAGGCAATATACTCTTTGTTCCTCTGAGTTTACCCCCCAGCCAATTGAGGAATGTATTGATGTGCAGATCTTGTACCAAGTGAATGCTGCCGGTGTCGATGTGCGCCGTGTAATTGATACACAACTACAGAAGCTTGCTGGTGAATCAGATGCTGCTTTGGGAGCTGAAGGCCTCAAGGGTGGCAGGTAAGCACCTCAATCGTCAGGCTCTCGTGAGGATGCAGATAGGATACACGGTTGAGAATGTCTAGATCTGTGTGTGCAAGTAGCCCCATCCGATCCCATTCAAGTTTCTAAGACAATCGCTCGGTCATTCCAGTCAGCTTGAAACGAGTGGAGGCCTGCTCGGATCATTGAAGCACACGTGTTTACATGCCCAAGCACCTCATTCACCAGACTTGGCGCAATGCAGTACGTTCATGGACCTTGACAGTAGTCTGCAAGGTTACCCCTCTGCACGCACCCATTCAACCTTTGTCATCTTCTGGTTCGTGCAGTGTGACACATGTCAAGTTCTACGACGATGACGTCCGCTTCTGGACGGCCTGGAAGAACCGGGCGGCTGCAAGCGAACTGTCCATCACCGAGTCTGCCCCGCAGCCTCCCATCACCCCCTGTCCTCCTGCGCTGAGGGGCCGCCGGTTCCTGGTCACATGTAGTCTGAACAAGGCCGTCTTCTTGGACCTTGTCACGATGAAGGCTCGGGATGTGCCAAAGGCTGCTCTGGACAACAAGGCACCGCTTTGGTGAGTACTGCTCTGTCTGGTTGCTCTTGGAGTAAGGAAGATGGGTTTGGCCCATCATACTTGTCTGCATCAGGGTCAAAGATGGCTGTTCTGCACGTGCTTTGCCTGGAGGTTTTAGTACATGTTGCAGACCCTCTTCCCCTTTGCCACGCTGGCTAAGTACCTGTTCAAGTAGAGACCGTCTGTGGCTCACAGAATTGCAGACTGGAATTTCCTGTTCCTTGTGGCCCACTCGTAAACTGTTCAAATAGCCGGAAGCAATGGAAGCGCCTTTTTTCAATACGCCTCAGTGCGCATTTTGTCTCTTATACATTCGCAATCTGCGGGGTTTGACCTTTCGAAGGATCCTAAGTAAGGCCTGAAAGATGACAGAAGCTCCCTTTACTTCCAGTGTGGAGTTCCTCCCAAAGACAACTGGCTCGGAGGGGCCCTTCGCTGCTTTTGGAGGACCGGATGGAGCCATCCGTGTGCTGTCCATGGCGACATGGCAGCCGTTCAAGCGGCTGACTGGTGGTCATAAGAATGCGGTGTCATGTATGCTGACATATGCGACAAGCCAAGGGGAGGTACGTTTCAGCTCACAGATCAGAAGACTGGCATGCACAACAGGTTGAAAGTTGCACGGTTTTTTGGTCCTTGTACGTTTGGGACTTGCTTTTGGGCAAACCGCTTCAATGAACATGCCAGGTATTCAAGCCGTGTGGGATATTCTTGTGTATTCAAGCCTTGTGGGATATTCTTGTGCACTCCCGTCGCTTGACCCGTCTTGGTACGTTTTCTTCAGATGACCAGTCCGCAAGAGGAGTGGATGCATAGATCACGCTTCAAAGTTCCCCTCTGCAACGTAGACCATCGCGAAAGCTGTAGTTTGTATCAGAAAATTCAACAGCTTCGCGATCGGTTCTCAAAGTTGTGAACTAACAGTTCTGAGTTGCTACAACATTGAATTCGCTCGCTGAAGCTCTGCTTGCAGACTCAACTGGTGACGGGCGGCTCGGATGGTTCCTTGGTGTTCTGGAACCTCGACAGCGGGGTTTCGACCGTGAAAGACGGAGGCCCAAGACTGGCGCTAAACAAGGTCCGTAAGTCCACGGTGCCTGCCAGATACGCCAAGTGTGCTCGAGTGTCGCTTCGGGTGCAAGCGAAATTGTGCCACGAGTTACTTATGCAGTATGCTCGAAACCCGCCTTGTCCATTTGTTCGAGCGTCTTTGAGTCTAAGGACTTGAATACAAAATCAGGCACGAAACAAATCTGTGGTAGCCGGTGGCCGATCGAGCTCGTAAGAAGCTCTGCTGAAACGCATACCCATTGGCCAGGTCGCTCGGAACCCCCTCTGTCCAGCGCCTCGAGCATCCGTAGAAACTTCTTTGAAAATTCAGCTTCGCTCAGTATCTGCTCCTGATACCGCTTCTTGGGAAGTCATTCTCGCACGAGCGTTTGGCCGCAACACAAAGCGCGCTGCTGACCACCAAACGCGCTGTTGAGAACGACCTGCTCTGTGGAACCCAGAACGCTCTGCGGAAACTCAAAACGCTCTGCTAAACACCCCGCATCGGCCAGGTCCACGACGGCGGCGTCCTGAGCATCTCCCTCGCGCGGATGGTCGGCGCGGCGCCGCAGCTCATCACGACGGGCGTGGACAAGTCGCTGGCCATCTTCGACACGATGACGCTCAAGGAGATGCGCCGCATCAAGCAGACGATTGGCAAGCTGGCTTGCCACAGCGTGTGTGCGTGGTCGCACCCCCGGGCGCCCACGTTCGAGAGCCTGGTAGCGGGGAAGGACCCCAACCTGTGGTGAGTGTGTAAAACTAGGACTTGGTTAGGGACTAAAGTAGCGTCTTGTCTCCTGGTCAGGGCAATGTGTAGGCCTGAGGGCGAGACTTTGGGATTGGCTCGAGGGTCAGATGCTGTACCCTAAGGGGAGTCGCGTCTGCTTCGCTTCTTGTACGAGCACAGCACATAACATGGACATGAGTCTAGTGTCAGAAAATGCTTACCGAAAATTGACAGGGCAATTTTTTTGTCGCATTCTGTATTCGTCAACATTGGTCGAATCGATAAGTCATTTGGGTGTGTGCAGGGGAGTGGACCGAGGGACAGGCGCTCGGCCGCTCGTAGACTTGAACAAGTTTGTTCCTCCCTCGGCCGTTCCTCAGGGCAAGAAACTGAAGGTGAGGCTCGGTCAAGTCGTCCTAGCTTGGTCACGAACGTACTACTCAAGAGAGCAGCGTAAACGTTTACCAGCTTTGCTAGACGTTCTTCGAGTGTCTGCCTAAAGCGTTCCCCCCTTGGGATGCCTGTCTTCCACATTTGTCCATCAATTATTCTCATCGCAAAGGCTGGTTTGTTTTGCACTCTCTTAGGTCTCCGCTCCGTCAAACGTTCGTCTATGTTACCTCCTCTAATGTTTTTTTCCTTCCTTTTTTGACGACTCTACTTTTTAAAGTTAACCTCCCTCCTCCGGTTTCGCATTGTCTTTCAATCCATTATTTCCAAGGCTTTCGTGATTCATTGTCTTGCTTCTGGATATCGCTGCTCCCTTCCTTGCGATCGACGTCTTCAACTTCCCCCCTCGCTGCAGATCTACTCCATGCTAGTTCACCCTCTCCAGCCCCAGCTAGTGATTCTAGGCACCAACGCCGGCATTGCCCTTCTCGAGTTCGACAGCAAGGCCATCCCCGCCGCGGCCGCGCTGCCGACCCCTTCCGGCGGCAAAGAGCACACCGTCGTCTACTCTGCGCAGCGCGAGATGCGCGCTCTGACGTTTTCCCTGGGGAGCGCCGCACGGAGATCCGACGACCCGAATTCGCCCACCAAAGCGATGGCAGGCGGCGCCGCGGAAGCGTCTGCGGTGCGGCAGAGTAGGAAAAGGCTGGCCTCGGCGCTGTACGAGGAGAACGCCAAGCTGGCGGCCAGCCCGTCGGGAAAGTGAGTGTCGGGCGTGTTTGGGAGCTGTTAGCATTTGCAGTACGGCACTGAGTCGAGCAGAGTTCGGGAAGTGAGAGTCGGGCTAAGTTTGAAGCGGGTCCGATTCGTAGCATGGCATATCATACATCGGAGTCGGTTGAAGTACGCAGAAAGTTTGCCGTTTGCGAGGCTGATTCACAAGCAGTGTCTCATGGCGACCTCCACTCGAGGAACTGGTACTCTGCGTTTTCGCCCCGTCCGTAGCCGACCTGTTTTTGTTGGAGGTCATACCAAAGTGCTTTTGCTGACGTGTCTTTGTCTCTGTGCACAGCTACGTCTCGGTTCGATGGCCTGGCCAAAACTCGTACGCCATCTACAACTGTCGAAACTGGTCGGTGGTGGACTCGGGCGCTGCTCGGTTCTTTGCCTGGGACACCGTTCGAGACCGCTACTCCATCCTTCCAGCCGTCGCTGTACAAGTACGTGCACATCTCTTCAATACCGTGTTTCCAGTTCGTGGAAAGTCGGCAAGCCAGGACCCTGCTATGGGCCCTTGTAGCGACAGTTAGAGATGAGAGTAGTTACGACATATGTGGACGTGTTCTTTTGAAAGCATCCTTTTGAGAGCCTTTTTGACGTCTTTCACTCGAGCCACTTGATTGCAACGGGGACTCTCCTCAATCCGTATACCAGATCAATCAGCACTTTAAATTGGTTTGACGAAGAGCGAATTCGTCGCTTGGTTCGCCTTCGTACCCTGTCGCAACCCACAGTATTCTTTCGGCATGCCCTTCTTTGCTCCAGATACATTCTGCTTTAATCTGCAAATCGATTCAAGCCTTGGCAAAAACATGAATTTCAATACTTCCCAGAAACAACAATCCTTGATCAAAATTCCCACTTGCAACTGAGAACACTGTTTCCAACCTTTTCAGAGACCTCAACTGCCCACCAAGGGCTCCTCTAAAAAGAAGGCCGAGGCCGCTGCTGCGGCCCAAGCGGCCGCCGCTGCCGCCGCTGCAGCTGCTGCGTCCGCGACCGTGGAGGTGCGCGAGATTTTGGCGGACGGGAGCGCGGTCCTCCTCTGCAAGGCGATTGACGGCCGCAAGGAGTCCGTCGTTGGGCTACATGTACGTTTTCTGCCTCTCCTTTGTTGAGATAGGTATACTTACAAAGCGGTGGTTGGGGAGGTCGAGCCGTTCTGTTTGGGTGCTTATCTGTAGGATTGAAATGGCTTGTTGACTACGATCCGGCTTCTGGAGTCACCGGAGTCACTGCAATCCTTACGGATTTGAGACGACCAAACAAAGACTAAGAAACACGTGCCCTAACTAAGTCAAAAGTCTTAAGTGTAGCCTTCACTGTAGCTGTCATGTCTACAGTCGTCCTTTCACAAGGGTAGTAAGTACGATTGTTTGCATGAGCTGCTCATTGTCAGAAGTCTTCCACTAAAAAGAGGTCTCACGAGTTCCTTGCGTTGCAGGGGGGCGCCCTCCTTGGTGTTGCGTTTCGCATCACGGTCGCCCGGGAGCGGGTAACGTCGGCTGCGGCGCTTATCAGCAGCGCGCAAGGCGCGTACCAGGCCGCCGCTGCCGGGGGAGGCGTTGCGCCTAGTTCCGTCGGCGCGGGCCCGGACGACAACGCCGTTTTCGCTGAGTCGCCCCCTAACTTCCAGCTGTATAGTTGGGAGACGTTCAAGCCGGTGAGCGGGCTCCTGCCGCAGCCCGAATGGTCGGCGTGGGACGCGGGCGTGGAGTACTGCGCGCTCGTGTACAAGGCGTATGTCGTCATCTGCGCCGCAAGGTGAGCGTCGGTTGTTAGTTCCGCGACTTTACGTTGATGAGCCTCCTCACCTGGCTTTCATGAGCTACTTGGTGATTTGTGTCGTATAAACGCGAGGACGCTTTACTCTCAGCCGGGACGCAGAAAAGCTCTGCTCCTACGTAGAATTGAGCTCAGGGACAATGATTAGTTGTACTCCGACTGGGTCTGGCACTAAGTCGATTGCTCTGCAGACGGCTTTGACCAGCTGAAAAGGTGTTGATTCGAGCATTGTCACCAGCTATCAGGCAGTGGTCTCTCACAAGAAGCCTTCTTGCCTTCTCGTGAAAGCTGCAAACAAACACCTCTTTCATCCTACTAATGATGTGGTTGATGGTCAAACCTTTACGAGACATTCTATCAGCTTGTACTGTCGTTGGTGGTCACATCCTTAACAACACATTCCTAGCTGCGATGGTTTCTCACTGACTGTCTTCTCTCACTGATCCACAAGGCTAGGGATTTTCGAGACCCCTATAAGGACGTTTCCAATTCATCAAGCCTGGTCTCCGACAAACCCGTATTCTACCTTTGCAGGCCTAGCTTCCGGTCCCTAGGCAGTGTGGCCATTTCGGGTGCTGTGAGCGGGGTGTGGCACCGGCGCCAGTTCTTCGTCGCGACGCCGACGACCATTGAGGTCGTCTTTGTGGATAGCGGGATTGACCCTGAACTGGAGGAGAAGAGGCTGAAGAAAAAGCAAGAAGAGGAGGTGCGGCGGAGCTTCATGTGAAGTGTTTCTTTGTTGCTGAACTGTTTCTGCCTCGTTTGCTTCTGCATTTTGTGTGACGCTTGGGGTATCGCTTGTGGTATTGCGAGTCCCTCGGGAATGATGGTACGATTCCGTTTGAAGGCTTCGCTTTGTGTATGGTCGGTCTTTGCACGTCAGAAACAACATACGAGCTTTATCACTCGGCCAGCGCGTGATAAATAAAATTTTATCACTTCCTTAAACGTTTCTCTTTGTCGGCTTCTTTTGGAGCTAGGTGCGAGCTTGTCGAGGTTGACAGGGAGAGTGAATGCACACTGCAGGTCTGGTTGGAAACTGCCTCCCTACTGAACGTTTGACGTCACGGAAGGAACTTGGGTCTTACTTAACCCGAGTGTAATCAAAATAGGTGGAATTATTTAATCATCACTGAGGCAGCCAGATATGACGCTAATTGATGAGAACCAACTAAGTCCAACGGAGTCTCGCTGCTGCAGGATAAGAAGTCACGGGAGAAGGCTGACCCGAACACGCTGGCTCTTGCGGTGCTGACGGTTGACGCCCCTCAGACGGCGACTCCAAAGTCCACGCTCAAAGCCCGGCCGCCACTGCTTCAGGTAAGCACTGCTCTTTCTGGTTAAGCGAAAAGAACGTTGGGGCCCTCCCTGTTTCAGACACAACAAGCAGAAGATGCATGTGGTTGCGTATTCCACTTATTCCGCGACTCTCAACCACTCTGAGTGAGTTGCTCAAGACAGGACGTCTATGCACACGGTCCTCAGTCTGCACAATGAGGGGCTTCTTGATGGTCTTTCCTTCTCTTCAAGATTCCTTATCAGGTCAATAGTGAGTGCGAAACGTGAGGCCTCCGCTCAATGGAGGCTTGCTGACGGCACGGCTTCCGGACGCTCAAGAGCAGCTGGACACGCTCTCTTTGTCACACCACGATTCGGACGCTTTTTGACCGTACGGACACACCTTTGGACGGTCTCGAACGCACCCTTCGTCCGCAGGTCGTCCGCCTCGCGTCCTTCGCCACTCCCCCAGCCGCGCCCGCCGTCGCCCGGCCCAAAACGGAGGAGATCGCTCGCAGCCCGCTCGCCGAGCTTGATGGCTCAGAGCGCAAGATGGAGGTCGCCATCGCAGGGGGCGGGCAGTCCGCGGCCGCGTCGCGGCTGCCCCCGGAGCAGCGGCGGCCGGTGGGGCCGCTCGTCGTGGTGGGGGTCCGGGAAGGGGTGCTGTGGCTGGTGGACAGGTGGGCGCCAGAATAAAGAGTGTTTCTCTCGTCTACGTGACTGTTGGACTCGGCTTGTAAGTGTTGGTTGGTGTTTTGCCCGAGTATGGCGTTCCAATACCCGTTCACATTGAAGGGGATGGCCCGAATGTCATCTCATTGTAGAGACGGATTTGAGTACCGTTCTCCTCAGCGGCTGCTCGTTTACATGGATTCGCGGAAACTTGAAACGAGCGAGGAACAAGTACGAGCTTCATTTTTTATTGTTTTCTTGCGCCTATCTGGATCGTCTTGATTGGAATACGCAGGGACTCGTTCGTCCATCCGGATTCTCTAGATTGGAACATGAAACGACTTCTCCGAAACTCCGAGCCGTATGGCTCCAGTCAAAGCTTCAGGGCTTGCTGTCGGCAGGAATAGAATTTGATACAACACGTCTTCACCTCCTTTTGTCTCCGTTCAGGTACTTCACAGCCCACGCCCTTGCGCTGAGCCACCCGGGCATCCGGTGCCGGTGCCTAGCAGCTTATGGTGACGCAGTCAGCGCTGTCAAGTGGTGAGCTCGTGTTCCTGACGTCGTTATTTTTAAACTTTTGAATTCTAGTTCATCCAGTAGTGCAATCATCCTGTCAGATATCCGAAGCTTGGCAATCACACAAGCTTGCCAAGCTTGTGTGATTTCCATTTGATTTTTCTCAGCCATCTTCTGCCTCTGTCGCCGGAAATTGCAGCCGTACTCAGTGGTGTATGTCACTGTCCTCCACACTGAGCGGTCTATTTGAAGGGCTTACAAGATCAAGGTCTTTCCATAGGTGCCCCGTCCACTGGCGCTGAACCCACGCACATGTGCAATCAACCCAGCTTAGGGTGTCCGTCGTTGACTATGTAGCACGAAACGTCACTTCGCTGTGGCCTTGTTTTCAGGGACCCCTGCCTGATGGAGATTGACCCAAAGCCCCAGGCAATGTCTGTCGGGCTCAGCTTTTCGGTCGGTCGCTATGATGGGTTCGAATATCTTGAGCGCCAGCTGACATCGGCAAGTTGGAGTTTGCAGGGCTGCCCGACTGGGACGGGAGCATCACGACGACTTGGCGACGTTCATGGTCGGCATGGGCTACGCAAAGGAAGCGCTCCACCTTCCGGGCCTCTCCAAGAGGTGCGCGTACAAGATTTTAAAGCAGTGCCGTAAACTTCCTATTGCTCTTCCAGGGCCCTGCTTCTCACTCCCGGTGGCTCTCTGAAGACCGACTCCAAAATCCGCTGATGCAGGCTCCACTACAAGCCAGAACCTGTTTTGAGTGCTCTCACTCCTACCACGAAATCGTCCGTGCACTCGAATCGACTCGGTTTCTTTAGCTGTTCGTCATCGGATCTGGTAACTCCTCTGCTTCCTGGACTTGAAGTTCCGTTCCAGATCCCTTGCCTATTCGCTTATTATCTCTCGCGATGCAGTGCGCGAAATATAGATTATTATTCATCCATCCATTTATTCTCTCTGTATTCAATATGTATTCTCGTCCTTGGCCTGGAACCCTCAAAACTGCTGCCTACTCTATTCCAGGTTGGAGTTCGATCTCGCGATGCAGTGCAACGAGCTGCAACGCGCGCTGCGCGTCCTTCTGGAGCTGAGCAACAGCAAGGAGGCGCCCCCCGAGCCGCTGGCCCAGACCGCCGGGCTCGACGTCGGTCTCACCCTACTGGCGCTAGAACAGAAGCAGGCTTCCCTGACGGAGGCGGTTGCCGGGACCGCCCGGTTCGCGTCTGAGTTCCTGGCGATCATCGATGCTGCTGATGCTACAGGTGGGCCTCGTCTCTAAGATGCACAGATCGAAGGCCAAGTCCCGGTGCGTGATGATGTTGTTCTCTCGCCTGGTGCCTAATCGCAAGCCTGTTTGAGCCGCCCAGAAGTTCCGGCCTCGTTCAACCACCCGGGTCTCGTCATGTGCATGTGTTGGAGCGGCGGTGATGACATGCTAGCAGCGAGAGCGAAAACGGGTTGACGAAAACGTCCGTGCGCTAAGCTGCGGTCGGGGCCGAGCTTGGAAAACCCTCAGAACGAGATAAAGTCAGAGACGGGGCCCCCTGTGCGCAAAACCTACTTTCATGACAGCTGTCCTTCCTCTTACGGTTGTCTTTTTACACGGCCAGGCCAGAAGGACATTACGCTTGCAGCTTTGAAGCGCTTTGCATCGCTATCAAACTCTGGATTATGCTCTTTGTTTAACAGCTGTTTGTCGACCGTTCGCAGGCCAAAAAGACATCGCGCTTGCGGCACTGAAGCGCCTCGCGGTTGCTGGGGAAGTCGAGGGGGCGCTGAAGGCGAAGGAGCACCGGGCGCTCTCCCTCCGGCTGGCGTCCCACGGGGAGCGTGCGCGACTCGCGGTGCAGAGCAACGCGCTCATCTCCGCCGGGCAAGGGCGCGAGGCCGCGCTCGCAGCCGCACTGCTCGGGGTGAGAATCGTGCATCGTAAAACCTGGATTATCACATCTGAATTTTGATTGCACGTTGCCTGACATGGTCAAAACGTGCACGCTTGTGTCGAGCCAGGTTCACAGTACGTACTCTTAAAGGCGGATAGGGAGTCATGCTCCACATTTAAGTTCCTAGGAAGAGGGTGTTAACAGAAAGGTCTGGAGCCGTTCATTTTATTCTTCTGTGTCGCCACATGGTTGTGGGCCTATTCGCCCTTTAAAGACCTAGAGGACCGCAAAGTTGAGAATCGCAATTGCAGGCGGAACGTTTCCTCGGGCTATGTTCGCTGCAGATGGTCAGTTCGCACTGAAAAGCCTGCCCGGAGGGATATTGAGGATCATCTGCTCCAATAAAACTTGTTTGCGGGCGACTAAGACCCCCCAGGAGCATGCTACACCAAGCAAAGTCTGCAGCCTGAGTCGGCGCCTCCCATAAGCTATCCCTCGGTCGTAGAGTGCCGTTGAGAGAGCATGTTTGGCCCTTTCTTGCCCCTAGAAAGCGAGCCGTGACGAAAGTTTTGTATTTTGCAGGACCCCAATCTGATAGAAAAGGCATTTGCGGACACCGGGCTCTTCCCCGAAGCAGCCTTGCACGCTCACCAGCACGGCCGAGTCAGCAGCCTTCAGCTTATCCAAGACTGGAACAAGACGTTGCAAAAGCAGCTTCCCGGAAAGCCGGGCAAACTGCAAACACCGGGCGGGGGCATATTGAGTGCCAAGAAGAGCCCGTCTTTGCGACCCCCTTCTGCAACGGCTCCTCTAGTTGAAGTTGTAGCTCCTTGACCTGACCTTGTTTGACGGACTGGCCTCCCAACTCTTGAGCCGTCGTTTGCAAACATTGGCAGGAACCCTCTAGATTACCTCCGTTCTTGAATCTGGGATGAGATCCTCTTCGTGACTTGCTGATTGGCGTCTCTGAGATGTAAGCCCGATCTTGGTGGCGGCTGAAATTGCAAGCCTACGACACGTGTATGCAGGCAGGCTGCTCGACCATTTGTACGTTATATTTCGCTGTCATCCAAGCTGATGGTACTGATTTCATGCACTTCTTTATTTCGAAGATTGGCTCTGATTACCAACTTGTCATGAGCAAGCCTTGAAGTTCTAGGTCTGCAGCAACTCTACTGAAAGTCGCGGCAGGCTCAGTGCATGATATGAACACAGTGCGTTGGTCCCGGCCCCAATCCCATGCACACCAACAGCCCAAAAGGTTACTAATTGCACACCGACAGCCCAATGGTTACTTGCGGAAGGGCATGCATGCAGGAATTGCATTTACAAACATAGCTAGCTGGCGGCCTATAGTTGTGCATCAGGTTGTGGCTTTTACATCTATGTTGAATGCTGATTGCAATGATTCTCGACCTAGCAAATGTGGTCTAGCTTGCATCTGCACACCTTCTCACATATATGAGCAGGCTGCAACGTCAGGACTGGCTCTTTGAAAGATATTGCTTGCGCAAAGATATAATCCGATCGGCCTTGACATGTCCCGGCCATGCATGGGTATACTTAGTATCTATATATGCTACTAAGCAATGATGCACGTCATATATTTGGTAGGCCGTAAATCTGGAAGGTCATGACCGCCGGACCGTTCATGAATCTGGAAGAGGGATGATTTACGATCAAGATGGCAGCCACGGCTTTAATATAAACATTTTGACGGTCATCAGGACCGCCCAATTTCCTCATATAATTAACAGAGGAAAGCCTGGAAAGCTCACGAGACTGCGCTGCATATTGATATTATCACAGAGGGAACTCCCTCTAGCTGGCCCTTTGTTGGCTTCGCTCTCCATTACGCGCTCAAGCCCGTCGGAAGGTCACCGTCACCAAAAGCAGCCATGACTCACCATAAACCGGGCTCGGTGCTTTAAAGACCGAGTCAAGTGACGCCGTCGATTCTAAAAAATCTGGCACACGCGGCAGACTGGGTCCATCCAACGGTGCAGAAGCCCCTTTTGACAGAGACCAGGCACGCCACATCAGCAGGCACCACGGTCTTCTGGAAGCTTGTGCCAATTCGACGGCTCGGATGACCTCATTTCACGCTTATCTTTGAGTATTGGGCGCTATCACCGTCGATGGTTTGTATCTCCGCGGCGGTCCCGATGACGTCACAAACGATATGTATCAGGGATGCACCCTCTGAATTAGGACTCCAGCAGCATGAACATGCCTTGTTTCCTGCGAGTGACGCTGTCCAACTGCATCGGACGGTAGAGACGGGAGTACTCCTCTGTTCGGCGGCTGAAAAGGTTCCTCAGATGGTCAACCAAGTCCTCTTTCTTCAGTGTAACCGCAGAGAGGGGGAACCCTAATCACAAAGCCGTAGAGCAGCAACCCACTAAAAGCGTTGACCTTGTTCACACTGGGTCTCTGAAAGCAGTCAACCTTCGATGGGCTACCATGGTAACCAAAGGCTGTTGTTCCTTAACCGCACTAGAAATGCGGGTTCGGGGTGTGACAATCTTATAACCCGTGTACGGAGAGGTAAAATGAAACCTAGGTGTGAACTGAAGCCTGAAGGGTAGGATCCTGATTGACTTCGAGAGAGGAGAGGATGGACGCGCCGCTTGTCACGGTCACGAACCCCATTGACTGCGGCACCGAAAAGCAGGGAGGGCAACAGGGCGTCCCTTTCCTGTCCTGGTCACCAGGGGGGCTGACTCTCGAGTAAAGTCCAAAGAGACGTTGGGCAAGCCAGAAAGGCCTTATCGAAAGGTCTTCCTCTTTTGCAGCAACCTATTGCGGCCGCTCCAGTGAACCTGCGTAGAGGTTTTAGCGCCCTTCGTACAAAGGTTTCTGTGGGTTGCTTGACGTCTTCACAATGTGAGCAGGAGTTTTGCGCTTAAATATGTAGTTAGGGCAGAAAGCGTAGTATAGTTTTGTGCCGCAAACCCCCTCCAGCCAATTTGTTGCCTGCAAATGCTGCGAAGTCCCCATGTCGTCCTTAGTAGTAGGTCGGTGTTTTTCTTCAGCAGCATCAAGGGAGGGCCTGTACAAGATTGGTGTCACAGGCAATTGGGATACTCCTCAGGGCCTTCCCTTCTGAGCTGCTCAGCTGTTGCAAGGAATTTGCAGCTCCTGGTCAAGTTTCTGCTCAAAGAAACTGAAGGAACTAGCGTAGCACAGCAGCCACCACGGCTCTCTCCTCCATCTCAACCCAACCTCTTGCAATGGCTGGGAGCACGCTTGTGCTGTCCCCTAGCCTGACGCGCGCACCTCATGAGGAGAGCAGAGCCCTTTCCATCAGCAGAGGCATCGGTCCGGCCGACGATGAGATCCAGATACTTCTGGCGACGCCGTCTGTGGACAGGCCCTATGTTCCTTTGAGGGTCTTCACGAGTGATTCAATCCAGTCTGTCAAGATGCAGATTGCACGGTCTCATGGCTTTACTCTCAGCAGCCAGGTCTCTGGAATTAGGTTGGTATCAGGTGGGAGGGAGCTCCGAGCTAGAGAGCATGCTGACCTGGCAGGGTATGGCATCAACAAGTCAGGGGAGGTGTTGCACTTAGCTCTGCGCCTGTCTGACCTCGTTGATGTGCGAGTGAAGACACGAGAGGGGGTGGAGAAGACCTTCACTCTTGAGAAAGGCGCTCGGGTGTGGGATCTCAAGCAGAAGATTGCGAAGGACGAGCAAGCGTTGGATGCTGATGATGCGCAGCTGGTGCTTCGGGGCCAACCCCTGCAGGAGGGCCTTCTCGTGGAAGATTTGGCACTGTCTGAGGACATAGTCGTCCACCTCCTTGTCCGAAAGTCATCCAAAGTCCGGGTCAAGCAGGGCAAGGGTCAGCACGTTGAGTTGTCAATCGAGTCAAGCAGGACGCTTCCCAGGGAGGTCAGCCAAAAGAAGCGCCTGCCGTCAGCAAAGCCTAGTCTGTGCATAACCCCTCTAGGCTTGTTGGAAAGCAGCAGGGATAGGACGAGTTTGCTAGAGCTCATGGTCAAAGCCACGGCGGGCCTGCCAGTGCACCCCCCGGTGCTTTCCCTAGGTGGAATGGGGGCTGCCTACTTCTTGGCAGACAGGTCCGGCGAGACTGTTGCGGTAAGTACAGATTCTTGTGCAGCTGAGAACTCACATTCCGTTGAACCGACATATCTGAAAAGCGGGTCAGAATGCTGCATCACTGCAACCCCCTTGCAATTGGCTGCTTGCCTTGCTTGCTCGAGCATGCGCACACCCTCCTCTGCATGAAGAACACGGTATGTTTTTTCCTTGACCTGATCAGTCCTGAGCTGACTATCCTTGACCAATTGTAGTTGATCTTATGTTCCCTGATCTGGTTATTGTTTGAGCTGAGTGTATCTGACCTGGTTCCTGCTAACCTTGCCTGATTGTTACTGAGCTTGGCTGTATCAATCTGCAGGTCTTCAAGCCAGTGGATGAGGAGCCACTTGCAGTCAACAATCCTCGCGGTTTGCCAGTGTCAAAGACTGGGGAGGGCTTGAAGAGGGGCACCAGGGTTGGTGAAGGGGCTGCCAGAGAGGTAGGCCATTGCCTTTCGATTCTCCTCTCTCACGTGGTGCTGCAGTCTGAGAAAGGAAGAAACTAGCATCATTATGCGGCAACCAGCCAAACTCAATAATCGAGATCCAAGGAGGTTTATTGCCATTCGACAAATTGGACAAAGTAGCTTGTTGATCACCGAGGGACCTGTTGTCTCTCTGAAGTACAATTGGTCTCAATCCTTCAAGCTTGGACTGGTTAGAGAATGAGCTGGAAGTTAACTTTCAATCTTGGACTGGTCAGATAGTGAGCTGGATTCATTTCCATCTCCTGCCCCTCCCCTTCTCTGCCCCTCCCCTATTGATTGTATTCTTATTGCCAATATCCTCCATTCCTCAGGTGGCTGCATTCCTGCTCGACAAAGATGGGTTTGCCTCGGTCCCTCCCACCGCCATGGTCTCGTGCATGCACCCCTCCTTCCACTACAGCCATAAGCAGACCTCCGTCCTTTGCGAGAAGGGGGCCTGCAATCGGAAGATTGGGTCTCTGCAGCAGTTTGTGCCATGTGTGAGCAACTGCGAGGATACAGGGCCCCAGAGCCTGCCTGTGGCCGAAGTGCACAAAATCTCGGTCCTGGACATTCGGCTGGCCAATGCAGACAGGTAAGCAAACAACATCTGTGTTCCTCCTGAGCTGAGATTCAATGGGTGTTGTGTTTGTCCTTCAAATGCTTTACAGAGGATAAGTTAAGCTGAGCGATCTGGGCTCTTGGAGCCATCTTGTTGGCTTTTGGAGGCCATGGCTGCTGGTATTCTCGTGCATTTGTCTGTCAATCAAGGGAACTAACCAGTTTTTAGAACGTGCATTGCGTTGATTCAGATTTTTGAGTCTCGATCTTGAGAGGGTGCGATTGCACAGATTCGTTCGAGGAGCATGCGAGGAAGCATTGAAGAAGCTTTTGTCTAATGACCCTCTTTTCCATGTTGCAGGAGTGGTGAAAACATCCTCATCTGCCGCAACAAAGATGGGAGTACCAAGCTGGTCCCCATTGATCATGGCTACTGCCTGCCTGAGTCGGTGAGTCGTGTTCCCCTCAGAAAGAAAATGTGTTCCCCTCAAAAAGAGAATGTGAGTGTACTTGTTGCTGAGCCAATCTGGGATGTAAAAGCTGGATGTGAACGAACTGGCTTCCTTTGTGTATCTGTGGAAGTCCGTCCGTGTCTAAAGAGACTCATCTTGGGGTTGCACTTGAAGCTTTCGAACCTCGTAGAAACACTTGCAGGGGGTGCATTTCCACATGATGCTGCTACGAACAAGAGCTAGAAGGACCCTTTGATTGCTTGCACGTTCTGAAGTTGCCTGGTTTGGGATGCAGATGGAGGACGTATGGTTCGACTGGATCTACTGGCCACAGGCGAAAGTCCCCTACTCCAGGGAAGTCAGGGCATACGTTGCTAACCTCAACGTGGTAAGTGTTACGTCCGACCATCTTTTTCCAGCTTGCTCGATCTGCTGTCTATCATTGGAACACAAGATCCTTCGCCTGCCTTTCTGCTGCTTGTAGCCTGCTTCGTACTGTTGGCATGTTTCTTGTTGACTGAATCCAATATCGCTGAGAAGTTGTTCATACGACTTGTAACAGCCCTTAGTAACACGAGCTTAACCAATCTGCGCTGTTTCAGGAGGAGGACCTGTCGTTGCTGGCGGCAAACGGGATCCACCTCAGCGAGAAGGCGGAGCGGGTGCTACAGGCCTCCACTCTGCTGCTCAAGAAGGGGGTGGCACGGGGTCTTACGGCACACGACATCGCATCGCTCATGTGCCGGATGGACCTCAACAAGGAGTCTGCGCTTGAGGGCATGCTCTCTCAAGCGGAGGAAGCGTTGCTGCCAGGGTGCTCCCTTGAAGCATTTGTAGAGACGCTAGGTAGCATAGTGGATGAGGACCTCAAGGCGTTTGAGGACAGGTCTGTCTAGAGTCAAAAGTTTGTCGAAAGACTTGCTAGGCTGTACGCTATTCTAGAGCAGGCAGCCAGCAGGTCTAGTCCTGGAGTAGCTGTTGTCTAGTATGTCAGCGAGCGTTAATCTATTAGAGCGTTAATCTAATAGGCTACGGGAGTCACTGAGAATACTGTAATTAACACTGTTCATATGTATGATGGAAATCGAAACGGAGATGAAGATGTGGAAATTGAAACGGAGATGAAGATGTGATACAGAATTTTCACTGTTGTAATTGCGATCTGATTGAAAACAGTGAGCAATTGCAAACATCATAACCTGAAGTAAGGAGGACATGCAGATACGCACTCCAATGTTTGAGCTAGCGACTATCAAAGCTTGCCAGATATAAGACGGTGGGAAGCACAACCATCATAAGCTTTATGCACAGGCGACTCGAGCAGCCGCCTGTAGTGCCAGTGACTACATAATGTTGAATGTCTGTTGAAACTCAGCATGGCCAAATGCAGGCATGCCGGCGGAGCACTAACACTGAGTCGAGCTTATCGTACATGCATAATTCTTGAACCTCAATCATGTAGAATAGTATACTACTGTTTGAATCGAGAAGATCTGACTCACAGCTTAGTATAGAAGTTGGTATATGAATCACGTGCTGCGCGCATATGCTCTGACGACCGGTGACACCGTATGACGATGCACCACATGCAGATAATACATGCATGCCAGCAATTTGAGACGTCTACATAATCATGCAGCGCTATAGTAGCTCTATATAGACATCGTGGCCATACAGTCTACATGCAGGACCCATTTGTACCATGCAATACTCGTGGATCTCCCATGTAGCTACAAATACAGCATTTTGAAAAGAGAACAGATCTGATGTTCATGCATGCACGACTTCATGCAAGTAGCTTTGATATACGCCGCGCTGCACTGGTCACGGTATACACGTACGGCATATACACCTTAGAACATAGGTGACCGCGGATGCACGCCTATCACATGTGCGCAATAAGCATCTCTGTCGTATACTCTTTTGTGGCATTGCATGGAACAAAGACAGAATGGTGGCCGACCGGCACATACACATACCATGTGTATGGTACAAGCATCCAATCCCTTTTCATGTGTAAGATCATGTAGGAAGTCAAGCCGCTACTTGAAAGTCTCCAAAGTCATCGTCCGGCGGAACCTCCTCTTCTTTTCCCTGTTCTCGCGCTTCTCTTGACGTTTCTCCGACTACGCCGGCACCTGACTGGCCTTGCTCGACTTTAGTGTTAGTGTCAGTGGGCAGGGAGCCCTGTACTCCTGAGGGCCTTCTTACAGAGAGGGGCTCGGCAGCCTTGGGAGGAGGTTTCAACACTAGACCCTTTTCTGTCGCCTCAACCAGGTTGCCGCTGAAGTTCTTGAACAATGTCCCGGGCCCCCCTAGCGATTGCTGCTGCGACGAAAATGAGAGGCGCTTCAGATACTTGCAAGCTGAGCTGATTCTAGTTTTCCTAGGTCCCTTTCAAAATTTTGACGAATTTGAGTCCGGTGCCTGCCGCCCTATGTACGCTGGAGAATATAAACCCTGGAATGGTTGAACAACAACCTTCCAGTACATAAACATCCTTCGACCGTCCACCAAAGAAGGTACACAAGACTCGTCAAAAGCTGAATCCTCAAGACCCGGCATAATAGGTACTGACCCATTCAAGGTAGCCTCAAGAGATTGTTGCCGAGCTGAGAGACGCGGTGGAAGGTCAAGCGCTCCATTAGTGCAAGTTTTTAGGATGAAACACGGGCCGTTCTGGTCTACGAGATGGAAACCGATGCTTCTCATCTGTCTCGATATCAAGCGCCGAAACTTCGCAACGACATCGACTTCGACTAAGCCGCCTCGAAATTGATAAGATGGTGCCAAATTGATTCTAAGAATTCGAAAGACGTCTTCGGACGCCACTTCGCAGGCCTCACCTTTTTGGGTATGTCCAGCTTGATGGTGATCTTCTCGCCGGGCTTCAGGCTGTAGTCCTTGGTCGGCTGCTTCGCATACTCCTCGGCGACCTCCTCAGCTTCCTTTGCGCGCTTCACAAACCTGTGGTTGAGATGGTTAGTGAGACGGCGAGAAAGACGTCACCCGACCGGATTGACTGCAACGGCACACGGTGTAAGGCGAAGCACGGCCTCCGCAATAGGTGACGATTGGTTGTCTAAGTGCGTACTTGTGGCGAGCACAGTGCGAAGTCGCGTGCTCAATCTGACTCTGCTTCTTCCTTAGTCTACTTCGAACGGAGAGCGATGCCTTGCCGATTTACCAACCAAGACTCCGCTTATTTGTCTGCTAGCCTGCTCACGGAAAGGAACGAGATGCAGCAAAGAGGCGAGCAGCGCGAGAATGTGGGTCCGCCGAGTCAAATACGAGGTTGGAGCATACTTGACATGGTCGTGCAGCGCCGCCTGAAAGTCGTATGCCTCTGTCCGTTCTCGGAAACCGATGCCGAGAAACGCGTGCCGCTCCTGCTTGCTCGACGTGTCCTCCACTCTCAACACGAAGAACCTGCACAGCACAGAGCCGCTTTCTCACCTTCCTCAGAAATTGCGGTGCCCAAGTTTCAGCTTCCATGTGTTTAAGGGAGAGCTCAAAGCTAAAAAACTTTCAGATGAAGCGCGAAAGCTTGAAAATGTCTCTGCCAAGTGCCCAAAATAGAGTCATGCCGGGTAAGATAACCTAACTTTGACTCGAGAGCACTGTCTCTGTTTGATTCATGGCTTTGCGCACCCGTCAAGCTTGCCAGGTTAGGTCTGCCAAGTTGTATCCAAAAGTGCGCCATATGAAGCCGCTGAGCGGACTTGATCCAACCTTTGAACCTTTGCGCAGGGACAAAGCCTGGGACTTGGCGCAGAGGTCAGAATGTACACCAAAGCTAACTTTGAGAAAGTAGTCCTTATAACTGTATCCAACGCAATGGAAAAAAGTTCGACTCTTCAAAAACGTTGTTATGTTCAGCCGCTCCAAAATTTGTCGCACAGTGCAGGCGGCAACCAAGAAGCGTCCCCCTAGCACACTGCCATGGACGCCTCTGTTTACATGTTAGCGACTTAAGCACCACCAAAGACGTCGCACGAGAATCGAATTTTACTGCAGATACCGATTGTTACTAAGTCGCAACATCGTTGTGCATCAAATCCTTGTCTTTTAGAAATCGAAGCCACGAACGATAGGCTCACCTGCTGCTGTCAATGACAGCCTCGATCGGCAGTGGCTGGTCCTGTTTCACTGATGCTTGCGCAAACAACTCGCCTGAAGACAGAGTAAAAGACAATATCAGCTGAAGCCAGTTTCGCCTATGTTGAGCGGCTACGTTCGCTGTCAAGCCATGTGAGCTGAAAAGGCTCACTGAAAGCTCAAACTGGCCTTTCTCACCTGCTGCAGTAAGGGACCCATTGCAAGTAATGCACAAATAGCGCCTAAAGTTCCAGCATATCTATACTTCTGAATGTCAATTGGACTGAAAGGGGCCAAAAGCAGAATCCTTGCAGCATAAGCGTAAAACAAGTAAAAAGTTCTGCGGATCACATGCCATCAGAGGCGAGGGTGAAGATCCAATTGGGTGCTTAGAGTCCGTCATGTTGTGATTCTTCATGCTTCCAGCTAACAAGGTATTGCAAAAGAGTCACCCCACTCGGGTTCTGTTTTCCAATAGAGGCAAGGGCTCAGCTAGAAACTTCTGTAAGTTGGCCTTGCGTGACTGTGCTTTACTCACCTGACTTAGAATCTTCCAGCCGGATGGTACATTCAGTTCCTACTGAGAGCAGCTTGAGCGTCCCTTCCCAGGCCCACTTGTTAATGTTCCAATCATCAGCCCTGGAAGCAAGAGACACGATGAGTAAGGTTCAGATGTTGCGCGCAGCAGGGTCTAATCACAAGTAGCTGCACATTGTGGATTGTAAGCCTTTGTTTTGATTCTTGAGCTACAACTCTAGTTAGGCTCAATAAGCAGGACTCTTTTCTTGCATTCCAAGCGCGAAATGCAGTCGCCCCAAAGAGGAACAAGGCCAGAAAGTATGCATGGCAGAAGACGAAAATGAATGGTTTGCCAACTGATGGACAAGAAAAACCCACACAGCTCCAATAACCTATTAAGGGAAGAAGGATGGGCAGAGACATCACAATCTGCCGTCAAGCTACAAGATGAAGAACTCTAGTTGACTTGCACTGAACTCCTGGACAGAGTGTTGCTTGGTACATGGTAAGAGCTTGGTTCTGAATTGAAGCCGCAATGGAGAGTCTGAGTCTCTTCAAAATATGTCTGCCAGCATCTTTGCATGGAGCTGAACCGGATGTTCATGAATCACGTACCTGTATGAGAGGTTGCTCATTCTGGGGGGGATCTGAAAGGAAGGGCTAAAAGTTAGTTCTTGATTGCTGCTGCATGTCGGAGGCCCTTCAAGAGAGTTTCTGAAGCTTGCTAAGAGCTGCACCACGTCAAAGCTCACTAACCTCGAGCAAGCGGTCTTGCTTTCAGGTTCAAAGATGGTCTCAAGATGTTGATGTGAGTGGTATGCCATGTCAAACTCCGCAGAACAGCACCATCTGCACCACAAGAAACCTGTGTATACCAGACCCACAAATCCCACACCTAACTCAGGCATATTAAACAGGTGCCCCACCAAACCCTAAAATTGTATGTCAGCTAGCCTACCTTGTAGACATACATTTCAGGCGCTTTGAAGAGTGTTTGCTCAACTGCAGGGACTCCATCCTCGTCCTCATTCTTGTGGACTTCGGCGGCACTCATACTTGAAGCAAAGCAAGAGGAGGAAAGTGCATGCAGAATGAACAGCTGACTCCTCAGCTCCACGCGCTTCTACTCTAAGCTGTTTGTACGATGCCCCTTTGTACGATGCCCCTATGTACGATGCCCCTCTCTGGCGACTCTACACAATGCGCCAGCGCCCAGTGCTAACAATCTCTGCTGAGATGCTGTTCAATTTCAAATGTGCTGCCACTGCTTCTTCAGAGTGGACATGAGAAAGCCACTCACCCAGCTACGCCTCTGAGTCTAGCTTGCAGGTTGACCAAAAAGACCCTATTCTAGGGTTTCAAACACAGGGCCCATTCTCTGGCCCTTAATTATGCTGATTTAGAGGCCTCGTCAGAAAGCATTTTGCATATCTGAGCGGATTAGTAGAAACCTACCTTCCAGGGTTTCGGGTTTGCAGATTTCTTGCACAGTCAACTCATTGAATTGTGTTCTTTGCCCCAATGTGAGAGAAGAAACGCATTGCTCGATGGCAGATATCAAATTTTGCCTTCCTGTCCGTCCCCACTGGAACTTGAAGTGAAGAGCCATTTCTTCTCCGAAGGAGGGAGGCTCGTCTGGCAGATGGCAAGGTGGTGAAGCAGAAAACAATGGGTCCCTAAAAGTTTGTCACAGACGGGCTTCATCTGCGATGTTCATGCGTGCTAAAAGGCTGTTTTCTGGCATCAACTCCGTGCTATGTGAGAGCCTTCGAACCCGCGTACTGAGTGCCAATTGCCAAAACCTGCTGAGTGGTCAGATTGCCCCCATTCAATGCAGCTTAAGTAGTTCTCAGTCATCAGCATTTGCTCAGCAGATTGAAGCAGCCATTTCTCAGTTGAGAGCAATCTCCTTTAAGTCTGGGGCCATGGCACCAGCATACATTGGCGCCTTGGACCAGGGCACTACGAGCACTCGCTTTATTATGTATGATGAGCTGGCGCATCAGGTGGCATCTCACCAACTGGAACACAAGCAGATATGTCCACAGGCTGGGTGAGTGGACCTTATGATTATCCAGAAGTTGTTGAAAGTAGGTTGTTTGACTGCATATAGCAAGGCGTTTCAATTATACTTGGTGAGACTTCATTCCCAGAAGAAACCAAAGAGGAAGACAGTCTGGTTTACAAAACTGGTGGCTTGCCACACCACTACGAATACTCATGAGAATTTTCTTTCTTAAGAAAGTGCTCGACCCTGGCACTGAACAACCGTGTACTGGAATAGACATTGACAAAAGTTTGCCCTTGTTGGATACTTGTGTAAAAGTTGTTGAACCAATTCTAGCTGGCCTTGGTGCCACCGCAGATGAAGCTTTCACATATCACTTTCGACAAAATGAACTGATCCGAGCCTTGCAAGTCTCTCACTTTTCAATTATTGAGCAGGAACAGTTCTAGCTTTTCAAGGAAGCCAATACGAAGCATGCAAGAGAACTGAAGTCAAAGGCTAAGTACGGACCCTTTCAAAGACTTAGTGCCCCTCTGAATGCGTTCCGGAGAGGCACTTGGGGAAAAATCATATAAGAAGGAAAAGAATCCAGCAGAGGAAGAAGAGTTGAGGAAGAGAATTGAGAAGCGTAAAGAATTCTTTGCATATGGGGAGGTAAGACGATGGATAAGTAGATGAAAAAGAAGTTAAAGGCAGACAACAAAGGTGAAAATCAGACTCCAAAAGTAAGAATGAAGACAAACCAAGAGGGCAGAAGGAGCAAAGAAAGAAGTCAACGAGTATGTCCCTGTCTGGATGCAGGTGGGTGGAGCACGACCCTCTTGAGATCCTGCAACGTGCGCGTGAATGCATCGAAGCCACGCTCCAGAAAGGCAAGAAGAAGGGCCTGCAATTCGACAGCGACACAGTCAAGGGCATTGGCATCACTAACCAGCGCGAGACCACCCTGGTCTGGTCACGAAAAACGGGCAAACCGCTCTACAATGCAATCGTGTGGCTGGACATCCGGACACGAACACTCTGCAAAAAGCTGTCAGACCAATTTTCGGACGGTGTGGACCATTTCAGGGGGGTCAGCGGCCTCCCAATCAGCACGTACTTCAGCGCGGTTAAGCTGCGGTGGTTGATGGAGAACGCGCCAGAGGTCAAGGAGGCAATGGAGGCGGGGGATGCGATGTTTGGGACTCTGGACACGTGGCTCATCTGGAACCTGACAGGTGGCGGAAGCGGAGGCGGCCGGTTTGTGACGGACTGTACGAATGCGGCGCGGACGATGCTGATGGACTTGAGGACGTTGGAGTGGCACCAGGATAGCTTGGACGAGCTGGGAATCAAGCGGGACGTGCTGCCAGAGTGAGACCTTTTGTAGCTTCTCACTCGGGGTCGTTGATTTGAAGAGTTCGATTAGCTTGGCGAATCACATGTGTTTCGATCTAGCAGGCGCTTGGACGACTTGCTGAATTTCCTTGGGATGGATGCAAAGGTAGGCCGAATATTGACCATATCGGTTGTTCAATGAGTATCGCTCTTGGAGACGATATGTAGTCGATGAACGGCTGAATTATGTGTAAACGTTTTCTGCGTAAGCAAGTGCATCGAGACGCCTTCAGTGATGTCTGTCGCTTCATGAAATATAAGGAAAGGGCTCACTCCGAGTATCAAACGGCGAGAAGACTCACACAAGCAACTCATTTCGTACGTCTGGGTTTCTCCTTGAGTTTTCTTACAATTTGCAGAATGTTCTCGAGAGCTAATGAATTTCCCCTTCTGAGCAAAGCCGAGGCCCCAGTTGAGATTAACTTTGTACAGCTAAATTGGACGGCTGGTCTGATGTACCTTGTTTCCTATTCTATAGACTCGCCAACAGCGGGCACTGAGTGATCAGGACTGGTAGACCGCATCCATATTACTTGTGCACCGAGGGTTAAGCTTACAACCAAAAGCTGTTGACATACTTTGGGCCCAGCCCCGGCCTCAAAGCTTTCCACAAGAATCTGCATCCACCCCGTCCAGTTCACTGTCCTCGCTAGACCCGTTTCCAACCCACAACGGTCGGAGAGGCAACAACGAAAATGCTCCCGCTATCAGCTGTTCGCTGGTTACGATCGCCTCAATCTCTTAATCCGCAGGATCGTCAGCAATTCGGAAGAGTACGGTCGGGTGGCGGACGACTGGCCGCTCGCTGGAGTGCCGATTGCCGGGTGCCTGGGGGACCAGATGGCCGCCACATTGGGGCAACGATGCAAAAAGGGCGAGGTCGGTCTCCATTTCCTCGCTCGCTTTTCTGCTTGTTTTGCCCGTTTGTGACCAGGAATTGAACGTGGCTTTTTTCGCTTTTTAGCCGTCAGTGCCAGCGAGGGTGGCAGCTTGCGACCCGGACGGTTTTGCTCCGATGTATATTCAACAAGTTGAAACCTGGACATGCGTAGGCCCCCAGGCGAGAACAATTAATGCTCATGCTCTTGAATCGCTCCGCTTTCATGCGGTTCTCTAAATACTCTGACAAACCACAGAAGTCAATCCGCGAGACTAAGTCCGCTTGCATCTCGACCTAATCCAGGTCAGCCGCAAAGACTTTGATTAAACCTGAGGTCTTCTAAATCCGAATGTCTCAAGCCCTGCAGGCCAAAAACACGTACGGCACCGGCTGCTTCATGCTTCTCAACACGGGGACGGATATTGTATCAACTTCTCACGGGCTTCTCACCACCGTTGCATACAAACTGGGCCCGCAAGCGGAGGCGCAGTACGCGTTGGAAGGCTCCATCGCGGTGGCGGGGGGAGCAGTGCAGGTGCGGAAAATGCATACCATCTATTGTGGGTTCGGATTGTGTTCAAACCTTGTAAAGATGCATGGGCAGAGTCCGCTTGCAATACTGTGTCTGTCTGACCTCGCAGCTTCTTCGAAGGCACCCGTTCCGCGTAAGTCACTACGAGGAATGTTCAAGTCTCTTGTCGCGAACGCCAGAGACAGGAAAGTGCTCCGGCCCCGTTCCATCACTTTTCTGACCTCCGTCTGAGCCTAGATCTTGTGAAAATCTTCAGCCTACGAGGTGAGTGGACAAACGCAGCTCGTAATATCAGACAACAAATGTTGGACAGCCTCAGCTTTTGAACGGCTTGACACCTGCCGCGCACGTGGAGGTTTGCTTTAGTCGGATGCGTGAACTCCGATGTTCTTCCCAGCGCATCTTCGCTTCCAAAAACCTGGCCGATCTGAGAAACAATCATTGACCGTCGGCGTACAGCAACCACTTGACCACACGAAACAGAACGGAACGGAACTCATCTTTCACCCCCACGCAGTGCCCCCACGACAACCTGGGCATCATTTGGACTCCCGCGGACAAGTCCCTGTCCCGGACGTCAACAACTACCGGGGGGGCCATACTTCGTGCTGGTCTTGGGGCAATCTGCTTCACCAACGGAACGGAACGGAACGGAACCGGAAATGTAACGAAAACTCTCTTTCCCCTGCGCAGTGGCTTGCGACAACCTGGGCATCATTCGGACGTCGCCGAGATCGAGGCCCTGTGCCGAACAAGACCCGGGGGGCCGTACTTCGCGCCGTTCGCTTGACCAACGCAACTGAACGAAATCTATGAAAATCCCTTTCCCTTTCCGCGCAGTGGCTTCGCGACAACCTGGGCATTATTCGGACGTCCGCAGAGATCAAGGCCCTGTCCCGGACGGTGGCGGACACTGGGGGGTGCCGGCCTTGAGGCAATCGCTTGACCAACGGAACGGAACGGGACGGAACGTGAAAAAATGGAAAACCCCATCTCCTTTCCATGCAGTGGCTTCGCGACAACCTGGGCATCATTCGGACGTCCGCCGAGATCGAGGCCCTGTCGCGGACGGTTGCGGACACCGGGGGGCTGTACTTCGTGCCGGCGTTCAGCGGGCTGTTCGCCCCCCGGTGGCGGAACGACGCCCGGGGCGTCATCGTCGGTCTCACGCAGTACTCCAACAAGGCGCACATCGCACGCGCGGTGCTCGAGGCGATCGCGTTCCAGGTGCGCGGGGAAGAGGTTTCTTTGACGTGTTTCTGTCGCTTGTTGTTGGCGGGCACTTATCAGGCCTTTCCGAGAAACCGAAACAGCGGGAAGTCGTCCGAAAGGTCTGGACGATTAAGACGGCTTGCTCTCAAGCCGTATCTTCATCCTATCAATTGAGGCAAATGACGTACATGTATGCACAGCTTTTTTGGCTTCGAGCTTTCCACCCCGGTCATCAGCTATATAACTCGGGGTCCGCAACCTTGAGTCGTCGGATGCTATCTGCTCGTACGGTTTGAAATCTGGAATCATGCAACAGTCATTGGAGATTATGATGGCCAACAAAAAAGATGAACTGGTGTCAATCAATTCCCGGCTGCAGACACGGGAAGTCCTTGACGCCATGCGGGAGGACGTGGACTGGAATGCCGGACACGTGTTGAGAGTCGACGGGGGCGCCAGCCAAAACGACTTGCTCATGCAGATTCAGGTGATAATTCGAACCTCTGATTTTTGTGAACCTTTTATTCTTAACCCAAAGAATGATGAGCCGAAAATCGGGTTTACTGTGAGTGTGAGTGTTCTGAATCTGCTGAGCAGCCTTCGTGCACCTCCGCAATACTTCTGTTCCGCAACCCGACCTCCAAGATTAGGGGAATTATTTGACTTCTGATGCTCGTTTTCCCGTATTACCGAATTAAGCGTTAAAGTAATCCAGGGGTCAGCTTCGGTGACTGGTGTCACATACCTCCTCTTGACCCAGGAAGGTTTTCCTGGTGAGTGTTGGGATCGCGTCGGGCACAGCCATAAGTAGGAGTGCGAATTGCACGCAGAAACACTAGGGTTGGCTACGCAAAACTCCGCACAGCAGTATCCCATCCACGACCTTGCTTGCGGGTAGTAAGGCCCACGTTTGTTGCACTTCAGAGAGTAGAAAAGTACAAGAAGACGTAGTAGTAGTGAAGACGTCAGCAATTGCTTGTTCTCACAATAGGATCAGGCTACGAGTCATTGCAGCAACAAACGCAATCGGACCCCGCAATCTCCGGCCGAATCCGGCAACCTTGCCGATCTAAGTCCCCGACGCACGCAGCCTGGAACAAGGACCACTCTGCTAAGAGTAAGTATGGTTGCTGATTTTTGATTGACGTCATGTGCGCAGGCTGACATCCTCGGTCGACCTGTCCTCCGCCCTGAGGACGTCGAAACGACGGCGTTGGGCGCAGCGCTAGCAGCGGGTTTAGGGGTTGGCTTGTGGACGGAAGCAGACGTTTTCAGTAGCAAGCTCGGCAAAGGGGGCGTCAAAGAGTTCGAGCCCACAACGGATGAAGCAGACCGGGAAGCTCGGTACAAGAATTGGTGCCGTGCCGTTGAGAAATCCTTGAACTTGGATGACATCGTCAATTCACAAACCTGAGGTCGACTTGGGTGATCCCCGAGTGCTGAGCAAAAACTTAGTTCGAGCACGAGACGGCGATGATCGTTGAGAGGTCATAAGTGATTTCCTAACAACCCGTAGATTGAGGTGCTGGTCGCTTTCGAGATCTTGGCGGCTGGAATAGAATCCTACCTTATAACGTACAACCCAATTCTCATCACACTTGTATGAGGCTGTCCTGATTTACAAAGCATGCACGATCAGCTTGGCAACATGCATGTACTTCAATCATGATGGAACCTGGAACCATGACACGTTTGAACGTAAATCGAATCAACTCTCAATTGCCTGGACATGCATGCCGCCCCTATAGCGAGCACTACTAATCAGACCTCAGCTAATTAAGGGGAATCCTAGTGTCTTGAGTCAGTCTTCATTATCTTACATGGTATGACATGCATGAGATTTACGGACTGATAGCTACAGTCTCTCATGTGCATGCTTCAGACAGTTACAGCATGTTCCGCTGAAGCTGATTCGATGGGAGATATAATGCGAGGCGCCTGCCCTGATCGAAAGCTGGCTCAGTGCTCCGACGCACCGTCGCGGCATGCGGGTCGATAAACATGCAATCGACGCCGCACGTCATGGCAAAACTCGCTCCGTGGCTGCATGTTTAGCTGAACTTAGGACAATCAACGCCATATTCTTCACCTACAATGAGCTTTCAAGCCGCGGCGGCATGCAGGTCGATCGGGAATGATCGCAGCTAGCTCTCGTACCACGGCCAGATTGAATCAGAGAGAGCGACGAGCATATGCGTGCGCAGACCAGCTATAGTAGAGGGGGGACCATGCTCTCTTTGATTTCACGAATGATGTCAAGGCCACGATCCTACGATCACAGTCGAATTCAGTGGAAGGGCTTCTGTAGCAAGTACAGATGCCATGAACCACTGTACTTACTCACTTGTTTATCCGTCAAACAAAAGTGGTTTACATACACTGCGCCAAAGTCCCAAAAGCTTTCAGTGTCCTTTGTTCGCAACTCAGTACGGGCCTAGCCTAACATTGACTCGCCCTGCGGACTCACGGGGGCGTCTTGACCCTTTTAAAGGCGCGCGCACTGCCATCACCCGCGACCTTGCCTCTGCCGACTAAGCTTGAGATGCACGTGGCAAGCTTCCTGATACTTCACTGGTTCCGGCATAATACCTGAAGGACTGAAGGGGCGAAAACGGAACCTGTTTGCCTACGTTCTTACTCACAGCTGATTTTGGCAGATGCGGTCTTCGCTCCCTTCTAGATACTAAGTCACCGGCTGCATAGATCTCTTTGCAGCTTCTATTCAGTGGTCACAAAAGAAATATCAAACTCTCGTCGCGGATCCGCTCACGCTTCTAGTTGAATTCACTAAGTATATCTCACGATTCTCTCAACTCCCGTGTCAAACTTGCTTTCTCCTCCTTCGGAAGGCTCGGCTAAATATCGACGTGCTATTACTTCTCGAAGAGCTCATTTCTTCGCGTGGTTGGGCCGCCGTTGTCGGAGTCAGCGCCGTCCGAACCCTCTGCACGACGCGTCGCAAAGCATCAGCCAGCATCAAGATAGAAGGCTGCGACTAACTCAAGATGAGTGGTTACGACCCCGGAGATTGTAGGGACCTAAAATTCCTATACATTCAAAGAGACACAGAGGCTTGAAGCACCTTCAGGTGCACGGCTCAACCTCCATTCTGCTTCAAGCGAAGCTCCACCTCTGCAGAATCCTGGACTAGGCGCCAATTCGATGCGTAAGCAGAACTTTGTGTTCATAAAGTCCAAATCCTGCACATCCAGAATCCTCTGAAAGTCCCGGACCCTGACCCTCACCGTCCCCGTCATCCATGCCGAAGTTTTCTTCCTCCTCGCGTCCCTCGACTTCGTGAATCTAAAGATTCCAACTTCAGAAGTGGAGTCTTGGGATTCTTGCCAGACTTCGACACCCCAAATCTCCAAGATCCTGAAACCCCGGAAGTCAGAGACTCACCGTCTCCGTCATCCATGCCGTCATCTTCCTCGTCCTCACGTCCCTCCGGGATGACGCTCCGCGCGAGACCGCCGGCGGCCAGATCGCTGTGAATGGCATCCAGCCGGCCGTGCAGCAGGTCCCCGATGTCGCGCATGCGCAGCTCCAGGTTGCGGACGGCGTCCTGTCCGGAAAGGGGGTAACATTTTGTCCCAAAAGCGGTCGAGTTCTGTCCGAAAAGCAGTAACGTTCTTTCCGGAAGGCAGAAACTTACTGTCCGGAAACAAGATCGCGCTCTCACAAAAGCGAAAACGTCTTTCCGAAAGGCTAGAGGACTCTGTCCGAAAAGCAAGAGGAACTGTGTCCGAAAAGGAGTACTCTGTCCGCGACGCAAAAACGTTATGTCCGAAAAGCAGGAACACTCTGTCGAAAAGCAGTAAGCTCCCTTCTGATGGACTTCGGACGCTGTTTGATGGCACTCTGCTCAATTGTGTGACACCGTCCTCTTCGGAAAGCAGAACCATTCTGTCCGAAATGCAAAAAGAACTCCTGGGTGGACTATGGACGGTCGGTGACAAGTGCTACGTGCCAACCCGTTGTGAAGCTCACCTTGAGTTCCAAGAGCTCCGCGTTCTTTTTGGGCTTCTTGGGCTGCTTGAACTGCTTCTTCACGTGCTCGCCGTACTCGACCAGGATCTGCTTCGCGATCCGCTCCGGCCGGTCCGCCGAGCCGTCGCGGTCCTGCAAAAAAGCGCGTGACGTCAGCGGTGCGGGGGTTTCGGAGTTGCTTCTCGGTACGTACCCGGGTCACGGCGCTTTCGCCTCTTCTGGTACGGCATTTATACGCAGTTGACAAGAGAGACTCTGGTCCTGGGGACCCTTAAAACGCAGGGGATGCTTTCGACGGGGTGCTGGAAGCGTCCAAACGCGGGCAGTACAGGGTTCTGACGAAATCCGGAAAGTCCGGACCTGATGTATTGCAAACTGGCGCTGCAACATGTTGTCCCTTCATTTTAAGGGCCCTAGCTAGATACCGACGACTCTCTTTGTCGACCGACCATGTGCCATCTCGTGCCTTTACTACGAATGGATACCGCACGGTCCGGTACGTACCATTTGTAGATACTCGAGACCAAATACCAGCCCACTTCATTATTCTTGATCGCCAACCTGTCGTGAAAAACGTGCCTCTATCTGGCCACCGGTCTAACCGGCTCCTGCGATGGACACTCGGCCGAAATCGACCAATCAATAGGGAGCCAGCTTTGACTTTCTCGACACTATATCATTTCGAGAGGCGCACCTCGAACGGGTCCTGCGTGTAGGCACTGTACCCGGATTCGACCAATCAAATGCCATTCCGAACTCATACAACTCTGTAAAAAACGCACCTCCATCTGGCAGCGCCTCTCGAAGATACTCTGCAGCGACTCGCCGTCGATGTTCTTGCCGTCCAGCTTCAGCACCAGCTCGCTCTCCTCCTCCGCCTCCTCCTCGTCGTGAGTGTCAAGCTCCTTACACTGCGAGCAGTCAGCGAAGAATTGACACCAGAGGAGCAAAAGGCCGTCGGGGCTTTCGTCCTGCTGGCTAGTTGAGATGGCCTTTGTTGTCCGGTGATGCAGCGAAAATGGATACGGACCACAAACGAAGTGTGGAACGGTACGAGGACGAACGTCCAAAAACGAATTGATATCTGTACGGAAGGGACCAACATCCTTTTGATGGACTCTGCGCAAAACGAAAGAGGATATGCCATAAGGCAGGATGAGTAACATCGCCTTTTGAGGACGTCCTGAATCAGTAGCTCCAAGCAGGAAACCTGCTAAAGTTCAACCGAAAGCTATGTGAAAGACGCGAAAGTTTTAAATTGAAACTCGACACGACGAAAATTACCTCAAGGAGTTCCGGCTGCTGTGAACTCAGTCCACTCTGGCCAAGATGTTCGGAACAACTCGTACTGGTGCATCCAGTCGTTTGGTCACACGTTCGCAGGGATCGAGGGCGACCGCACAGGCGGTCCGCTCACCTTCGCGTCGCCGGCTTTGGTCGCGCCGCAGCGCGCCTTTCGCCGCCAGACCTTGAGCTGCTTGAGCAACTTCCTCTGCGAGAGCCGCTTGTTGACGACGGATTGGATGTACCAGTACGCGTACTCCGCGATTTCTTCCGGCATTGTGGGGGCGGTTTCGGTCTTCTCCTGCAGGCAGAATCAACCCCCCGAAAATTTTCAGTAGGCGGAAGCAAGCCCCCCAAAACGTTGAAGAATGTGGACCCAACCCCCCGGAATGCTTCATTCAAACGATGCCTTATACGTTCGCGGGATAGTTACGACCTACATTGAGGGGTTTAGGGTTGTGTAAAAGTAAGGAAAGCCTCAGGGCGCCCTAGCAGTAAGGGCTGTACTGCAACCAGCGCACTACTATATTTTAGACTTGTTCCGAAAGATATGTAGATACTCCAATTGACAATGTGTGTTTGTTGAGGTCTCCGGTCCAATCTCGACCACAATATTGAGTCAGAAAACAGGTGAAGAGCCGGAGACATGTGGAAGAAGGCCGTTTGGTCGACTGCCGGAACCGCTTCTTGTAACGAGCGCAGCAGAGCGAAGCCGTGAGTGTCTTGCCCTCATTGTTTCCCGGTCAATGCCGTGTAGGTTCGAGAGGCGTACTGACCTTGACATCCACAAAGGCGTCGACTGCAATCGCAATCCTGCAAGATAAAAAGCAGTGTTTCAGGGCCTGCAGTAAAAGCCAACCGGTGATATAGGTAAGTGTGCCAGACTTGCCCTCAGGTTTCCCGAACGGATTGGCTCTGTCTCTGGGATTGCCTGCGTCGCGACCATGGATCCAAAAGCGGAAGAAGGGCAAATGTAACTGAAGGGTCCGGTTCTCAGTAAGTAACATGGATCGTTCGACAGCTTTTGTCGAGACGAGACAAATGAGGACAGCGCTTTGATGACGGTAGCTCTTAGGATGCTCCCATCGATATGCGAAAAGACCACAAGGTAGGGTGTGAATCACTCACAGGAAGTTCATAATGATGAAAACGATGAACCAGTTGAAGGTCCAGAAGAAGAATTGGCCGGCACCGAACTCCCAACCTTGAAGCGTCATCAAGTTATATTCAAACTGCAATACAGAAGAGCTAGTGAGTCAGGATCGTTCTTCAGCACTTGTCGTTACCAATCAAGCACTAGCGCTGAACTTGGCTGGATGCAGGGTAGACCGGAAGTGATCTACATTACATCTCCGGAAGGAGGACACGTGTGAAAGTCTTCTGAGAAGGAAGGGCAATAAACCTGATTGCGGTATCTCGGAAATTTGCTTCCTGGCTCACTCGAAGATCGAAAAAGTGCTTCCATGGCTCACTCGAAGAGCGCAAAGTATATCGGTGGCAGCTAGAAAGGGCGACGACCTACCGATGTGTCTCCGAGGATCAAGAGGAAACAACTCGTGATGGACCACCCCAAGCTGCGGAACTGCGAGGGAAGAAACGTGAAAGCTCAGGGACAAAATGTCGTTTTCCTCCTGAATAGGCCTCCAAAAGTCTTTGGCAATCTTGCGAAAGGAAGAGCAGAACGCACGGGGTTGGAGGCCATGTCAAATGACTGTTGGACTCACAAGCAGCCGCTTCCTGAGTCAGTGAAGGCATGAAAAGATCACGGAAACGAAGTACGCAGACGGAATATATGCAGGAAGGGCGGTCCAGCCTGCTTTTCCACTCAGGAAAGAGTTTGCAGGCCAAAAGCGAACGATTCCGGTTTTCCTCAGATCCGTCACGTTCTAGGCGCACGACACCTTTCAGAAGCAGTGGATGCCTTTAGTCAGTCGCTTCTGACGAAGTCGGTCCTCTTCTCCGAGCTTATGAAAACCCTCCAGTTATCTCAATCAAAGATTTTTTACGAGCTCTTTGTAGCAATACTCCTTGCCGAAAAACACGTCGTTTCTCGAAAACAATTCGCCCACAGAGCAGATTCAGATCTCTGACACCCATTGTTGATTCCAATGCGGCTAGGAGAATTTAGGATAGGATGTGAGGCGACGGGCGGGCGCTCACGAAGTCGACGGAGCGTCCGAAGACGATGTGGCCCATGAAGGAGTAGCCCAGGAAGACGATGGTCCACAGGATGAAGAAGTTGAGGATGTCGGGGCCCGCCTCCACCAGCGTCCGCGTCAGAACGCCCATGCGCGGCTGGAAGTGCATGTGCTTCAGGATGCGCAGGATCATGAAGAAGATGCTGCGAGAAAATGAAGAAAGAGATTGTTTTATGGCTCCGTTGACAATGAAAAGGGAGTTTGGGAGTTTGAGAATAGGTGGGTATGTGCTTCAAAGTGCGCAGAATCATGAAGAAGATGCTGCAGGAAAGCGGGGCAAGAGCTTGTTTCACGGTTCTGTTGACACATTAAAAAGGACTGTTGAGTTTGAGAACAGGCATTCGCTCTTCTGCGCATGATCATGAAGACGATACTGCTGCGGGGGTGGGAGGACAGCTGTTATAGGGCGTGATTGGTTTAGCCTCTCCTGTTTTAAATCAGATAATGACATGTGCAAACCTCAGGATGTGCGGCTTACAAGAGATAATGTGTGGAACAGGGAGAGGGCTTTATGCTCGGCTCCGTTGAAAGCAAAACAGAAAGGTTTGGAGGTCAAGAATGGGTGGGAAATATGCTTCAGGATGGCGCAATGAAGAAGGTGCTGCGCGCGGGAGCAAGGAAAGCGCTCATCTGACGGCTCGAAAGGATGGCAACAATTTCCAGTCAGCATGGCGCTCACTTGATCCCGTTGATGCCCGCGTACACGGCGTCATACGAGATGAGGTAGTGGACCTTCTCGAGGAGGTGCGTGAAGTCGTGCAGCTCGGAGCCGTCCTTCTTGAGCTGGAAGAAGCGCGCCGGCTGCGTCAGGCTCTCGTAGATCTCGTAGCGCGCGCGCGCGTGGAACGTGGGCGCCAAATATGCCACGAAGACGATCCTGCGAAGGTGGATTGTAGATTAGATGACGTCAAATGGCCTCTGATTATAGTATTAATATGGAAAGAGATGCAGCTCAGGCGGTCGTAGACCTCGTAGCGCCCGTTTGCGTGGGATGTCGGCGCCAGATATGCGAAGAAGGGGACTCTGTGAGGGCGGAAGGGATGCGGAAGTTTCGTTGAGAAAGAAAAGAAGAGCGGAAACGTTGGCGGTTGAAGTTGGCAAAGGGCTGTTCAGATGATCACATTCTACCGCGAGGCCCGCAGAACGATGTGCCGGAACTCAGAAGGCTGTTTGTTGGGGAGAACAGCGCGTAGTTAAAGGGAAAGTCGCACAAAAGAGAAGGACTGGTTCTACGATGATGGCAGAAAACGGAGGAAGTACCACGCATGCCGGCGTAAAGAAGGCGAGAGACTGGAAGAAGGGCAAATTATCCGCGCTCGAAACTCTGAAAGGGGTTTCAGATTGTTGCGAACAGCACTCCGTGGCACTACTTCACACTGATGTTGGACCGGCTGCTCGCAGAAGTTGCTGAGGTCATCCCTTGTTTTGCTCCTTCATCAAAAATCGTCGCAGAAATTGCAAGGCACCGCAGGAAGTTGCTGACAAGTAGCAATACTAATCCGAATGAAGTCAACGGATGTCCTCTCCAAAAGAACGCAAAGATACTCATGGGCGCACAACCAGCGCAGGCTTCCGACAAGCTCGTCAGCCGCGCGACAACAAATCCTCCGAATCGTGAAGATGCAAGACGGCAGTCAAGCGCGGAAAGACAAGCCTCACCTCATAACGACGGCCGTCACGAGCAGCGTGAGCGACGCGAGGTCGATGTAGTTCCATGCCTGCGCGAAGTAGGGCCAGAAGGTGCCCTTCTTCCGCCGGATCGAGATCGCTTCCGCGATCTCCTTGTAGGCCCCGAAAAAGATGGAGCACGCCACGATGATCTCCAAACACGCCAGCAAGTAGTCAATCGGCCGCCGGTAGGGCTGCACGTCAGTAGTATCGTTTTTCGGTTAGAATACGGCGCATTTGAGATACATGGTTTACTGCCAGGGGGATGGGTGAGGTTAATCTAGGGGTTTAGGGTACTGGGTGCGGATAAGGAGCGGGTGGGTTTGTTTCCAGATTTTTGGTTTAGTGCGTCGTCCCGGTTTCCGTTTTGCATCTCAACCCGGTTTCTCCTTTGTACCTCAACCTGGCTCATGAACCCGACCTGAACTCCAAAACTGACCTGCACGTCCACCGCGTTGATGTTGGTGTTGACCGCGATCTTGCCCGCGCGCTGGAAGGTCAGCCGGACCTCCGTGCTCACGAAGAAGTGGCTCTCGCCTGGAAGAGGGGACGGAGTGAGAAGGGGTCCAAGGTCTTGTTATCGCGAGAGGCGGGGAACCAATACGAAGGGAGATTTTAGGATCAGCGGCTCTTGCCTGTTGGGGTGCAGGTAAAATCAGGGGGAAGACCACATGCGATGAATCTTTTGGGGGAGTGGAAGGCAGATGAGGATTGCACATTTCTGGACAATATGTCAAACACAGAGAAGCATCTTTTTGGACCTTGCTCTGCTTGAATCTTGCTTGGAAGAAAGCTGAGAAGTACTTCTCATGATACTAGCGCCTGCGGCTGAAGCAGAGAGCATGAATGACCCACTGGAAAAGAGGGTCGGCGCAATGAATGCTGGTTTGCGTGACAGATCGTATCGCATCGGGGCATACCTCTTTCACAGATACCACCGATATATTTGGGCAAGAGACGGTTGGGCGGTAGGCAGCGGTGCCACGACGATAGCTACGCGTCGGGACTTCGTCCAGGGAGCAGAACGCTCGAGTGTACTTCCGAATGAGCGACAAAGGTATAAGTCGGCGGATTTTCAAGCTACTACAGGGACTGAAATTTATGGTACAGTAGTGTGCCAGCTCACCGTTGTACGTGACCAAGTGCAGCAGTAGGCTGTCGGTAGCGTTGTCCAGGAACAGCCCGTCGGCCAGCGTTTGCAACCGGGCCTGCGCCCCGGCCTGGTCTAAGTTGATGTCGAAGACTATAGGGAAGCCCGGGTCGCCCTTCCCCGAGTCCTCGCTGTAAAAGCCCATGGGGACCCCGAGGAATGTGATCTCTTCCGGGGAGTAATAGTCACCGATGTTGGCGACCTGGTCCGGGTTGAACAGAGATGACGTCGGCACGAAGACGGGGTCCACGCCGAAGGGCGCGATGGACTCTCCGTCGATGCAGTACTGGAAGAGGCTCAGGAATCTGCGTCGGGACAAGGGAGTGGGGACAGTGGGTACGGGTCAGGCAGTTTCAGAGAATGTATAATACTGGTGGAAGTAACCAACTGGGGCCCGAAGGGGCTCGAAACAGATTAAAGGGGCGGTGGGGGTCCAGGCAGGGATGAGCAGCACGCAGAGAAGCAAGTGTGAAGGTGGGGCCTCTTCGAGCAACTCAAACAGGTGCGGAGTCTGTGACAACGGAAGAAAAGCAGGTACGGCAGGGTCAGAGCGAAACAAGGGAAAAATTTGATTACAAGCCAGTGAGGGGCTTACCGTTTGTCTTTGCAAAGCTCTCCTCCGTATCTCTTCTGCCTCATGTACAGGCCCCCAATAATTCTGCAGAAAGATTCAGAGCACATTTCATGCAAGTGAATCAGGACGCGATCGCTAATAAGACGAACTGCGAGATTGTCGATCAAGCCTTCGTTGAGCGTGAAAGAAACAGGACCCTTGCGTTCAGGGAAAGAAGCTGCAAACTATTTCGTACCTGTTGTGATTGGTCGCGTAGCGGGTCCTTGTGCAGTTGCTGGGGTCGAAAAGGGACTCCTGGTTGTTCACAATCACCACTTCAAAGGTCGCACGGTAATCCTGGCCGATCGGTTCTGCTTGGCAGCACGCTGCAGAATATGAAAGAGGCAATTTCGATCGCGCAATCTGAAGGAGAGGAGAGGATAGAAGAAACGAAGTCTTTCCACAAACCCGTGAAGGACTAATTTGGATCCTCGGGGATGCTTCAATCGGATAGACTGCGCTACAAAAGTATCACGGTAAAGGTGGCGAATATACGATCTTGACCTATCAATTATGGTCAAGATCGGGAAAATCCAGGATCAAAAGAAGATGGAAAATAGAATTAATTGGAAACAAGGTAAGGTGGGTCGCTTTAAGGCAACACCTTGAGACGGCATGAGCCTTGCAGCGTCAGAGTTTTGTGAAACTTTTGCCGTATCCCTTTCGATACTAATCAGAAACTCGCTTACGAGCACGTCAGCAAAGACTCTACAGGCTGACAAGGCAGACGTACCGCCGTCGTCGCTCCTGATCTGTCCCGGGGGGCACTTGCACAGGTTGTTGGTTCCGCTTCCGCCGGAGGTGGTCGCCAGCACGGTCGCCGGATCCGGGCAGGAGCAGTCCCCGCCGTCGAAAGCGCACTCCACGGAATTGCAGCCGAAGCTGGCGCCGCAGCGACCGTTGGCCAGCAAGCGGATGGGACACCCGGGCGCGCACTCGCGCTGGTCCTCAGTTGTCACCGTTTCTGCGCGCCAACGTCTTCTGAATCGTGACTGTCGTTCGCAAATCATATTTTCCTGTTCAATCGCTCAGCTCCCAACACAAATCCTCTCAAATACTGCATTTGCTTATCAGAGATTATCACAGAAGTATATACTCGGAAAGCCATTGGAGAAGAAGCTTGCAGCCATGCCAGTGGAAGTCGCTAGAAGCAGCGCAGATCGGTCTTGGATCCAGACACACAGGCGCCGCTGAGCATGGATTGACATCAGTCGCCCTTACTTTCCATGACAAGACCTGTTGTATCACCAAACAATTTGTTCAAGATATGAGCCCTGTAGGCAAAGGGAGAGTCTCCAAGGGACAAAAGCACTACCATTTGCATCTTGCAAATGTCGGACAGACGATTGGCACGGAAGATCGAAACAAAAGCTGTGGTCGAATAAGTTTTGCGCCTCTGCAAGGAAGGAGCTACTCACGAGGAAGGCCTTTGTCCTTGGGCGACACGTACACTGTCCCAGTCATCGATGATCCAAAGCGGGAGTCCAGGTATTCGTATACACCAGGCTGAGTGAATACTTGTGTGAAAGAGAAGGCTGATGTTGCGGTTTGAGCTGCAAAAAAAACAGTTCGTGAGTCTGGTGCTCAAATAGAGCAAATGATCTCCACTTCGAGGTTGGCGAATCCTCAGCCTAATCTTCAAATTCATAGCTGAAAGTCAGTGAAGCAACTTGAAGAAAGGTCCGCTGCAGGTTTCCACGACGAGAGTCCGCCAATCGAAACCTGGTAATGAAGAATACCGAAGCCAATTTGATCTCATGCTGAGGAGCGGCTGCTTGACGTCAGACTATTCGCAGGCGAAAGCGGAACAACAGGTCCATTCACCAAGTTGCGTAAAGCACCGCAAAAAGCAACCGACAAACCCCTGTATCTTTTCAAGAAGGAGAAGATATTATCGAGGCTGTCGGTGGCTCTCACTCTAGCATTTGATTGATCCAAACCGAGCTGCTTCTGACCATACAAACTGTCAAGCGCAGGTTGAACAAGCTGTCCACCAAAAGCCCCTTCTGGGATCGTAACATAGGTTTCGTCCAGATACCTTCGAGTCCTCACCTGCTTTGAGAACGTTATCGGACCGAACGACACATGGCACAGGGTCCGTTAAGAAGCTGCCATTTTCCCCAGCTCCAACGTTTTCGGGGCTGCATAAGCTGCCAGTCGAGATGACTCGCCGGCCAGTTCCGAATCCGTTGAAGATGTCAGCGGAATCTTGCATGTTTTGGCCTGCAGAAGCGGAGGCTCTCGTGAGCGACCAAATCCGCAGCGTTCAAGACATAAGCTGTTGAAACAGCTTGCGAGTGGTCTTTTACAATCGAAAAAGGTTCCGGACAAAGCGCAACCGTCAGCCTTAACAAACCTTTCCTAGATGGATCTTATGTCAGCCAAGCAATCTGGCAATTAAGGTGGATCTGATTGTCGAAGCAAACGCTAGTCTAGAATGCTTTAAAGCACGCAGGACTATAAGGCCTGGACGTCCCTTTTAAATGCAACCTGAAAGCAGATCAACCTTGCAGCAACTAAACAAGGATCTAGATCTGGCCTGCATACCTGCAGTTGAAGACGAAGGATAGGCATATAGCTTGCCTTTGACAGCGTGTGGAAAGTCATCCGCCCAGACAAACTGGATGGAGTCTCCCGCGGTGATATTTGTGACGTAGTGCACGTCCAGCTTCCACGGAAGCACAACGTTGACTGCGAGTACAGATGATATGAATATTGCTGCCCTCAGTTTAGGTGCTTCCGTGCTTCGAAGGAGAACAGAATAAATTGCGAGGGGCTAGGGTTTCAGCGACTTGCGCATGCAGCAGATCCTCGCAGCCGTTCATTCAGCCGCTAAGAAGCATCAGAAACGTTGTTGCTGCTAAAAGGATCAGCTTAGTACACATGGACGGGTTGAGTCTGCAGGTGTAACAAGGCCGTAAAATGAGCCCCGTGCGAGGTCGACTCGAAAACGCCGGTCAGAGATGCAGTCCCAGTGTTCATCAACCCAGCACTGGCACCCTACATCCAATCTGGTATGCAGTCTAAAGCTTGTTCTCAACCACCAGGATAGACCATGCAATTCGGACCTCCAGTGCGCCCAAGCTGGCACGCGCTCACCGAGATTGCAGTTGTTGACTTCCTGCTGAACAACCTGAGCGTCCGTGTCGTGCAGGTGATTGCCAACATTGACGAGGTCCGCGTCGCTGAGCGTGAAACCGATGGTTTCGTAGAGCGCGTTTTCTAGGATAGTGATGAAGCGATTCTGCTCTGGCTGGGAGATGTTGTACGGACTGCCTGCGCCATACTTTCTCTCCAGAACAGCCTGCACAAGTTCGAAAAACTCTGAGCAGAGAGAAAGGGCCTAGGTAAAAGATCAGGAAGTGGCACGCTTTGGCCAGGTTCTCAATCCAAGATCGTCAAGTTCCCAGCCCATTCAATTCACCGATATCTCAACCGCAATCAGGCTTGTCCAGGTGAAATCGATTCTGCCAGTCCAGTTGGGACTTCACCAGGGATTCTCAGGCCGCTGAGGCTGTGAGAATACACAGCGCGGACGATTCTGAAAAGTGTTGTTAAGAGGTTCTCATTTTACTCTTGAACAAGAAGTAAAGGCATTTGGATTATCAAGCTCAAGCAGACAATGATCTAAGCTTAACTGATCTCACAAAGACCCGGGGGAAAGCTTGAAATGCAGAGATAATCTTATGCTTTCTTGGAAACGAGCAAGCTAGGTGAGTACACGATCCTCACATGCAGAGCGTCCACGTCAGCAGACGTCAGCGTCGTGCTGGTCGTCGCGTCCGTGTAGGAGCACCCCGGCAGCGTAGCAGGGCCCCCAAAATAAGCACAGAAGAAGCCGAGCATCTTAGGCCCCGTTGTGGTTGGGGGCATATAATACTTAGCCAGGCAGGAGTCGATGATCCAAGTGTTGAGGGCTCTCGACACGGCCGTGGCCAGATTGCGAAAGCGTTGGACGTCCGTGTTCCCAAACTGCTGCCAGTAGAGCTCGGTTCCGGTTCCGGCCTGGGAGAGGCGCCGGCCGGAAGACGCGAGGCGGCGACGCCCTCCTGTGAGGTCGGAGCCCTTGACGGGTGCTTGTGCGCGCGCGGTGAGAGTAGCCGCCTGGTCAGGGTGTTCGGACACGTAGATGGGGTCGACTGCAGGCGAAAGGAATCAACAGAACGCATGCTACTCTTTGTTCTGAGTATGATCCAGGGTGTTTTCAGGTTCACAGCAACGCTGATCTAATGTAAAGACTTGGATTTAGGATTAAGCAGATTGTTGAGGTTTAAGCTTCTCGCTGCAGGAAAGTTTCTATCATACTGGTCCATACCTTCTGAGTCGCCTTTTCTGAGAGACAGAGTCGTCTATTTTCAGCTGCGGAGGTCACGCACCGAACGTGCAAGATAAAGATTTGCCCCTTTTTGTAAAGTCGCTTCTAGTCAGGCAAATCCGACTCAAGGGATAAGGCCAAAGCAGGACAGCCATTATACATAGCGCCGATTCTCAGAAGAGGGATCATCCAACTTCAATCTGCCTGATAGCTAGGGTAAAGCAAAAGTGTTTCGTGATCCATTCGAGTGGCGAGTCCGCATCGAAAGATCGGAATCTTGTGCACTCAGGAACGGAATTGCACCATTCATGAGGAGTCGGTGGCCAAAACTTACGGGTGCAGACCCTGCCGCTGGCCGTGAAAAAGGAGTCGTGCTTGCTACTGTTGGCAAGGGACACAATCTGAATAGAAACGCGCACGGGGCTTTTGTCACGCTTTCACACGGCAATACAGTGGTAGGAGCTAGGGCACATGAGCAATTTTGCAAAGCCTTGTCCGAATGCAGCCGCACTGGATGAAAGCCCGAAAGCGAAGGCACTTGGGATGCATCTAACCCAGGAGAATATCGTACAGCCTACAACTTAGGAAAGGAACATATCAAGTGCGTAAGCAGATCTTGATGAAACTGCATGATGCCTTGTATAACGACACGAAGACGCGAGTTGACAAGAATCTGATGTATCCACCGACTAAACAGCTACAACGACAGGTTTTTGGAAGACCCGATGCTTCGTAGTAGGGATGCGGTGCGGAAAGGAGGCGCCCTCGACAACTAGGGGCGTATACGTAACCAACATCGCAAAGGGTTAAAGGGAGGGTTCAGACGTCGCGCTTCTCACTTGGAGACAGTTCAGGTTCTGGTAAGGGTCCAAGGCCGTGACATTCGCATTGCAAAGCCCAATGCAGTCGACGAAGAGGCCGGCCAAGGTGCGGTCGTTGACGTTCGAACAGGCGTCCACAGCACATCCGACGCTCTTTGCGCAGATCTGCGGTCGGAAGCAGGAGACGGACTGAGGAAGCGTTCGCGGGGGAACTCGGAATAGGACGTCTTTTAGCTCTGAGGTTGGACTAGCACATTCGAAGGCTCGATCTGAGGACGTACATAACCGCTTTGCGCTGAAAACGCTCATGGAGGCGCAAGGACGAAGACATTCAAAAGTTGGATATACAAATCGCCGACGACTTGCACTCGGAGCCCCACAGACCACGGGTCGCCCCCACGCTCCCGCCCGCTTCATGCCGAGCGCCCATGAAGTGCAGAAACCATCCTGTAATTATTCCACGAAAGGAGCCAAGCAAGACAGGTGAAGAAAGCCTAGCCGGGCACAAAAGGTAGACAATCAGCTCACCGAGCGGCAGCGGACCAGATCCGACTCCGCGTCCGGCTTGCAGGTGCCCCAGCTCGACAGTTTGATGTCTTCAGCCGCGCCCAAAGGATCTACAATCTGTGTGGTCGCCTTTCCTGACACACCGTCACCGGGGGACGTCAGGCGGACCTCCCAGGTGCCGTTGGGGAGGTTCAAGGTCGTCTCGTACGCGCCCGACTGGTCGGCAAACCTCTGATTGGTGTCAAACCTGCAGGGTTGGATATCCGGAGTGAACATCTGCGTTCTAATCGTCTCTGGTTGGAACAATGGTCGTCGCTTTCAACCAGAATCACGTTCCTAATGGCGGGGGTGTGCAGAGGGGGGAGCGGGGAGAAGCAGGCATGCGCACTGGTTCTTGTTGAAGTGGGCCTCGGTGTGAGTCCTTCTTTGCAGCTTCTTAGGTACGCTCCGCAACAGCAGGATGTACTTCAAGAAACGAGTTCGTCCTCGCACTTGGATCAGGCCCCCGGGATAGGCCGCTTCTTGGCGTGCTTTCAAACACGTTGACCGCCCTTCGAACACTGCAAACGGTCATCCCCTGCAAAGCCCGTCTTCCCTCGAATATCTCTGTCAAGGGGAAAAGCATTATCGAAGGGGCAAATACTCATCACGTGCTCGACCAGAATGCACGCAAAAACAGCTTGTTTCCCCCTCTTAAGGGTCCAAAAACTGTATGCCGACGTTACAAGACAAGCTGGGACTTCAACCAGCTTCGTCGCCCTAACATAAACCGGATCGTTTTGTATGCAAGCCAACTCACCAGCACAGATTGTCCGGATACGTCATGCACACGTTCCATTCCGCGTCGGCCTGATCCTGCGCGGTCTTGAAGTCGGTCTCAAACGAGACCGCTACCGGGACTGTGTCCATTGCCCCGCAGTCGGGGGTACACCCAAAGCGCCCAAATCCGTTGAACTCGATGGGGCGGTCGCAGACTCCATCGCCGCACACTGGGTCCGCCCAGATGGTATTCACAAACGTATCGTTGATGTACGCGTAAATGTCGTTGGCGTACGTGAAGCTGCTGCCCTGAAAATAAAGAAGAGGGGAAATGTCACTTAAGCTACAGCACCCACGGTTGACAAGCACAGTAGCAAAATTTAAGAGAGCAGTCTCAGCAATGTCCAACCATGGGGGAAAATGTCCTCAGCTACAGCCCCCATGGTTAGTCCTGCAGTCTCTTCCACAAAAAGCACGCAATACAAAAAAGCGGCCCAGTCATTCACAGGTCTTTATCATCATCACTGGATTGATGGAGCTCGAATAAAACATCCCGAACCCATCCGAAACATTGACACCTTCCAATGGCAAAAACATTTATCACTACCCGGAAGCCATGGCATTAACAGTTCTAACAGAAGGATCCTCGGGCCCCTTGACCTCGCACCCAAGATGTCGTTTTTGACAGAGACTTCGGTAGCTTCCACAAAGGCGAAGAGAGTGGTATATCGTCGACTTCTGCAAACTTCGCACCTAATGACTTGCAGAGTGGCAGTGCAACATCTTGGGTGCGAGTTTAAGGTGCCCGAGGTGTGATTTTAGAGTACAAGCTGTGAACTGTTTGAAACACAAACAAGCGTGGCTCCAGCGCACCTCTGGCAGAATTGCAGAGTTGGCCGTGGTCAGCTGGTACACGAGCGCACTGTTCTGCTGCATGTACAGGACAGTCATGTACAGGCCCGTAAAGATAAGGAACGACAGCAGGTTGCAGTATTGCGTCTGCCGGTACTTGGTCTCCTTGATGATGTCATAGACGCGGGAGACAATTGTGCGATCCTGTCTGCGAGCACAAAGGAGGGAGACTCAATCGGGGCTGGTTAGCCAAAATAGAGAAGCATGATAAGAAGCTTGAATTGGGTCAGAGGGGGAGTGGCCTTGTGGACTGTTTCTGAAATATTCGACCTTCAAACGCCCATGCAGTAGCGAGAATTACTCACCCTCCACAAAGGGTCTGGTAGGGTGCACTGGCCTGCGGCATTTCTTTCCTGTCATGTGCACCCAAAGCTTGACCGCCCTGGATTTTAGAAGTGCTGCATCATGCTTTTGTGAGGGTCCCATCTTCGGCACGCTTACGAGATGCTGATGTTTGAACCTTTACTTTCTTGGCCGCGGCCGCAGAACAAGTTATATTATAGGGGCACATAACGCTGAAGCTCTATATCTGCAAATGCTTCCAAGATGTGTAACCCACATCTTCTGTTTTTCTTCGATGTAACGCAGAACTTTGCAAGAGTGGCATACTGGGTTTGTAGACAGCAAAAGCCAAGCCTCGTTTAGCAGATTCCCACAGCCTACTGCTTCCGAGATAGCGGAAAGACTCCTGCTTGGAAGAAGGACAGGCCAAAGGGAAGAGCAACTAAGGAAAAAACTAGGATGCAAATGAAGGGAGGGGTTTATGCTTTGGTATTTTGACAGGAGCGGCATGCCCTGTTTCCTGTCTGATCACGTCTAAGATGCTTCGGCAAGTTTAGCCCACACCAAACATCACAGAAATATGTGCTACACTGATGACAGATCAATGAGACATAGTGCTGCGTTCCCTTGTACATTGAAACGTGGTGGTCAAGCCGCGATCGCCTCATAATGCCCCTGAAACCAATGTTTGACTGGCAAGCAAAATTTTCACCATGACCACTTTCATATCCAGAGAGCTCCTATTCACCAGTTCTTGGAATCTTTAACTTCCTCAGTCACATTCTTTTGCTCCAGGTCTCAGTCCTTTCTTTCAAGCCCTCGTACTTCTTGCTCTCTTACTCATTGATTCCCACCATCACAACCTTGGTCTCTTCTGCCCCTGCCCTCCAAAGACCTGAAGACAAGGTTTGACCACATGCCCACTGGCCCTACACATGCAGAAACTCCTCGCCAGGCACTAGGAAAGAACTCTTAAACAAGGAACAGGAAAGATTGCCAGACGTGACACTCACTCTTCGACGGCGTCGAGGCCATCCTCCAAGCCCAGCCGTCCGTACCGGAACTCTGCGTCCGAAGTGTCCGACTCTAGACCCGCCGGTAAGCGTCCTGCTGGCGGCCTTTTCCCATTGCTGAAAGCGGGGAGCTCGGGGGCTGCTTTGCCCTGCTCGGCAGCAAGCCTGGCCTCCTCTTCCCTCCGCTTCTGGTTCTTTTTCCTTTTCAAGATGACAATCTGCGTCGCCATCCTGTTGTTTGCGTCAATCAATCCAAAAACAGCCCAAAGGGACACTAGGATGGTGTTGTCAGAGCTTGGAAAGGTACGTAAACGTGTATTCTTCTAGCTTCTTCTGCTTCAGATTCAAAGGTGTAGAATGACAAGACCGCTCATGGCTTGTCTCAGAGAACAACCACTGCGCTTCTGAAAGTGCAGATTCGGAGCTAGGGAACTTCACAAATTACAGTAGCATCCTGACTTTTATGTCCCCAGGGACAACGAATTTGTTTGAGCCGCGCCTGCGCTGCTGTAAATGCTGCAGCGACATGATGTCTACCGAATAGAACGGAACATCACCAACAGTACGGTGCTCTAAATGCCTTCAATGTCCCAACTTGGAATTGCACGTCCTCTGAAAGAAGCCATATTCAAGAGTACAGCTTATACGGTAGCTGGCTGCTCCAATACTGCTCAGCACGGAGGCCTTTCTTCACGGTGGTCTCTTGGTCAGGACTCAGGTAGGACTACAGTGCGTCATTGTCAGTCTTCAGTCTGATACTAGCAGTGATGGTACATAGTACATACGGTACTACAGGCAGCCGTCCATGGTGGCGTGCCGCGCTGGCATCCCACACTGACGTCCAAGGCTCAAGCCAGCTTTTCGTCTCTCATCATTCACGGCATGATCCTGTTCCGTACGACTGCCGGGATTGCTCTGTACGGAAATTGTCAGCTGTCGCAACCGCCATTTTCGCACATGGCCCGGCGTGACACGTGAGCACGAGATATTAACTTGATGCACGCGTCGTACGGTCTCGGAAGCTGCATGACCGATTTACACCCGCGGAAAAGTACTAAAAGCGCCAGGTTAGGACAGGGTTTAGAGTAGTCTAATGCAATCTCAGTCGGGAATAAACCCGGTTCTCAGAAATAAGGACAGCCGAGAAGATACTGGACTGCCACAATCACTAGGTGTGAAAACCTTGCGAAGCGTTTCATTCCTTAATTGGCGGCCCATATGCACGTGATTCGTGAAGAGTCGAAGACCCGATTAGGGGCGGGCCGCGGGGTGCAGTCAAGTTCAAGCTAGGTTGCCTACTCCTGGTCCCTAGGGGCCCGGCCAGGGCATGTTGACTAACGAAATTGCGGTTTGGGGGTTATCAAAATTGGACGTGTGAAAGCGTGTTGGAGCTTGTCAATGTTAGGTTAGTATAGGTGTTTTGGGTTGAGCTTTTCCCCGAGCACGAAATGGAATCGAGAAGGATCCGGGGCGCTCAACCGGCCACCCAACGAAATGCAGGGATCGCCCTAGAAACCGCATGTGCAGTGCATTTATAGCCCTGACAAGACCGTTTTCATATGTTGACAGACGCTTATATACGATCGGCCAATCAATATAGGTACCGAGAACCCGACTCGACTGCCTAGCATCGAGCACTGCAGAATGTTCGATGGACCGTCAGATCGAGCTGGATGCCATGATAAGTCGCCAGTCATGTTCTGATATGGACCAGCCAAACCAATGAATCAGAACGTGGCTCTGTATTCCGTATCGCTCTCTGAAAGCCAGGGCTGCGGACTTGAGCGAAGCCGCTGTAGAGCAATAATTGTCTGGCAACAGAGGGGAGTGGATTGCATCTGAGGATTTCATCCGTGCTTCAAAGTTTACCATAATCAAAAATCAACAATCACGGCATGGATGTGTCTTCTTGAAGCAAAGGAATTCAAAGGCCCAAGCTCATTCGTCTCTCATCCTGTTGTTGCCCCACTTGCCCAAAGCCCGGCCGTCACAGAACTGGATCTCTTGTCGGCACATCTGCTGACCCGCCCACTTCAACATAAGTCAATCGTCAAGAACGCTTCTGCCAGTATGGCCTTTCCACTACAAATGATGGCAGATGGCACAAGCGAAGTCGACCGCACATCTCGAGTCGAGGAAATTTTAGTGGTGCGACGGCTCGTAATCTCGGACCCTTGCTTCCGCAATGCTTCTGACCTGCAGTTTCATTCAGGCCCGTCGAACACTTCCGCCCCTACGGCCCCCTTTTTCATGTTTCTTCATCTTCGTTTACTCTGCCGGCTCAAGTGCGTCTCTTCTGCCCCCCCCGAGTGCGCCGTCTCGTGCACCTCCGCCGATATTTTGTTGACCTCGTACAGGATGCCCAGAGAGAAGAGCAAACTGCAAAGGTGAAGCGGTACATTGAACACTCATTACAGCAGATCGCTTCGAGCTCGTTGCTTCTCTTGCGTCGTGGCAATCCGTTCCAGTAGGAGCAGACATTTTTGTCGCACTTCAAATGGTAAGATGCCGCCTGAGAGCTTCTCACCTTTGAACTCGTCTTCTCTTGCCTCTCTTGCCTCCAAAGGAGTTCTCTCTTGCAGTTCGTCAAAGTGTTATCCTACTTAAGTCTGACGTTTTCTCTCTTTCATTGGTGTAGAGTGGCTGCTGAGTGCAGCTTCTGATATTCTCTAGTTTCTGCCGAAAGAGCGGATTCGAAAGGCCGTATTTCTTGGCTTGTCCACGTTTGGTCTGGGGTATCACGCTTCCGTTGGTTGAAGAGTTTCCAGTTTCGGTGAAAACGACGCAATCCAAAATCAAGTCTTTGTCAACCAAGGACCTTAAGCACGAAGCGCAAAGAAAAGGGTGGTCGCAAGTTGGCTAAGCTTCGCATTTAAAGTGTCCAAGCGTTTGCGCGCTAGAATGCAGCATGCAGTCAGCAGCCTGGGAGGAGTCGGGCAATCAACGCGGCAACTGGTGAAGGCTCCAGAAGTGAACGCAAGCGCGCCACAAAGGAACCTCAATCCAGCGTAAGCGACACATTTTAGAATCCAATTGTAAACCTTTCAGCTCCGCTTACCACGTGGTTGCCGAGACTCTGTGGACACTGAGAGCCGCAGCCTCCGCAATTAGCAGGGAAACAATCACTGCAACCACAAAATGGAACAAGGTTTTGGGTCAGCTCGTATAAGTACTCGTTCTGTGTTGGTCCGACCGGCCATTCTCTTATTTCATCTCAAGAGTTCGTGAAGAGGGGTCCAGGCCTTTTGACCAACACGTTTAACCACTGCAACTTGAAGCTCATGGGCAGATGTGCGGAGCTTGAACCAACATACTTGATTAACGCGGTTAATGAGGGCAGTTCAGCAGGATCTCACTGATGAGGGTTTGCAAAGCGACGCATCCAAGAAGAGAAGACCGTGAGCGGATCTTGTGACCGATTGCAGCAGACGACGTGATTGGAGAAAGGAACATCAGCTTCGCCCCTACATCCCTAAGATCCTAAAACCCTTTCGTGATGGGTAGACTTGAAAGCACAGAAAATTTAGTGATATCAGGGAAGGGCTTTGAGTCCCGCAATATCGACAAGTTTTCCGTTTGTTGAAGCAGACCGGTCATTGGTTGAAAAGCAAAACGTTCACTTCAACATCACGACTTTGGCCCGAGTGAGACCATTGGGAAAACGACTTTTCGTTGACACCAACGAACTGAGCCGCAGACCGCCAATACCAATTCATTGCTGGTGACGAATCGAGTATCTTTTCAACGTCCATCGCCCAAAAGCAAAGAGCGCTTACCGTGGGGCCAGCCCGCCCTCCCCTTGGCTGTCTCCTCGAAGTTACCGGCAAACTGTACGAAGAACAAGGCGATGTAATGACTTGTAGAAGCGGTCATTTTCGACGATGGGAGGACAAGCAAAAAAAGAACCGGTAGTCATCCGAGCCACAGTCCGCCGACCCACCAAAAGCAGTGGGCTAACAGATCGCTGCGCTATTTCTTCCCCAAGAGACCGGAAAGTGCGCAATCTGAATGCAAGTTAGCTCTGAAAGATAACGGGACCTGGGATCACAATACCAGCAACACAACTTGAAGCTTCGCTTATTGGGGTTGCAAACGAAGCGGGAGCCTCAGTCCAATAAGTGAAAGGGGAACCAAACACAGCTCGGCATCTCGGTCGATCCAGAAATTTCTTTAAGTGTCTTTTGCGTTTGGGTACATCACCAGATCAACTCTTTCCTCTTCCTTTCGCAGGGATTCCCGGGGCTTCTAATCAAACGGTAGATATGAGTGGTAAATTATCCATGTAAGACTCTCAATCTTCATTTTGTCACTCGCAGAACGAAGACGCATTCCATTTAAGGCACAACAACAAGTACAACCAAAGGGATCCCTCAGCATAGACACACACACAAGGAGAGAGGAGCTCGTGAGCTTCCCCAAGACTGTGGCATGTGTCAGGACACATAGGAACGTACCCGTTGCTCCTGAAGTACCGATTCCGGCAAAACACAGTGTGGAGGGGAAAACACGAAGATCCTTCACAAGACCAGGGGGATCCCTCACCGTAAGCGCAAAAAGGAAAAGGAAGGAGCTGACGAGTCCCCCAACAATGGTCAGCAGTTCGGAGGACGCGAGCTGCGCCTTGAACACCTGCTGCGCCGTCAGCGTGAGCAGAAACAGCACCAGCGACGAGAACATGGACGTGCCTGGGCTGGCGGCTTCGGCGCGCGCTGGAAAATAGCAAAGAAAGATAATGGGATTCAGTTACGGTTTTGTGGTTGATTGGCGTGCTTTGAACTTGAATGGTGGGAGGCCTGCGTTCCTTATAAGGGGTTTGGAGTGGCAGCCTTGGCTTGCAATGGATGATATGCAAACATGGTTTGATTAACTGTTGATTCGACGTTGACACATTGCTGAGAGATTGAAGTAAAAGGGGCTTTTGGGCCGGGGCAAGGGTGCGAACGGTCAAAGTCTGGGCTTGGCGCCTCAACCCATGCACGAGAAGAACGCAGGAATCTTGGCTATACTTTGGCCCTACTTTATGCTCTGAAATGATGTTTGAGGGGCTGGCTCTTGATCTGCGGTGGCAAACGGTGAATGCAGACGGTGAATGACCGTACTGGAGTTAAAAGCATAGCAAGAGGTTCAATTGTCCAAAAATCAAAACAGCGATTCTAAGCAATGCCAGCAGGGCAGGGCTGATCGGTGGAGTGTGGTTAATTTGACAGGTGGTGATGTTAGAAGTAGATTTATCAATTGGGTAGGAAGGAAGCAGAAACCCCATTCTGCAAGCGGAAGCAATTATGGCGGAATAAGGCGCCTTAGGTGCCCGCCTGGAAGCATGTCAGATCCCCCTGTCTAAGCCCCCTGCCAGAATAATACGCTCAGCAGGGATAAGGATGGGAGACAGCGGCCGTGGATGGCTCAAAGAAGAGAGTGGAGTGGTGAGGCCCTTAGGAGCATTGCAACTGTAATTCTCCAGCAGACTCAGCACTAGAGCAAGCGGAGTTTCTGAAGTTAGGCCAATGAGACGGGCAGATCTTTTGGAGCACATTGTGCTGAAAACCAAAGGCAATGGGAATTGCCTGTGCCTAAAGAAGGCTGCGCTCAAGCTTGATCAAGCACTGCGGAGAGAAAGGCCAGAGTGGCAGTGGTAACTTTGCAGCAGGATTGTTCCTCGCACGTTTTTTCAAACCAAGGATCTCGTCAACAGCTACATGAGCAAGAATGAACGCGGTATTTTGTATGGATTACAGAATGCACCGCCATCCACGATAGTGCGGGCGATCAGATCCTGATACCTGACGATAAACTCGAAGGAGCTCGCAGTTAACAACATACATGGCTGAAGCCCAATTCGGGGTCCCAATGAGACAAAATTTTGCAGCTGCCCTAGATGACCACATAAGCAGCTTCTTTTCACCAGTGCCCAATGCCAGCAGCAAGCCCATAGGACAAGAATGGTTTAAACACGAATCAGCTTGTCAAAAACATGAATTGCCTTTGGCAAATGCAAGAACAAGCCTCAATTTCCATGACACCGATCTAAGTGCGAAAATCCACAAAGGGTTTTTTCAAAGGATACACATACCAAAAGTAGGAAGCTGCGAACAGCATCAGCTCGCGGGAGCGGAAATACGATTGCCCAAGCTTTTGGCAACCGCTAGCACCTCCAAGAACGTGGAGGAAGGACGTTCCCTTAACGTGCGACATAACATAAGAGCTATAGTAGGGCCGCTCGATGCTCACCCATCTTGTAAACCTTGCAACACCCAGTAGTCAAAAGCGATCAAGCTTGACCATTGGAAGTCCCACTCTTGTCAGGAGAGCCTCCTCTGAATACCAACAAACACCACTAGCCAGCGCACATTGTAGAATACTATTAAGATCTGCATGAATAGGAACTTGGAAGCTTGATTCTACGCTAGCGAAACTCTCTCTAGAGCTTCATGATACATGAATCATGATAGTGGCGCGCCGCGCAAGAAGGGCGGCCGCGATAGGACTAATAGGAACGGGGCGGCCACGCAAAATCCATTAGGCGTACGTCTAATGAAGATGTGCGGCACTGCACAGCCGTCAGATATGGCTCATGCATTCCGTTACACCGTCCGATACGGCTGCAATCAGAGCTCAAAACTTAGCTATGCCAAGTGTCGTCATGACTGCTGCCCTAGTAAATGAGATGGAAGCCCCTGCTGACTGCCACGTGTTCGTTTTTCATGGGTCACAACCGAGTCTACCTATACCTATTGTCCCCGTGGTGCACGTGGGCACCGGACTCGGCTACTCGAGATCTATCCTGGAGTGTATTAAAGGTTGCCCTCTCTCTAGCCTCTGATGTGGTATGTAAGGGAAGGGTCATTTTGAAGCGGTACCCCCCGTAGTCGCTGTGGAGCCCTTTTGGGTCGAGGACCCTTGTGCCCCCCCCTTACTCACCAGCCCTGCTCGCTCAAGTCCCAAGTTCCCCCCCCATGCCTTCGGAACCTTGGAAGGTTCTAAGTCCCCCCCCCATTCACAGGCTTGGGGATTGTGGATATATTAGATGTATTTAGCGGATTTTGTTTTCTGCTGAGTCCTACAGTAACCTATTATGCAGGGGTTTTTTCACAATTGTGAAAATTCTGCTTTGAAATTGGCTTAAACCACCACCCGGAGTATAAAATCGGGCAAACTCAAAATGCTGACGTGGCATTCTCGTTGAACGGCCACCAAAATTCAAAATTGCCGAGGGCGCACGGTTATGAAACTTGCAAAATTAAGCTTATAGTACGACTTTTCAGGACCGTTTCTTCACCATTTTCGGCGGTTCTTCTTTCAATCAGTCTGGAACAGTGAGCCTTGCAAGGCCGCATCAAACCGCCGCGAGAAACGATTAAAGACAGCTCAATTTTGAGTGAGCAGTGGCATTTCTCATGTTAGAGTCATATGGATGCGCCACAGTCCAAATTTCAAGTTTCGGAGTTCCGAGACCCGGAACTGACGGAATGTGGGTCCCACACCTATTTATACCCGGGGTGGTGGTTTAAAACCCGTCATTAATTAACAGGCTCCAGCACACAAATTTCCCCCTCCGACCTCTAGCCATCGAGGTCTGCACAGGCTCCCCCCCCATATAGCTACATGTCCTTCAAGGGGTATCAAGCCCCCTCCCCTTCATGACTCGATGTTTCAGTCTTGGTTCCAGGTACCCCCCCCTCAACAGCGACTACGGGGGGTACCGCTTCAAAATGACCCTTCCCTAATATGTACTACTAAGGTAGGTACTAAAGCACCGGACCAGAACCTGTACAAAACTAAGTGAGGCTAGGGCTCGAGCAAAGTGCGCGGCGCGTAGTGCACATGCTCGTTTAGATTCTAGAAGCCGCTCAGAGGGGGTCAAAAATTACTGCAGTGAGCGTTCATGAGGATCGGGTGTCACTAATGGTCATGAGCTGTCAATGACGTCGAGAATGCGTCTCATCTGCGTAGCGCGTATGTAGTATGTAGTATGTAGTATTACACATTCCGGACAGCCAAGTCAACAGCCCGCTACCGAGACGAATCATCAATGATCAAAGTAAGTCAGGATACTGTTGTGAAACCATTCTAATCAATTGCGAGTTGTCACTCTGTGATCAGTGGTACCTGACCAATAACCTCTTTGCTCCCATGATGATCCAGTAGTACTCATTGCACGCTGGCATGTTCGGTAGGGCGGCCGGATTCCGCTACCAATTACCACCAGCTGGATCGGAGGATCTGTCCACCACATGCATATGCTTCCATCCGTTCCGAGCGTCACATGATGATGAGCGTCACATCCGGGAGGCGGCGCCTGGCGGCGCTAAATCCTGACTGCTCACAACCAACACTGCAACAGTGGCAATACTATGCCTGCCCATGAGCCAGATGAGCATGTGGCTGCAATTGAGCTTGCAGAAGCTGGCCGTAACCACTTGATGAAGCTGCAGCATCAGGGCGAGTCCTCTGTGATGAGTGCTCTGCAGGCTGGCCGAGTCCGTGGGGTCATGCAAACTCATGCAGTGCTTTCCCAAGGTGATTTGGTTTTTCAATCCAGCACATAGGTACCTACGCAGCACTTTTCGCCAGCATGTCCCTGGATCCATAGGCTGGGAAGTGAAACTCACATTCAACACTCGAATCGATTCACTACAAGTCCGGTTCAATCATCCTGGTCGCGCCCCAGTAACCATTCCAGCTGGCCCCCAGCTGCTCTTTTGTAATCTGATCAAGGTGCAAGGAGCTCAAAGTCTCCATGGCGCTCCGCCAGCGCACGCCAGCTGTCCAGCTGCTAACAGTGGTTTTGCTCGCGCTGACAGCTGTCAGCCCCATCAAAGCGCAGTTTGGAGCAAACGGCACGTTCCACCCGGGCGGGGTGACCAGGAACTTTTCAGTCACTGGCCCATGGAGTGAGTGGGGTCATTTGCCCAGATTTCTCGACAGCATGGAGATCTATGTGTCATGTTCTAGCTCTTCAGGTCTCTGTTCTTCCTTGCTTTTTCCTGCTCCAGATCCTGTCGATGGTCAGTCACTGTGGCACCTTGTCAATGGATCAGAATCTTGTAATGGAGCAGCTCATTCAATGTCATCTGTGTCCAGATGAGCAGAATGAAAGCGGCTGCTTTTTGCAGCTCTTCTCGCCTCTGTTTCGTTTCACTGCGTGCTGATTGAGCAGGCAGCCAGTTTGTCTATCTCAGGAGCTTTGCATCCCTACTGCCACCAGCTTGAGTGACAAATCTGTTCCTCTATTGGTATTCTTGACTCGGATAAATAAGAGGGAGAAACTTCAGCGTTCTTACATGGCACGATGTCTAGACCAGTCTGGTTTCCCGAACATAACCTTCCAGAAAGCCCAGTAGTCAGGCAAACCTTACTAGATTTGAAGACAGCTGCTTTAGATCAAAGGAGTCCTATCCAGCCTTCTCCGGAAGCAGATTCTGTATTGCGAAGCCAGCTAAACCGTCTTTTAACAAGAGCATCTGTGTCTGTTGCAATGTACTTAACCCCAGCGCTGTTTTTTTTCAGACTTCATTGACACTCTGTCCCTGAACTACACCACCCAAGCCCTGCCCCAGTCCTTTGCGCGGGCGCAGTGTCAAACCGGGCAGCCGGCCTACCCTGTAGTGGAGGCGACCATTGATGGGGTGCAGCAGGTATGCAAGGTCAACTCGAAGCTATGGGCTTTCTGTAGCTGCACACTCTTCTTGGGCATCTCCTAGAACAGCATAACCTTGCAGTGTGACCAATCAACGGATTTGAGTGGCTTGCTTGTGGTCAGATCTTTGGACCTACCCAATCCGCTCTGCGCCCCACTAGAACTTGGTCGTCAGGTCTTCCTCCCTTGGACCAGAAGACTCCAAACGACCCCTTCCAAGTTTGCCATTCACTGCACCCTCTACACTTCGGACCCTCACTCAAAGCCTTGCAATTTGGCCGCCACCTCTAGCTTTGTCAGGTGACAAAAAAAAGTGGTTGAAGATACTTCAAGTCAGTAATTGTCGAGTTACTTCAAGCGAGTGATTGGAACAATCAGAATGGGTTCCAACCTCAGCCCCTCAAAAAGACTGATGGTTACCAGCACAAGCCAAACCGACACAAGGGACCAACGAGAGGTCAGCTTACCCATTTTTTTCTTTTTTATTCAAGTCATTGAAGTCAGTACCTCACACTTCTACCAAGTGGATTTTAGTGGACTCGCGCAATCACACACATTCCTGACTGCTCTGACCGCAGGCAATGCTGGCGGAAAATCTGACATGCAGCCAGCTGATTGCGGCATATGTCCAGGTAAGCTCTGATTGGTCGTCCATTGCAACAACGTCCTCAATGTGCCGACAATCTGTAGAAGCTGGCCATTAGGGGCCACCAAAATTGTGGTTGAGTATCATGCAGTTCGTTGAGAAAGACCGTTCTGTGCTAGCTCGGTTGAATTGTGTTCCTGTGAATTGAAAGTGCCGCTTGAAACGTATGGACGTAGATCCATCACTTGCCGAAATCATCATTTCTGGAGATTGACCCTCCGGCCCATGTCTGAGGTTAGTCGGCCATCTGGCGGACATAGACGAATCGAAGCAGTCAACATTCAACGTCCTGAACATACCACAACTGCCGCTGCTCTGCAGCGATAACGCTTTGCACTGCGAGTCGCCTTTCACCCGCGTGCACAGCGCGCCCCACGTCTCGTCAATCCCCTTGACTTCTCGAGTTCTGACGCCACCTGCTGTCACCACCACCTTCTTATGAGGCCATACGTCACCTTCTCCGGATCCTTCCGCAGTGCATCTTTCACTACGACAAGGGCACTGGCGGTCACTTCTCACCCCATCTCTTGACGTCACCTCCACAGCGTATCTCTGGCTATGAAATGAGTACCGGCGGTCACTTCTCACCCCATCTCTTGACGTCATCCTCTGACGTCACCTTCTCTATCCGCAGCGCATCTCCTACTACGACCGGAGCACTGGCCGTCACTTGCCACCCCACCTTCTGACGTCACCCTCTGACGCCACCTTCTCTTTCCACAGTGCATCTCTTGCTACGACAAGACCACCGCCGCCACTTCTGATCCCACCTGACCCCACCTTCTGACGTCACCTTCTGACGTCATTTTCCTTCCTTGCAGCGCATCTCCTATTACGACCAGAGCACTGGCGTTAACGCGGTCCGCCTGGTCATGCCGGACCTCGCAAACGTCACTGCCGCAAAGGACGCGCAGCTGGCGGCCGTCATTGCTTCCGGCAACAACACGCTCCCCGACCTGTTTTGCGTTCCCTTCGTGGTTAAGGATAACTACGACACGGTTGGCGTCGCGACCGCGAATGGCGCGGTGGCGCTGCTCGACAACTTCCCCTCAGCGGACGCAACCATTGTGAGAAGTCACCTTTCTACATCGGTTTCATTTGTTTGATGGTTTGCGTTTCGTTGGTGGTTAAGGATCATTACGACACGGTTGGTGTCGCGACCGCGAATGGCGTGGTGGCGCTGCTCGACAACTTCCCGTCGGCGGATGCGACCATAGTGAGGAGTAACGGTTTGTGATAGGTTCTATTTGTAGAATCGTTTGCGTTTCGTTCGTATTTAAGGATAACTACGACACGGTTGGGGTGGCGCTGCTCGACAACTTTCCCTCAGCCGACGCAACCATTGCGAGGAGTTCACTTACAAAACTGTTCTTAAAAAGCGGACTGTTTTCTGTGAACCATCGCGCAAGCGAAGCTGCCTTTTGTTCCCGAGCGATGGGCTGGGCCGCCTCTCATTTGGTTCCGGTGAGACTTCCAACTGAAAGGTTTCACTGACAATCGCTCAGGTAGAGCTCAAATGGCTGCGGTTTAAGACGCGTTCGTTTTGCGTAAACCCAGGTGGCATAGATAAAGGCTTTGGGCGCAATAAATATGCATCTTTGTTCTGCTGAAACAAGGCCAAGACAACCCTTCCGCCTATTGTTCAATCTGATCGGGTCTGGCTTTGGTTTAAAACGCGTCTTTTAATCAAATCCAGGTGGCACAAATCAAGGCTGCGGGAGCGGTAATTTTGGCCAAGGGCAATATGGCCGAGTGGGCCTTCTCGAACGCGGTCTCCATCGGCTCTGCTTTCGGCATCGTGCGCAACCCGTACGACACCGATCGCGTCACCGCAGGTTAGCAGTTATTAACCAAAACCCGAAACCCTCGGATGGTCAAAGTTTTGCAGAATGCGGTCGAAGCTCGAGCCTCGGGCCTCGAACCTCTGTCAAGCGCGGAGCTCACTTCAATCCTGATGCGAGAGAGTCTCGCACCGCGTGGGGTGTCGAAATGAATCGCCAGAGACAAAGTTGGCCATCAGAGCTGCGACAAGCGGGTATCAGAACATCTCAATTGTGAGACTCCCCTTCGACGCGACACACTTCAAAGCACCAGCTAAATCGCAATATCGGACTTTCGCCAATGCAAGCCGCTCTGGCAGCCGTTCTTTGAAACACGTGACAACGCACGCAGGCAGCAGTGGCGGCCCCGCGGCCGCGGTCTCCGCGAGCTTCGCCATGATTGGGCTCGGTACGGACACGGGCAACTCGATCCGCGGGCCGTCCGGCCACAACGCGCTGGTGGGCATTCGCAGCACCATCGGCATCACCTCACGGTGAGCAACTCGAAAACTGACCCGTAGATCCTAAACCCTAAACCATGAACGTTAAAACAGGTTTCTAGGCCTTTTGAAACTCGGGCACGCGGCGGCGATCAGTTGGCGTTACTTCGTGATGAGCGTCGGGAGGTCTTAGAAGCATAAATTCGCGGTATCTCTCGATCCAGGGAAAGAATCCAGGGTTCTGGTTACCGTATCGCCGTTTACAGTTTCAAGATTTGAGGAACACTACGTGGATGTTCGAAATTTGTTCCTTTTAACATTAGCTACGAATCAGGTACGACTCTGCCAAGCGACAGAGAACGCCCACTCTTTGCCGCTTGTAAACAAGACAGTCCGCCACATGCTTTTGATAAGAAAGACGAGCAGGTTTGGAACTGATATTCCAAGCGACAAAGAACGCCCACTCTTCGCTGCTTGTAAGCAAGACAGTCCGCCATAAATCTGGAGATGAAGACAAGCACTTTTGGAACTCATTTTCAAAAAGTTTGATAACTGATACTGTGTGCAGGGCCGGCATCATCCCCCTCATTCTGAACCGCGACATCGGCGGGCCCATGGGGCGCACCGTCACTGACGTGGCCAAGGTCTTCCAGCACATCGTGAGGGCGCTCGCTGACGTCACTTTGTAATTCCGTATCCGCGCGCTTAATCGAGGATACGCGTAGTCTGTCGTCGTTCATTGGCGAGGAGCTCGGATCTGGCAGATTCTAGAAAGGGCCGCTGCACGAATGAACGGTGAGACGCTATCTTCAAACAGTGATGCAACCGGCCGAAGCAGGCATTCCTTGAACGCGCCTCGATCGAAGCTCCTTCTTTGACGCCTTTCGAGTCGGGTTCGAATCGCGCGTCCGCAGGTTTTTCTTTTCTTGCAGACCGTGATTGAACGAGTTGCCAGGTGTTCGCAATTCTGTGAGCTTCTCATTTTCCTTACCAGGTGGGCCCCGACCCGACCGGGCGTGACGACGTGACCCTCCGCAGCGCAAACTCTACGCTTAATCCGTACGGCATCCCGTCCAACTACACGCAGTTCCTCAACGCGAGCGGGCTGCAGGTAAGCGAGATTCTCCGTTGCTCAATCCGCGACTTTCAGCTTCGATCGGCGTTTGAGAATCTACTTAAGATTTACTCCCTGAAAAGGCACATCGCTCGAGACTAAGGTGAGAGATCCTTTTCCTTCCAGGGAAAACATAAGTCTTGAAACTTTTCCTTTCAGGGAAAAGGTAACTCTTGAAAGCCCATCAAGAACTTGAGTCGAACCTCGAGAGATTCTTCCTTGCCAAAGACTGAGATGCCGCTAGTCGCCTGACTGTGGACTATATCAAGATCGAGCGGCTGAGAAGATTCAGTTGTGTGGCAAACCTCCGCTCGACCTGTTAGGAAAGTCGAGGTAAGGAACGGGATGTGACCGCTGACCAAGGCTGTTTGAACTCGCTGCCTGCAAGCTCTTCTGACCAGGATTATAGACCGTTTGTCTAAAGGCAGAAGATCAAAAGCATCTTTACCCCCTCCGAAATTCTTTGGTCGAGTTTGATCTGAGTTAACAATTGCTCTAGAAGCCACATGCTTTCACCTCGTGGCTGCACCAGGTCTATTCTTTTGCGACGCTGCAAGCGGCGTCGGGCAGACGCCCTCTCTAACCACTTGTGGTTAACGGCGAAACCCGCCCACCGAGCGGAGCTTGACGGATGGTTGTAACCCCCTTTCGTCACAGGGCAAAACAATTGGCGTGCTTCGTAGCCTAGAGTTCAACCCGACGACTAGCCCCGACGGCGAGATCCAGAACCTGTTCAACCGCGCCATAATGGACCTTCAGTCGCTTGGGGCGACTGTCATTGACAACTTCACTGTAACCGGTACGCACCAGCCTCGTCTGCGCCCTTCACCCTAGACTTTCTCGCAGCTACTTGTGAAGGCAGCTGTCAAGAGTTTCGCTCACACTTCACCCCTTTGCGGCTCCTGCGGTGCTCTGTGCTATCTCACTCTTGCGTTGCAATGTTTGTGATATCTTCGTACGGAAGATATCACAAACAATCAGGGCAACTTTTCAGCTGAGTGTCTCTTCTGACCCCTAAACAATTTGCTGGCAGCAAGCCGTGAAAACGGACCCGGGTTTTTTGTTATCTCCCACGCATCACTTCTGTTCGCCTGATCTGGTTGTTCCAGACACTTTTCTGCGCGACAAGCTGCTGTACGGACGTACTTCCGCCGTCCTCTTCGAGCTAAAATTCCGGTTTTCTCGCTCCAGGCAAACCCGCTGAGCGAAAAGCCGTGGCACCAACGAAACAATCTTCCTGGACCGTGTCAGTGCCGAAAACGCTCGACAGACAACTAAAATGGTGACATGTTTTATTTACCTTCGCAGTCAACTCGCTGGGCGACAGTGCCGGAAACGATCAGCAGACACTGGCAACTAGAATGTGACATGTGTTTTTGACCTTTTCCAGGCAACTCGTTGGGCGACAAGCCGTGGGACGGCCGCAACAGCTGGTACGTGGGTACCGGCGCGAACGGTTCCTTTGTCGGTTTCTCGAACCCGCAGTGCGCCAACTGGATCGAAGACTTGCAGACGTATCTCAGCACGGCAGGCAGCAGTTTCAAGACGGTGAATGACATTTACGTCAGCGGCGGGTTCCACCCGTCGGTGGTTGGGAGCTTTACCAGCAACATGAGGAACCAGAACATCTCGTCGGCCAGCCTGCCAACGGCCAACGGGATTGCGGCGGTGAGGAAACGAAGGAAACGGACGGGAATTTTGAAAGCACGGAAAATAGGATGCATAAGAAAATGTTGGCATTTAAGACATGAACAGGTTATTGTGGGTAGGAGACCAAAAGCTTGGTTGCGAATGCCGACTTTTGCTTAGGAACGTATCGATTTGGGTCAATCAGAACACTTTCCTGCAAACCTCGCACGCGGCATCGCACTTGTCAAAGGCGATGCTGCATAGAGAATGGAGACGGCTTTGTGAGAATCGACCTTATTGCGAACCGGATTTCAGTGCCATTCAAGTAACCTCGCTATCGGCTTGAGCAGGCACGCCTCCAGACTGCCAGCCGACCCATTAAAGAAAGTCCTTTGTGGTTGCAGGGTCAAGTATGCACCTGCGGGGACGACTTGACAAACGTGAGTGGACCTCAGATTCTCATCAAGAGTGGTCCAAGCTCGTCGGCAGCAGATTGCGGCTGGGGCGCCCTGACGGCGGATTGTTCACATCCTCTCTGTATGTATTTTCTGCAAGATAAATCTTTACTGGACGCTCTATCCTGTTCATTCCATTGTCAAGAGCGCCAGAAGATATCGTGACTCCGTGTCGCGGGACTTCAATCATGCTTTGCACATCCCCACCTCATACATGCGTCACCTACTCTTGCCCGATAACGGTTGGAATCGGTTGGTTCCGAGCCCGTCTTTTGCACAAAGTCAGACGCAGCTTTGCAGAGTCCGAACCGCTTTGAACCCACCTGAACTTCGTAACTGCTTTCTTGCGGCGGTGCAGCCGTGTCGTGTCGAGTTTCGGACGCGGCTCCTGGCAGCGATGGACGCCCAAAATGCGGACGCCCTGATCTACCCGGGGTGGGCCAACCCGGCGCGTCTGGTCGGCGATTACGACAGCCCTCTGGGCGACCTTTCGCAGATCATCCCGCCCAACACCGGCATGCCCGGGATCGTCGTGCCAATGGTGAGCTGCCACGTGGCGCTTGTTATATGGTAATGCGGCTGTTTGTGGGGATTTGAGAAGAAAGGGAGAAGCGAATTGTTACAATGCAAACCGCCTGACGCCGGCATGCCCGGGATGCCTGTGCCGAAAATGAGCCGCCACGTGGCTTTCGTCGAAAAGCGTCACGAACGGGGGAGGATCAGAAATTTATCGCTCGACACGGGATGCTCGGGATTGTTGTACTATCCATGGGCTTTGATTCTTCGTTTAAATACTGCGTCGCAAAAAAGCAGGGACAGGGGACTTACCGCCGTTCTGCCGAGGCTGATCACCAGCCCAATATTGGCATGGTCAATTTCGTGGGAGATGCCACGTGGCGTGCTGGGAAAGCGTCTTGTCATATCCACCTCGTCCCTCTCGATACGGACGGGTAAAGGTAATTAGGCGGAAATGCTCAACGGCTCAAAGGCTCAGATCAACTCCAGTCAAATCAACATAGCGGAGTTGCTTAGGTTAGTTGGCGGATGCTGATTCCTGTTTCTCCGTTGCAGGGCTACACATCCCGTGGGCTTCCCGCGACTCTACAGGTGAGCCGACCGCCTTCTTGAAAATCCAGTCGCTTCAAGAAAATTGTTGAGGTTCTGATTTTTAGTTGCCTCGATATAGCGGGAAGGGTTTGTTTTGATGTGCGAGTGGTCTGTGAACCCCTCTTTCAGTTCTCGTCCAGCCAATTGCGTAGTGGCAACTGCTGGCCTTAAAGACATCGACCAAAATATTGAGTCCTTGGAAACTTCGACGATGTTCGATTATGCCGCAGTAGACCTTAATGCCGGCGTCTTTCGTAGAACACTCAGTGAATGGGTTGGTCAGCCGGTCCAACTTTTCACGCCAGTCGAACGCCTTCTTATCATCTTATCCTCTCCTTATCGCACTTTCCGCGACCTTGCCTTTCGATTCCCGCTGTGTTCTCTGTTGCTTCTTCCTTTGATCTTCGCTGAAAAACGCACCTTTTCGCGTGTGCTTCTTTCAACCTCTTCTTCCTCCAATGTCTTTTCTGAGCGTTTCAAGCTCGCGCTGCGTCCTGCAGATTGTCGCCCGCCCTTACGCGGAGCCAACGCTCTTCACGATCGCATATGCATACGAGCAGGGCACCAAGCGCCGCACGGTGGGTCGCAGTCTCTAGACCAACTTGTTTGCAATAGACTCGCCGTCTCTGGGATTATTGGAGTGAGATGCCACCTCTGAATTCCACTGCTAACTCGTTTGCACACTGTCTTATTGTGCGCGTGTTGTCGCAATCCGATGCTACGTAATCGCACTCCGCAACCGTCCTTCGTCTCCAATCTTTGGGTTTTATTCCCTCCGTCGCGAGTAGCTGATGACAACCTGAGCTTCCTCAAAGCGCACAAGTATTCAATGATAAAATCTTCCCTATAATGCAGCCCCCGCCCGGTTTCTCGGAATGCACCGCCAACAGTACGTCCTCGGGCATCACGTCCAAAGAGGCCTTCCCGTAGACGTGGGCGGAAGCCTCTAAGTTGGAGTCGGAAGATCTCGTCAAGTATAATAAGGGGTGTGCGTTGATGCTTGCCATGTTGCTTCCAAACTCTAAACATCTTGGATCAATGATTATTGTTTGGGGTTTGATAGGAATCTAAAGACTGCTAAATGAGTAAGGTGCACACAAGTCAGGATTGCAGAGGGGCTTTACTTAGGCGGATGACGGTGCCGAATACATCGCTTTGAATGCGATGCAGTGACCAGCTTATCAAGCAGCTTCAAAAGAGGGGCTTTGAGGTGAACGAAGTACGAAGAGGATGCATGTTGTGTCGAACGGGCTGGGTACGAAAGACACTTCGAAAGATCTGGAGGCTAAGTTACATTCAATGTATGCACACGTCTTGAAGCTTGACGTTCTGAAGTTGTGAAGTTCGGCGATCGTACATGAAAGGTGCATGACTCCACTTTAGTAGCGAATTAACATTTGTGACTGATTGGCTGCCTATAGCCGGGACGTTGCACCGTTATTAAATGTTCAACTGTCGGAGCGTTTGTGTATGGGTAACCTGGAAGCCTGCACATGTTGATGTTTATTCAGCTTGACTGGCATGCCATGCATGCGATGCAAAGCTCAATATAATGCGTGTGCTGTAGTTCACTTTGCGCGCGGTTTAAAGTCAGACCCGCAATGTACTGGCAAGCGCTCCGCCGGGCAGGGTCGTACGCGGTACCACTAAGACGGCCCCGGCCAATTACCACATGAATACTCAACCAAGCGGCCCATGCTCGGTAAGGGCTTTACTATGATGTGATGTATGGATTACTTATGTTTTAGCTGCCGCGGCCGATACCTAAAATTGCAAGGACTGTGCGTCGGCCAGAACCGTATTAAAGCTCTCGAAAAAGTTGGATTTCAATTGAACCATTGATCCGCGAAGTTTGCACAATTTGACCCACTGTAGTACGTCTAAAGGGGTGCATGAACTTGCAATCTGAAATGCTCAGTTATGTAATCAGACATTTTGATCTGCCACATAAGTGCATCCGTGACCGAAGATTGGCCCGGCTGCAGGTATGTGCCACCCCAAATCCAATTTAAGCGGCCGGGTACAATCAACGCAAGCTAGGCCAATGGCGCACATGCCGGTTGCACATGCATGTGGCATGCTTGTAAAGTTCCATTTCGGCCAAGCTGCGCTACAGATATACATTCATTAGTTTGCGAGACGCGCATTCAATCATTGCTTGCATTCTGGGCAGTTCCTAGAGTAAACCTAATGATCGAACAATGATTGTCCTACTCGTCGAACTTACTGAAAACTAGGTATTTACAGCCCTACTTGACTTTCACAACCCCGCGAACACGCTAACCTAGTCTCACCTCGGCCGTTGACTTTCTCCAGCGTATATTGATACAATCGAGTCAGTCGCGCCCGCGGCTAGAAGCACTTGGTATGGGTGGAACTGGAGGCAACTGACGGGCCCTATCCGTTGCCCCAAAAAGCTGTTATGATACCTTACCATGCTGAGTTGCTCTCCAGCCATGCTGAAGACTTTGATATATTGCTTTGCGGAGCCGCTGGCCATAACCGGGGCATGTCTGTGCACGGTGAGGGCAGTCATGCTGCCCTTGTGGGCTTCGATGGATAAGTACGACTGGCTCGCCCGCCGCATGTCGAGCAACTGGATGTCGCCCCACACGGACGCACTCACGAGCTGTAGCAAAGAGGAGCAAAGTAAAGATTAGGGAACAGAAGGTTCTTCACTGAAAGGGCGATTCGGCAGGCAATCAAGCCCTTCTGTGAAGCTCACTGTAAGTCAAAGGAAAGCTTCACGGAGGTCATTGGATCATTATCTACACATGAGCGAGAAAGACAGTATACTGATATTGACAAGTGTCGGTAAGATCTGCGCGCACGACATTGCAATGAAAAGTGAGAAACCCGGCTTTGCACAAGCGCAAAGTCAACGAAAATCAATAGCAGAACAAAAACCCACTGGTGGAGTACACTTGAACGAGGGAGCCTGCAATTGAGCGTAAACAGAAAAAGTTGCGTGGGCGACCAATCAAGTGCACCGACTCACCTTGGTCGGTTCTGCCCCGGGCTGGAAGTCGACCCCTACGACTTTATGCGTGTGGGGGGTCGCCGTACCGACGAGTCTGCACAAGAGACGACACGTGTCAAAGCGAGCAGGTGAAGCGAAATATCAAAAGTAAGCACATTGGGTACTAACGTTTGTGTGCTCAATATTAGCGGCTCGATCGATCCTTCCAAAACGCGTTCCTACTTATTTGACGGGTCGAACATAGTTCGGGTGCAGCTTTGGTCACTTCGTTGCAATTGGGGAAGACCGGTTGCCCACCGCAACGTCCAGGGTCGTGCACCACTCCTCTTAACCAATGAAATCGCCAAGCTGAGGGCTGATTCGACACACGCAAAAAAAAAACTTTCGCGCGGCTCAGAGGAGCCATCAATTCTGCAGTATGTGAACGCCCCAAACGGACGCGAAGACGCAGATAGTGTGCGGACTCACGAGTTTCGCGTCCGCATGTCGAACAGCTTGACGGACCCGTCCGCGCAACCGGCCACCAGTTGCGCTGGATGGACCTGGGAAGCGTTCTGCAGCAGCGGACAGCACCAAGAAAGAGGTAAGGGGAGAGCGAGTCAGTCAGCGCTAGTGAGATAGCTTTGAATGCGGTTGGACACATATCAAAAGCGAGAAGAGCTTGATTTACGAGCACAACTTCCTCGTGGGCACGCGTTGAATAGCTGGCATTGGCCCGGCGTATTCCCGAGCGAGAAAGCGAGTGCTGATGAGATAGCCTGGAAGGCTGTTGAACACAAACAGAGAGCGACGAGGGCTCAAATCACAAGCACAGCGTACTCCAAAAAAGACACCTAGGAACGCGTCGATTGGACGGCTTGGCCCGGCGTGCTTTTCAATACCTGGAAAAACATTGAACCCACTGAAAGAGCTAGCAAGCGCAGGAACGCTAGATTTGCATTCCGAGAAGCCCCGCTTGAGGATCTCAGGCGTAAAATTTAGTCTTAAGAAAGCTCCTGATTTGGGCCCGGTTGATAGAACCGGGGTGAGGAACCAGAAAAGGTGGACCAACTCCGAAGACCGGGCGGCTTCGCAATTGCGCTCGATTGGAGAACCGCGATGAGTAGGGGCGAAGATGAAAGGGCGGTCCATCCTTTCACGCTCGGTGAGTCAAGGGTGATACAAACGGACGCGTCTTCTTACCAGAGCCACGACGGACGCGTCCGTTTGCATGGGCACGCTCGCGCTCAGCATCTCCCGGTCCATGTCCCACACGTGGAGGAACGGCACCTCCCCAGAGGCGTACTGAAGAAGAGATGGACAAAAGAATGGAGTGTATTGTTTTGGTGCACTAGAAAACGCTTCGCTTTCAAGCTTCTCCAAATTGGGCGAAGTGAGCTTTTGAGAATGGAACTTCGGGCAATCAAGTACCCGACGACAGAACGTGTACGTGCGGCCCTTTTGGAGACCCGCTGACGAGCTGCTGATGCCGCGTTCAAACGCTTTCGAAAACATTTGCACAACGATCAACAGCCTGGCAGCGTGACCGGGCGGGGAGGAAGGAACCAGAGGGGCTGAAAACAAGATTCCGATCGAACACTTTGCTGAGCAACTTATTCACCACCATCATTGGCTGGCATGGCTGGCAAGTCAGAAAGGCTTTTGGCTTTTTTTTTTAATTTTGAATTTTGTACGACGGCGGCGCCCGCATGATGCCCTTCGACAGCACAATATCCGACATAAGACCTCTCAAATTCCAATTCGTAACATCTATACATTTTAAGGTATTGGAAAATCAGATCACGAAACCTTTAAGGCAACCACTGAGCTGCTGCCAGTGGTCAACGGCGCCGCCTGCCCCTCCACTTCGGGGTTTCATAAGCCAAGAGGTTTCCGAAAAGTTTCTAAGTGCATACATCACGCATCCGCAAGAGGCGCAGGCATAATAACGTCGAACTTACGAGGCATCCGCTGAGCTGCTGCCAGTCGACGACGGCGCCGCCCGCCCTGGCGCTCTGCCGGTGCCCCTCCAGGACGTTGAACGCGGTCGCCAGCCGCTGCTTTCCCCGCTCCGCAAAGTTGCGCCACACGCGCACCGCCCCGTCGTCTGCACAGAATGTCAGCAGCTTTTGAGACGGGCTTTGGTTCTGCTTCCTGTCTGCAGACCCTCGGTTATGAAGCTGACATCCTAGGGCACCAACCAGACGGACCTCGGTTTCTGGTTTTTTTGGTCAGTAGGTGTTTGCCAAAGGACCGACGTGGCCGAACAGTCAGCGCCAGATATTGCGCCAACAGCCGCAAACAACGCTCTTTTCATTCAAAGCGCTCGCGCACTATTTTGTTGTACTCGCTTTGCAGCTTGGTTCCTCCCGTTGCTTCTCAGGCAAGCAAATCTCGCTGTCGATACGCAGACAAATTAGAGTCGTGAATGGGAGAAGGAGCAGAGTCCGGGGGCTTACTCGATGCCACCATGAGTAAGCTGTCGTCAAGCTCGTTCATGAGACACAATCGCGACACGCCCTTCTCCGTCCCCGTGTGCTTGTCCAGCTGGTTCACTGTCTGCCCCTCTTCGTAGTTCCATATCCTGATCAAAAGTCAGGGTTATAAATCTGGTCAAATCAACCGAGTTTCAATTGACTGCAAACACCCGGTCCCCTTTGGCATCCACTTTCTGCTTGACTTTATCTCCGGAGGACCACAAATCTCTCGCAATCCAACAGCAAACTTGGAGGAACGAGTTCAATTGAGATTCCATTACCCACGACCCGCGTAAACCCATCTTCTCACGCACGACTTGTAAGCGGGGCAAAGAGCACCGTTCCTGATGTTGCCGCCCCGCCCCAGTCAAACCGAGTGTCTCAGGACGCCAACCGAAAGAGCCCACAACGTCACAGAATGCTGCTCACCTTATCGTCTCCTTTTCGTCCGCTATACATACGATGGGCACGAATGGATGTAGCAGGAGCGTCCTCGTCTCCCGCTCCGACTCGGTGTCGCAGCTCGCGATCTGGTCGCTCACTTTGCTCACGCCTGCACCTTGAAGCCCAGCACAGTGTCAACACGCCGAACTAAGCGCTTTTGTGAATGGTCACTTCCTCTATGCTCCATTTATTCGTAACTATCCTTATGATTCGTACTTGATATATCCCGGAAAGGATGCAGAATACGAAGCATCAATCCCGTTGTCGCAATTATTGATTCTCTCTGCTTGTCTGCTCACCCCGGCACCTTGAGCCTTTGTAAAGCGCGTCAATCGTCAGCAGGGAGCACGATATTGAGAGAACGCTAACTCTCCGCGCGGTCAGATAGTGTGCGTGAGGCTCTTCACAGACAGTGGCAGACTTGTCAACCACCTTTTCGTTTCCATTTCGTTTCTTCTCTGCGAAAGATTCAAGCAATTATGACCATTTGACGTCTGCCAGGCAAGTATTCTCGTGGCATCATGAGAACGCTTTCAAACCTCGGCAAAAGACCGCCTTTCCAGATGCACGGAGCGGTCCCTTACTCAGATGCTGACACGTCGAGATCCCCTCGAGGGCCATCCGCTCCCTGGCTGCGCGCCGCTGCATCCCCTCCTCTTCCTCCTCGTAAGACGGCTCTAGCAGCGGCCGAGAAAAGTGCCCGCAACTCCAGCTGAAGAGAGTAGACCGTGGAAGGACCCCCGCGTCCTGCAATCGGCAAGACTTTCCGCTCAATCGTTCGGATATATTTGACGCAAGACTGTAAGATGGTTTGAGAAGCAGCTGGGAGAAGTGCCCGCAGCTCCAGCTAGAAAGAGTGGACCGGATCCCGCGTCCTGCAATCGGCAGGGCTTTCAACTTGAGGTTTCGGACGCAAAAAGCCCAAACGAAGTACACGCAAACCCCTGGAGAGAGGCTTCATCCAGTTACCCTGCCAGATTGTGTATCTTTCAATATGCTTGACGCAATCGCTGCAGAAAGCGAGTCTATCCGGGGAACGTGCTACAGTCTGGCTACGATGCGGCGTCAGCTTCCCGCTGCCAAGTTCAACTCTCGCTGGCTCAAGGTTTTCAACTTAAGAGTCCTTCGAAGGCGAAATGCAGCTCTTCCGTCTCCGGCACGGCTGTTCAAAAGCGCTGCGGCTTGATACATATATTGCTGGTTTCTCTACAACCTTCGATGTTTGCATGTTCACCGGCAAAACTTGAAACGTGAGGAGCGCCCTCGACTGGCTCTTCGACAAGAGAATGACGAGAAATTCCCCACCATCAGCAGTATCAAAGCCCACCTTGATTGCGTGCGTAGATGTTGGAGAAGTCGCCATGGCCGCCAATGCCGTAGACGATGCGGAGGTGGGGAGATGATCCCCGAGTCCCCGTCCCCCCCCCGAAAAAGAGTTCTGGGCGACCGAGGGGATGAAACCCGACGAGCTGACCCTGCGCATGCCTGCGCTGGGCGGCGTGGGGGGGAGGAAAGAGGGGGTGCGGGTGGGGGGGGAGGCGGTGGGGTTGTTCCGCCAATTTTGGCTGAGGTTTCCGGCTGCAGCGGAGGCGATAGCGGCTGCAACGAAGGTAGATAGGTGTTATCGCTAAGAACCATAATGCAAAGAGACGGGACGAAATTACACACACCTGAACATTGTGGAAGACTGCTTCAGCAAACACGGGCACACGCAACAGGAAGCAGGGACATGCATGTTTCCTCCAGCAGAGCCTGATGTGATGGGGCAAACTTCTAAACTGCCTGGGACTTGGCCCCTACCCAAGAATAGGAAGTATGCATCTCTTTTCCTCTGGTATAAAGAGCAGGAAGTACGCTTCACCGGTCAAAATGCATCCAGCGGTTTGCCTCTTAAGATGCGAGTCTGACACTAAGAAAAGGAATTTCGTCACCACAGCACAGAAGTCCATCCGGAACCGTAGCGAGCTAGTTTCGTCCAAGCAGAATCCCATCCTCCTTCGTCGGACGTTACAAGGACTGACCTGTTGACGTCTGAGCCCAAGAAGTGGACCGTATCAAGCCCCCCCCCGGATGCGACGGCAGCTGCATTGTCTGCGTCACGGGGCCATGCCACGTGCCCTCTCCCCGCCTGTTACTAATCGGGGGGCCGGACGACACCAATTCCACCCCCACCATCCGCAACGTTTGCCGCGCCGAGTTCGCCACCCTCGGCCAGGGATCCCTTGACAGCACATACAGCGCGCCCAGCAACTGCCCGTAGATCGCACTATCGTCCTTCGGGTGCGCCCCGTTCGCGGTCGGGGCGTTCCCGTCGGCCCCGTTCGCATCGGGCGCATTCAACCCGGGCGCGTTCAGCCCACTCGGGCTCAGCTCCGACTCTTCCAACTCGCCGTTCCCAAATGCCTCGCTGTCTTCCCGCAGGATCCCCGGTCCCACTTTCTGGGGCGCGGACGACGCGCGGGGCTCGGTGAGGACGGTCGGGGTGAGTATGCTGGACGGGGAGTGAGCGCCCGGTAGATTGATCCCAACCGACCCGGCGCCCATAAGCGCGGCAGTCGGGCCGAGCCCGGGGGAGAAAGGGATGGTCGGAGAGAAGCCGTAGGACAGGTGGCGCGTTGTAGGGACATGGCCATTGAAGGGGGGCCGGGGCCCAGCGAGCATGGAGTGGGAGGGGGGCTTCACGAAGGAGGCGGCGGCTTTACGGAACTGCTTGTTGTGGCTGTGGGCCAGCCGTGCCAAAGCTGGGGGGGGAAAAGAGGGCAAAGAGGTCAGGTTTCTGCGATGCTTACAACAGCAGGACCATCTCTGAACGAGGGAGGGAGAAGTATTATCGACAGCATTTGCAAATGCAGGCCTGCTTGAAACACCGAAAGGCGAAAGCCTTCGGGGGCCTTCAAAGGAAAGACCCGTCATCCCTCCACCTAGGGTGAGTCCAAACATTGCTGACGTAATGGCTGCTGCGACTCTGCATTTAGCCGAGGTAAAGCAATCGGAACGTCAGGGGTTCGCTCCGTAACGGGTTTAAACGCCATCCGCTAACCTAAAGACCAGCTTCATCCTTCCAAGAGCAACCTCCTTCCAGATCGCCAGAGCCCTCAAAAGAAGCCGTTTTTACTGGTCGCTGATACTTTCATCTACGGGCAGCAACACGACAAATGCAAACCACGCCTTCTCACCAAAACCAACTCCGTCCTCACAAAGCCCCATAACATGAGCCGCCAAAACAGAGTCACATCCGGTCAGCTGAGCTCTTCTCACAGACCCAATCAGAGGGACAAACCAACAGACGACTCCTTCTCACCTTTGACCAGCTTGATACGGACCAGCTAACAAAATGCACACTCAACGTCAGCCCAATTTCCTCACAGCTAGCAACGAAATGACCAGCACTTGAGTTCTTCTCTCACCTATGACCAGTTCGGTCCGCACGAGCGGGCTCCCGTCGGTGTGCAGCGGCAGCAGGCTGCGTCCAACGTCACGCTCGTGCGTCAGCTCCGGGCCCTCATCCGTGTCCTCCTCCGCTATGCTCGGCGCGATTGACGTGCTCTCGTTCACGACGATCAGCGTGCCGAGGGCGAAGATGGCCGCGGCGCGTACCTGAGAAGCAGTGTTGGGACTAAGTTACAGGTAAACCAAGAGCAAGAAGCGTTTGAATGTCAGTCAATTTCCATGAGGTGTCATGCAGCCACAAACGGAGTTGAGAAGTTTGAGAAGAGGACTGAGAAAGGCTCTATTTGCACCTCAAGCAATGTGTTTAAATATTGCCCCTTCGTTGAAACGGTTGTCCAGTGCTGAGTCCGCAAGAGACAATCCCGTGAAGGGCTCATTGTCAAAACAAAGATGTTACTGCTATCAAAGCTGGAAACGAAACTCCGCGTGTCCCCAGCAGCTGCCTGACCCTCTCAACAAGAAGCAACTACTAGGACCCAACATCAAAGGCCCTAACGCACACAGGTAACACACCCCTATTCTACAAACTCACCTCCGGCTGCGGCTCCCCCAATAGCTGCGCCACCGTCTCCGTTCCCCGCAGCCCCCAGGCGAGCTCCTGCCCCTCTGGGACCCCATCCCACAGCTTCCCGAGACACAAACACAGCCACTGCAGCAGAAGCGGCTCCCCCGGGGGCGCGTTCTGGATGTGGCTCAGGCAGATGCGAACTAGATCGGCCTGGATGCACGCGTGCTGGCCCTTCGGGTGGCTGTCGGCGATGACCGCGAGCACGAAGGCGGCCATCGCCCGCTGCTCGGCGTAGACGTCGGGGCTGTCGAGGAACTTGATGAAGTACAGGTGGCCGCCGTCCTTGACCAGGTCCACCTGGCACGACTGCCAAGTAAAAGCAGCGAGGTGAGTGCCTCGGAACATGGCCACTTGATTTGTTGCACTATACTAGGCGGATTGGCAAGTTTAGGTTCTGAAATCAAAGTCCGTTCCTTGAGATTTGGGTTGAGCTGTCGTCGGCCTCGCAAAACATACAGCTGGCAGCCGCCTTCCACCAGGTCCACCTTAGCGCCACTGGCAGAGCGGGATCAAGGAGAATCAGTAATCTTGGGACCGGAGCCCGGGGTGCTGTTGGAAGGGCTAACGTGGCGGGGTTTATGGGCTAGGTTGCTTTCGACCTATCATTGATCAAAATTCCGGGTCAAAACCCAAAACCTCGCCACGTCAGCCTTCCGACAGCGTCCCCGGCTCTGGTCGCCGAATACCCCGATTCTCCTTGACCCCGCTCTGGCAGGGGACAAAACAGGAGAGTCAGTGTAATCTTGAATTCTTCAGAGGTCGCCTCGGCAGGAATAGAAAGATGGTCCTAAAATTGCAGTAATCAGAACCAATTAGTTCCGACTCGCTTCCAACAGGTCGGCTCCGCAGAGCTACAGGAGCACGGAAAAGCAGAGGGCAAGGTTTACTTGATTCAAGAATGACTTGTTGGCCTGACAGGTTTGGAGCAAGAAGAAAAATAGAGGAAAACGAATCATCTGGAGAAAGTATATAAGTCAGAAATCACTCGCGGCAATGTGTTCTAATCAGAAGGCCGTTGTTCTGGCATCTATTACAAGACACCGGAAAAGTAACAGACCCGCAGCAGCGTCGTCCAATCAGCTCACCTTGTCGAGCGCCAAGATCTTGGTCCATATGAAGACCAAGATTTGGCGCAGCTCTGCGGCGGTCGTTTGCAGGAGCTTGAGGACGTATGGGAAGATGCCAACCGACAGCGCCAGGTCCACCGCCCATGCGCCCATGTCAAGAAAGCGGCCCAGCAGAACCAGAGCGCGCAGCCGGTGCGACTGGCTGAGCAACACCTGGAGAAAGGGGGGGCGGAGGGAACTCAAGAGGACGACGAATCTTCCATCGAAGACGTGTATGTATATCAAGGATTAGGGTCCAAGAACTTGCGGCCGAGCAGAAGCAGCCCCCGCAGCCGGTGCAATTGGCTGAGCAACACCTGAAGAAGAGTCCAATGCTTTAGGATACGCAGTCTCTTTCAAAGAAAGCGATTCTCTGGTGCAGGTGCAACTGGCTGAGCGACACCTGAAGACGAGCCCAAGGGTTCAAGATACGCATTCGCAGAAGCAAAGAGTATCTCTCCAATGACCCCTTAAGGTTGTCAGAGTTGGCAGAGACCGCCCAGCAAGACCAGCGCGCACAGCCGTCGCGACTGGCGGAGCAAAACCTGGAGAGAAGTTGGATAAGTGAAGCAGCAGATATGTTTTGCATCGACAACCTTTACTCTGTCAATTGCTCGTGCAATTGTATTCGTCGATGCTGTGATTCTCAATCAAACGAACCGTCTGAGTACACTGATCCAACAGGTGACGACAAGACACGGCCAATGGTTCACCTGCTGCCGACACAGATAAGAAAAGAACAGAACCCTGGTTCTGACTGTCGCTAGCTTGGCCAGCTTTCGGCCAACAAAACAAAAAACGGTGCTAAAGAACACAAAAGGCCGCAGCTCACAAAGGCCCACCTGGAGTACAATGGGCAGCTGTTCTGGTGGCTTCTTCTTTTCCGACCCATGTTCTAGCCAAACCTCGAACGCCGTCAGCTGCTCCGTGAAGAATGGACTCGGCTGCAGAGACGGATGGCTGGCTGGTTAGTGAAACCCAAATTGCTGCACGTTGATTGCAGCAATCTTTATGACTGAAAAACGGTCTCGTCTGCAGAGAGATTGTTGTGGACGGGTCTGCGAAACCGAAGGCGTGCTTTACATGGAAGCTCCAACAAAGGACGGGCTCGCTTGCAGATGGTGAGTGGCAAACCAAGCCTGGACGTTGATGCTATCAGAAGCGATGCCCTCAAAAGGTGCCCTCCACTCAGCACATGAGGGCTCTGCTGCATGATTCCCACACATCGCGAAGCAAGTCCCCTCCAGATGGCACCAAATTCTCACTGCTTTCACACCCGGTTCGGTTCTCTTCAGTGTGCGAGATGACTTGTATGGAGACTCAGCTACTTCAGTACTATCGCGATATCGGAATAAAGCACGCTGATTCTGGATGCACAAGAGCTTCTGCCCAGGAGTTTCAGTAGAGCTCGTCTTACCTGAAATTCGGCGTTGGGGTCAGCCAGAAGCTGGGGGAGCTGGGAGAGGCAGATCTCGGCGGCCATGTCCCATGCTTGCCTGCAAGAAGACAAGCGACGTGCTTTGCGTCGAAGCTCCTGCTAGACGCAGGTCCTTTTCTGCCCCGTAAATCCAAACCTGTCCTTGTCTCCAACGGACATATCTCTTCACTTACGGAGACAACTTAACAGTGTCTTGGGATGAACCTTGCTGTACTACTCAAAGCTATCTAGACTGGGTTTGCAAGGTTTCTTTTCCAGATTTAACTGCTCTGAACTCCCAAAGGCCTGTCACTGTAACCCATTCTTCTGATCGCGTTCTCAAAAGGGGACGCCACAGAAATCTGACGTATGGAGTAATCCACCCTGCTCAAAGCAGCTCAAAGATGAGGGCCTCCACTTATTTGGACAAGAGCCGAAGGGCTGACCACATGGGGTGCTGGTGCGTGGGTGGCAGCCGGGGGTGCGAGACGGGGGTGCAGTTTGACGCACGCATCACGCGCTCCGCAAGCAGAAAGTTGCGGAAAAGACTGGCCACCAGCAGGTCCTGTCGGAACAACCGCTGGAACAGCTCTGCAGGAACAGGTTGGACGAGTGTAAACTTGAATGTGAACCGCTTGGGATACTGAAGGGTGTGACGGCTGCGGGGAATGCCAAAATTTGACTTGGGAAGGGTTGAATGCCACGGGCCGCAAAGAAATTTTAAATGAAAAGGAGAAATCGCCTGTGCTCCTGCTCGACTGTGCAGCGGGCTTGAATCCGCGTGTCCATCGCAAAGCAAAAGGATGCTGCAACACTCTCAAGAACTCCGGATAGCGATTCCAGTGGATACGATGCAGCCCTGCGGCGTTGAAATCAAAGAAAGCGTTCGCACCCCGCGGCAGCACGTTCCAGGCGATGGTGTCAGTGATTGCAGTGAAGATCCAGTTGAGCTCGCCGAGCGGCGTCTTGCGGTCGTTCTGGCGTCCAGGGATCTTGTCGATCATGTCACGGTCCAGAACGTCTTTGAGCAGCGAGCGCGGGCAGAACCTGCGGATTAAAGAGAATCTTAACGTTAACAACTTCCCCGAGTGCAGGCGTTTGATGCGTTCAGATCGCCCCCGTCTTGAAACTTATGTGAAGAGCGAGCATTTCTGAGTAGAAACAGGAGAAGGAGCGAGCTTCAACAAGACCAATCATCAGAGAATGACACCCTGGAGAAAACAAGCGGGGCATCTGTTAGCTCTGCCTATCACATGCGCGTAACGGTATCGGTGCCAGATTTTCTTAGAGGCGAGAGCCAGTCCAACCAAACGGGAAGAGAGCGACGCATTCTTCCGAACATGTGGTGCACGAAGTCACTCGAGGGGGTTCGGCAGCCATACCAGGTGAGAGCGATCTTGATGGGCGTGGTGAGGCAGGCGGTGAAGACGTCCGCGGGCAGATCCGCGTTTTGAGGCAGGATCTCCTCGGCGCCGCATGCGGCCAAGATGATCGTCTCCTTCATCGCCGATATGGCAGACCCGCCGTGGCCCCATTCGGGCCGCTGCATGACAGAATCGCTTCTCTCCTTGGCCATCTGACGTTTTGTGGCTTTTCTGCGAATATGCAACCACTCGTAGCATACCTCCGAACCGGCATGGGAAACACGAATGGAATCGAACGCGGTGCTATGCTTGACAGGATACGAGACCGAAGGGTTGACGGAACTTCGCAAAGGCTGACCGTCATGTACCCACAGGCCTTAAAGAGACAGAGACCGCTGATTCAATATCCTATGAGCACCAATATCACAACAGCAGCAGGAGTTCGCGGGACAAATTTTGGATAAGCAGGGAACCTCCTCACCTCACAGAACGCGTTCACGATCATTCCGGCAGCGCTGCAGTCGAAGACGTAGATCGAAGGGGTCTGCAGCCACGTCTCGAGCTCGTACACGGACAAGGGGATGTACTGCGTGTACGTCTGCAGCAGTACAACGAAAGTGAGCGGCAGATATACACACGATGATGTCACTATTCTGTCAGCATGTAGAGGACTCTGCTCTCATGGCTCTATCAACGCCGGACCCCATGGCAAGGCTGCAGAGAACTTGGAACGAGTGTACATTCACCTCTGACAAGCCAGATCTAGAATGATCTCTTAGTGATACATGCAAAGGCGGCGCAAAGACGTTCATCAGTTTAAACGCACGAAGAAGTCAGAGGTCACACTAGAGACACACTTGGGGCGCCAAAGGGAATATCATCCCGTGCTTATGTGTGTCCTACTGCCCTACGGCGGACTTCGACAGGGAATTTCCGACCAAGTGGATGGGCTGGAACAAAAGCATTGTACAACAACGCTTGCTGCCAAGTCTGACGGGCAAAACATTTCCAGCCTGAGCAGAGAAAAAGTGGATGCAGCTATAGGACCTTGTTGAACAGCCAGATCTCGCCATTCGCCGTCGGCTTCGGGACCCCATGTCCGTTGTAGTGAAAGAGGACCCGCTCCGTCTTGGCGTTCTTGCGGCACGATGTGGCCAGCTTCTTGACCTCGTCCACCGTTGGATCCAGATTCACTTTGTACCTCGCCTGCAAGATTAAAGTAGACTGTTTGTGAGGAGTTGATTCAAATATAGGCTCTGGATAAATCTTTCTTCTGATTTGTTAGGAACAACAGAGTGCAGTTTGCAGGAAATAGACGAAGGACCCAGCAACGCTACTGTCTAGTGTTCACAAAGTAGATCTACAGGGAGGACTGGCGCCTTCAGGTCCACTCTGCTTCTGTCTTCACTGCCAAACGACCCCAAACGAGCACAAGTCCACATCTAATTGATTCATACAGCAGCAATATGGTATGATGAAGACAACTCATCATACAGTTGTTAGCAGGAAAGCGCAGGCACTACAGCAGGCAGGGCAGGTCAAAAGAAATCAAGATGCTTCAACAGTGCCACCTTCAACGCTTACCAAGATATGGTCCTATCTCTGTGTGCGCTCGCAGCTTGAGAATCGATTTCATGTGTTGCAAACAATTGTTCAAATGCAAGATTGATCAGTGCCAGGTTTGACAACCGGTAAGAAAATGCATCACTGCACTGCCAGGATTGAGTGCAGGGCTTACCCGTGGTTGCCAGCGTTCGTACTGTGCTTGGAGATTTTTACCGATCTGGTCCAATGCTTTCTGCGCCTGCATTGACATTGGGTCTGCAAGGAAAGACTGAAGGTATGAGTTGCACAACTTCTCGTAGAGCAAAGGCAGCGATTGGAGCAGTAACTACACTCCACTCGAAGAGTTGGGAGCCCTCTGCCACCCGATTCACACTCATTAATCCGGAGAAAGCAGTTTTGACATTTGACATCTTTGATCAGCACTCAAGGTTCACCTAATGAGTGGGAGCACGGTACAACATGCAGATGGAAGGCTTGCTGCAGAACCAGCATGAAGTTGCGTCGGTGCCCCGCTTCCCACCTACCGGCTCCATCTTTGAAATTTCCAGTAGCCTTTGCAGACATCGGGTTTCCACCTCAACAGTCGATTTTTCAAGCTCATTCCTTCATTGCTCAGCTACTTTTGTCAAGCATTAGAACTACAAATTCTAGAGAAGCTCAATTCAATGAGGCAAGGAACCAGTTGCTAAGCTGAAGCTGTTCTACAACTGGAGGAGAGAGACTGAGAACTGACCTAGCCAGCACTCCACTCGGGCGCAGGGTGAGATCTTGATGACGTCAGGTGGATCGACCCCGATGTTGAGGCACAACACCAGGGCCACACTGCTGGTTTTCATCTGGTGAAGAAGACAGGAAGGGGGTTTGACAATGCAAAAACCTTCAGCACCAAAGTGGTGGTTTTCAAGATTCAGCATTACTTTCACTTCTCGGCAACTTGGAGACCCAGAACTCAACTTACAGGTCCGCTTGATACACGCATCAGTGAATCCCTTTTCGGCGTTCGCAGAGGTGTACTGTCCAGGATACATTCTTTGACCTGGATTTGAAAGACAAAGTCTTCAGAGAAATTCCCCTTTCAGGCAACGTCCCCTTAAAGTTGCACAGCGTTTCATACCACTAAAAAAGAAGCATATCGCTGTGCGGTGGCAGTGTTGTTGCGTGTACCGGCGCACCTACGACCTCCCCTCAAAAGAATCCGCTAGAAACATTCCTCGACGCTGCTCAGCATGGGGCACTTTTTAAGAAGGTGGTCATCAACAGAGTTTACTTGACGTCACAGCAGCCTCCAGAATCCGTACATCAGCACCACTCAGCATTGTGCTCTCTGCACAACAACGTTGGTAGATTGCTGATGAAACCTGCAGAGGCCCATGCTCTAGCATGCCATCATTTGATCTTGCACTGCTCTTTGACTTCGAGTTGTGTGAGAAAAGCAGCAACCTAGAAAGATGGATAAAACAGCTGAGTACAGAACCGACAACCTTGCAAAAGGGACACTTTTGCAGAGAAAACCCAACACGAGCAGCTTACCCGATCCTTCATCCTCCACTTTGAGACTACCCCCACGTCCCCCTGCATGCTTGATTGGAACGCCTCCACTCCAATGTTGTGCCGCAGATCGCAGAGATAGACGCTCTGAGGGAGGTAGGGGATGACATTGTCGGGTCCCATGCTCCCGTCGTCAGACTGGATGCTCCTTCGCAACATGTCCTCTGTTTGCGGAGACATGACCACCGGGGAAACGGGTGGGGACGGGATGGCAAGCTCGGACGGGTACGCCTGTCCGGGGGCCGTCCGAGCATCCCCCATGATCCCGTCTTGTCGCAGATGACGTTTTTGCTGGTGATCTACACTCAAACTTGGTTCTACTTCAATCTGATGATCTACGCCCTAACTTGGTTCCACTTCGATTTAACGCTGATAGATCCTCAATTTACCGAGCAGTAGAGAATCCACCATAGCGGCGGGAAAAAAATCTCAAGAAAACAGAGTGCAATGCTACGGGACCTTGCCTACACCAGTAGGTTTTGCATTCAGGAACTTCCCGGTGACTCTGAGACCCCACGACGCAATCTGCCTGGAGTCTCTAAGCAAAGCGGTCCGGCCAGCCAAAATGCGTATTGTTCCAGGTGCTAACTTTTCGAAAGGGTATATGACGAACACTACTTGTTGCATCAAAGTGGACAACAACAGAGAATGTAGCGGGAGCTCCTACAGCAAAGATATCCAATGACCATGCTGCCAGGAGGTTTATGCAGGCTCAAGCGACAGTCACCAGCTGGGGGAAGCTCGTCCAATGCCATGGTGAATGCCGAAACTCCCGCTATTTCCGCAGAACAGCTCGTATTGATTGGACACCCGCAGGTAGCACTTTGCTGATGCCAGGGGCTGAAATTTGATGCTGATGACCTCCTGATGTAGCAGCATCCCCCCTGTAGATGCGCTGGGCAGTGGGATTGGATTTGAAGGGAAGAGAGCTCGTCTTCTTTGCAATTTACAGCCTCATGACAATGTTCCAGGAAGGCGGCAAACAAAGACCGATTCTCTTGACATTTTTGCTTGTAGTCACGTTTAAGAATGAGCACACTGGTCAGACTTCCGAAGTCCGCATGCCAGTACACTGCCAATGTGGTGACAGTGGTCAGGGATTTTGCAGCTTCTCCCTGCAAACAGACTGAGAGAGTCTGCATGAGACTCTGAGAACTCCAACTTCAAGACGGCGGTGTAGAGGGCTGGGCGCATTGGGGCGCATTCGGCTGCAGCGCCTCAGCTTGCCCTTCTGAGATGGGGCAGTCGCACGAAGGATGCTTTGTATGTTGACGATGGGCTAAAGAGAAGCACGCGGCATGCGGCGGAGACCATGCGCTAAGACGTTTGTGAAGCTCTCCACGAGCTGTGGTGGTACGGCTGAATACCAAACGAACAGTCTCTCTGTATCCGGCAAGCTGCTTGAACTTTACCTTAGGAATCACAAAGTTTGGAGGGGGGGGCTTCATCGTCAAAAACATGGCGAGCATGGAACTGTACCGCAGGAGTACTCTGGGGACCTGCCTGGAGGCCACTCTCGATGAGCTCGTCAATCAAGCAGCCATGACGCCTCTCCTGGCCGTGAAAACCCTGATGCATTTTGACAAGGTGAGGGCACCGGTGGTTATCTGGAAATTGAGCATGCTGGGATGAAGTCGTTTTTCTTAATAGGTGCAGCCCATGATGATCTGCAAGGTTCATTATCCTTATCGAAAGGCCTGGCATGATATATGGATGGTGAACCGCTTTCCTCCAACAGCTTCTTCACAATCCGGTCAAGAATTTGCACTTTGGGCAGAACCTGTATGTGTCGTGATTTCAATGGCAGGGCCCATTTGTTATCCAGCAACTGGCTCTGTTATTGTTGCGCGTCCTAGCATTAGACCCCACCGTGGCAACTTCTCTTATGCCCTCACTTTCTTATATTGGTCAAGGCTGCCAACGTTGATGAGCGAAGTTCTTGACATGTGCAAGGTCTTCAAGAGGCCCTAGCTCATGACGCATCAGCTGTCTGAAAGTATCGCCCAGATCTGTCCCATGTTTTCTTGTTCACTATCTTTGAAAAGATGAAAGCTGAGGCCTGGTCAAGTAGTGGAAAGGTAAGTAGCTGGAGGAAAGTAGGACTTTCCTACGAAATTTGCAGACATGACCAGGTTCGTTTTTGTTTCAGGATTGTACTAGTAGCGTTTGAGTTCGAATTCTGAACAACTGTGAGTGTGCAGGCCTTTGAAGATGCTTTGAGGGACAGGGTGACAACAAAAGCGACCATCAAGGTATGCCAACGGGGTATAATGTGAATCTTGCGCGACTGGCCTTAAAGTATGATGGAACTCAAATGTTCATGATTGTTTTCAGAAAAAGTTCCATTCTGGCATCTGATTTTGAGTATTGTGCTTCCGTGGTACTTTTCTGAAGGCATTTGACTTGCAGGACTTATGACAACGCTACAAGATCAGATCTGTAAGAGGGCCTTGCATGTCTTAGGGCGTCATTCAAGTCTTCCTTCAGTCCTCCATCTTCGGCAAAAAGAAAACACTGCCTTGGTTCTTTCTGGCACAACCTAACTGTGCCTCGTTTCCTCCGTCATTCAGGGGCATCTTCATACCTATCGATATTGTGACCAGGTATGGACGTTTGTTGTAGAAAATGCAGTTGTGAAGACTGATAACCAGGAAGAGCATGTCGATAAGTTGAAAATCGTGGCCATAGATGCAAAATTTGGTCAGCTTGCTTCGCGGTAGGTTATCTTGAGCTCTAAATACAAGCGGCAGAAAGGCAATATGATTTGCATAGAGTTTGTGAAAGGGCACCATCGGCACAACTCTTGGGCAGAACCTCTTCAGTGATTTCCTGGATTACTACGTTGGGGAGATATGGATCTGTAAGTAGACCTGTGAATGCCAATTCAGTTGGCCTTTCAGATCGTTCCCAGATCTGGAATCTTAGAGGTTCAAGTTCTGGTGTACTTTAATTGGGTATTAGATGCAAGCTGTTTTCGTCCATGTTTTACTGGATAACTTTGTGATCATGGAAGGGAAATCAAGGATGTGGGTTCTCAAATATGAGCACTTTCAAGAGTTGGAGTGAGCAAGCGTGCTTACTCATCTCCCGAGTCATGGATGCAACTCTTGCTATTCACAACTGCCGACTCACCATTCAACCGGTCTTGTACATGGAAGCGACGGCATGCGTTCGCATTCGCAGTCCTCTGCTGCATGTTCATATATGTAACTTTTGCTTTAGCGGGTCGCTGTCATGTAAGCCATTGCATGTAAACCATCATATTATACAGATTGTGATGAGATGTTTAATAGTAGTACTTTGGTAGGCTTGAGAAAAAACATTGATTAGAGCATGCGCTGGCATGATATGGATGAACGTTTATCATGGCTGAGCCGAGGTCCATAAATGCGAATGCAACCATTTAAAAATGCATCAATCATATGGAGATCACACCCATGTCAGTATAAAGTCCATGGTGGGATCGAGAAGCGCATGCCGCATTTGAATAATGTGAAGATTGATCAATTTGTCTGACAGTGAGAGCTTTAAGAGACACCCACTACGGGGATGGATTCAAAAGCTTCCATCTCATGTTCTCCTACTCGAGTAGGACTCGAGTAGCTTACTTCCAGAAGAATCCTTTGAAGAATCCTTTCATTAAACCACAAGCTATGGTGCAAGGAGCAGTGCGTCGGCCAAGCCAACTCGTAGGCAATAAACGTGCCATGGCCCACAGAACCATGGACATTGAAGGCAACTTTTACTTCAATGAAGCTGGCTTGCAAGTCGCGGCACACCCGCGTGCGTTGGCGAACTTGGAACTTAGCTACTGTAGGACGATTGCGCTAGATTTGCTTTTACACGCTCTACTCGTGGGAGCCCTTCGGCCCGGCCATCGGACGCCCAAGAAACTCTGTGGTCGGTACAGTACGTCAGGCACTTCCAGGTGTCGTTGCCTCAATCAGCCACATGCCGGCTTTTCAAAATTTCTGAATCTGTAATCTCTCAAAAGTTACTGCGCATATGCCTAGATGTGTTTTGTGGAACGAAGTCTCGGGAGTGATGATGCTCAGGAGTCAGCTGGCTAGTGCAACATCGGGAGGTTGAGACTACGCCTTGAAGGCGACGTCGGCAGATTGAGCGACTTCTGACGAGTTTCCGGAATCCCGGGCAGCGCCGCCGGGGCGCCCCGGCGACGCCCGGCGATCGACGCGGCAATGTAAACGCTTCCGAAGCGACGTCGTGGCGTTGAACACTTGCCCCCGAAAATACCGCGCAACCAGTCGACGCGAAATACCGTGCGAACAGTTTTTGCAAAATAACCGTCGATGAAATTTAGAATCGCAAATTGCCGTCGATTTTCAGCCCCGCCAAGTTCGGGAGACGCCGTGGCGGCGCTGAACACTTGAATTGCGGCAGCGCCGTGACGGCGCCGCGGTAGCCGGGGCTTACCCTTCCGATGAAGGAGCTTCGATCTGATCGAGTCGTAGCCTGTTGATCATCTGCTCAAGGGGGGATTTCCCATCACCTGGTGACATTTGGGAGGGGCGACAAGTCTTTGAGGGGTGATCAAGGTGTGGCCAGGGAGCCCCCAAGGAGCCACCAAAGAAAGGTAGGAGCTGTGTTCTCGAACCTGCAGAAGTCTTGGCAAGAGGCGCCTGCTACTAAAGCGGGTGCTCTCTTCATCTATTTCGCCGCCGCTTCATGTCTACCCGCAGCATTGCAAGTTTCTGGCTTGATTGTCAATGAAGTCCATGAAAAGCTGGTGATTAGTCAACCATGTTACCACCACATAGGTGTCATTAATGGTCTGCCATGCGCTTTTATCTTACGATCTGCGGCTCAGAAATCTCAAAGTGAGCTGAAAGAAGATTTCTTAGGGTGGAAGAAGTTTCTGGTTGTCAGGTGTTGCCATCCAGATCTCCGCTTTGAGGGCCTGTGCTTTCAAGAAAAAGGCTCTATGCTGGTGGCCGTTGGTCAACTGCAAGCGTTAGGATCATCCTGAATGCGCCACACAGATTTCCCTGCGTCTGTCTCCATATCTTCATATGTCAAGTTACCTCTTTGATCGTGGTGGTGGTAAGTTCGTTGGCCCACTTCTTAGTGAGCGGTCCCATGACGCCACTCCCTTCTTTTCTACATTACTTTCTTGCAATTCATCTATGATGACACCGACAGTTTCGTCGTTTTCCTTCTCGCCGATCGCGCCCCCACTCACCCCCAGAGCTCAGTCACATGAGAAAGGTCACGCTTTCAGCAAGCATCGTGCACAGGCATCAACTCCAGGTGTCAAAACCTTGCCTTTTCCTCCTGCATGTGCAGCGCTTCTTTCCGAGCTTCGCCAATCGCCGCGCCATCTCGGGGGAGTTCCTGACCCTTTGCACCACTGTTCAAGGGATCCGCATCCAAGCCAGCTTCAGCTTTGCCAACCTCCTCCCTTTCAGGGCAGTCCCCAAGCATAATTTGCACTCGCCCCAACGGATTCGCATCCAAGCCAGCTCCTTTTAATCATGGCTTGCACAAGAAAGGCCGCCGTCGGGCTTCTCACTTTCCTTGTAGCATCGGCCGTCTTGATATTCTTTCTGACCACTCAATCAGATGTCCAAATGCCACCCGTCGTCGTCCAAAAGCCCTTAGATGGCGCCCCGAGAGACCAAACCCAGCCGCAAACCAGCTGGTCAGGCCTGCTAACCCACCGGGATGCGGAGTACCTGCCTGAGAAGGGGGGGGAGTCCCCTTACTTCAAGCGGCATATGTCGGGCGCGCTCCAGGGTCAGCGAGTGTATTGGGAGAAACTTGTGCGGCAGGCATTGGGGGGAAACAAAAGGCGGTCGCTTCTGGCGGTTCAGAATCTGCCAATCAACGGGACCTTAGAGACTGGGTAAGAATCTGCTTCTTCACTTTCGCCAGTCAGTGTTCCTCTTGCGGCAGCCCAGGCAATAGGGAGGAGCCAAACAGGGTGCGTGCAAGAAAGAGACGAGTTCTGTTGGTCTTGGCTTTTCATTTCGTGCTGGAGGGTGAAAGGCCTCACATGCTCTGTTGTGCACACTGAGGCGTTCGATTTTTTGTATTTAAAAGTTTCCAGCTTTGATTGTACATTGGTACACTGCACCTGAGCGCTCATCCCCACAATTGGAAACAAATCATACGCTCTGCTGACACAGTCGTGCCCTCTCTTTCTTGTGGAAGCTTGATGTGACAGCTGCGCTTCAGCACTCCCCCTTCCTAAAAGCTTACCTCAGCACTTTACACATACTCCAGACAGTCATCATGTATGTGAGCAGCTTTCCACGAAAAATCGAAAAATCGAAAAATCGAACATGAGCCTGACATCTTTTTTCCACCATGAAACTCTACAGGAACTACTTTGTGACTATGCAGCTGGGCACTCCCCCTCAGAACGTGACGCTGCTCCTCGACACTGGCAGCTCTCTCTTCTGGGTCGAATGCAACACCTGCGCCGATTGCACCGGGCTGACCGAAGTGAGTAACTCCTGTGCACTGCTTTCCAAAGTTTGAGGTGAAAATACCGAGGAATGTGATCGAGGATTCTGAGCATCAGACACAGCTTCTGTTTTTCTTCAGGCACCAAGACAGTCTTTCGAGCCAAGCCTCTTTTCGATCCCTATCTCAGAATAAGTGGGCAGTGCCTGTATTGCCGTTGTTCATTTGTGAGCTTCAATGAGAACCGGCCTCCGATTCAATTGCTAAGTCGAGTCTCCCGTGTCAAGCTCCTGTGTACACAGCCCCTCTCCGACACTTACTGCTTGCTCTTAACTGCTTTTGTCAGACCTCCTAGCTTCAGGATATAGGGTCCCAGCCTTTGCTGTCCTTAGCAGTGAGCAATCAGTCCGATTCGGAGTCCCCCCTTCTCACCAAAAGACTCCTCAACAACTTTTTCAATACCACTCACCTCTTGAATAAGGGAACAGCCTTCCAGCGCCAATCGTCTTTATGCGCCTTCACTTGGTAGACGTGGTAATCAAGCAATACACTTACCTCTTACCACAGAGAACAGCCTTCCAGCCCCAGCTGTCGTCATCCATCATCACGGCTGGCTGCGTCAATCTCTCCAACTGCGAGTAGGGTTCTTCGGCAGTTCCACTCATGGTGGTAGCTCCCCAAACCCATCCTTAACCTGAGGCTCTAACCACCCCTTATCGCTTACTACAGAGGACAGCCTTCCAGCCCCAGCTGTCGTCATCCATCGTCACGCCCGGCTGCTCAATACCCCCAAACTACGAGTACGGTTTCTACCGCAGTCTTCTTCATGGTGGTAGCTCCCCTAACCCGTCCCTAACCTGAGTTCCTAACCATCACTTACATCTTCTCACAGAGAACAGCCTTCCAGCCCCAGCTGTCGTTATCCATTGTCACGCCCGGCTGCGGCAACTGCCCCGACTACGAGTACGGCCTTTGCGCCAGCTCACCCAACGTGGCAGACCCGTCGGAGCTCGACGCGTGCTTCAGCCTGTGCGCCGCGAACCAGAAGCAGTGCTACTACGGGTACTCGTACGGCGACGGCAGCCAGACGGGGGGGTATATCCAGAAGGACATCCTGACGGTGCCCAGCTCGAACTCGTCCGCGGTCTTCTCGAACATCACCTTCGGGTAAGGAGCTTGACTGATGATGTCACCTTCGGGTAATCGCGTACTGCCAACGCTGTGCGTGTAGCCTCGTGGTTGATAAAGAGATTATGGTCATCGGGTAGTGTGGCTTTCAGTATTTCGTGGTTTTGCGTAGCTTTCTCTCCTATCTCTTTGTTTCCTCCCTCCTCTCCTCTGTTGGGACCCGGGCAGGTCACGAAGACATAGCTCTTGGGGTCGGAAAGTCGAAACGTGACCTTATGATTGCTGTCAGCAAGCTGTAGCGAAAGATAAACCGCCCTCTCCCATCTGATAACCGTCAATGAGCAGGTGTTTTCAACATCACTTCATTATGCATTTTCGCGAAGCTATTATCCTAATCCCTAGTGCGATTATCTGGCGGCGATTTTAACGATCCGGACACAACCCAACTGATCGTGGGGCCCTCCATTTCGTCCCTGGATTCTAGGTTTAAGCAACTGTGTCGTGCAACGGCACTTCATTTCAGCATTTCCAGCTAACCAGATTTCTTCCAACCCCAGGTGCAATTATCTGGCGGCCGATCCCAACAACCCGGACACGACCCAACTGATTGTGGGGCCCCAAATTTCGGGCCTGGTCGGGCTGGGCAAGAGCAACTACTCGGTGCAAAACCAGCTGGCGTCAGCGGGCGTCATCTCGTCCACGTTCTCGGTGTGCATGGCTGGCGTGGAGGGCGGGGGCGTGTTCACACTGGGCAACTCGTCGCGGGTCGTCCCCGGGATGCAGTACATCCCCATGGGCACCCACCCAGAGTGAGACGCACATGCCTCGGTGTGAATGCTCTCTTACGAATTGGCCATGGTCCTTCAGAGCGGGTTTGCGCTCTCTTCTATTGTTTTGAAAGAGGGAGGAAAATGTAGCAAAGAGGGACGGGGTTGGAAATGAAATCCTGGCCAGTTGAGTTGCCTACATCGCCCGCCTTCTGTTGTGTCGCCTCGTCTTAGGTTCCCATGAGCTGCCCCTCCGACTATGCGCTTGTGGTATATCTTCTGTGAGCACCTCTGTTGAAGTTCGCTTTACCCTCTCCTTCCCCCAGAAACCACAACGTCACGCTTCCGACTATGTTTTGGCGTGATGTCTCTTGTTAACTATCCCTAGTAGTCCTCGAGCACCAACAGCTCATTGCTTGCGGGCTTTCTGGGTGCAATTTGTTGATCCTAGAGTGTCCCTCTCCTTTTCACTCCTCGTCACTCTCGCGGGCATCTTCGTGAGCGAAGCTATCCGTAAAAACCCTCTTGTTTGCTCTTGGGGGCGTCTTCTGTTACAAAGATTTGCGGTTTCTCCTCGTCTTCTTTTCAGGTAGTATAAGGTCACGCTCGCGGATATCTTCGTGAGCCCCATCAGCATAAACCAGCGTGCATCCTGAAGGCACCTCTACCGATTCTCAAACGAGTTCATGTCGGATCTCTTTATCCATTCTTAAGTGCTTCCCTCGTTTTCCTCCCAGATTATACAACGTCACGGTCGCGGGCATCGTTGTGGGCGCTCCCAGCTTATACTTAGCACTCCCAACTTATACTCGCGTGCGTTTAAAGGACCAAGTCTCCAATGAGAACTCAGCGAACCTCTTTACCGATTCCGAAGTTCTCTCCATTACCCCCAGGTTTTACAACGTCACGCTCGCGGCCATTTCTGTGGGCACCACGCCGCTGCCCATCGCGCCGTCCGTCTTCTTCCTGCAGCCGCCCATCAGCCGGTTCCGCCGCGCGAATCCGTTCTTCCTGCCGGACGCCATCTTCGACACCGGAACGTCCTTCACCATCCTGGCCGACGCGGCGTATCAGGCGCTCGTACAAGGGGTAAGTTTGCCTCAAGGTTACAGGGTTTCCAACTTTCAAGTCTTAGGGATGAAGGGGGCTTTTGCTTGTCGCAGTCTGCGTCATACAGTATCGCATATCGCCTTGAAACGGGATATTGATTGGAGTATCTGCTTCATGATGGAATGAAAGCGTGAGTTATTGGGATGTACATTTGGTTCGATCGTACTTCTGGTAGGTAGGTCATCCGTTCGTTATATTTGACCTACTTCCGATACCTGACCGTCGATCCCTGAGAGTGAGCTTGAGCCGTGCGATCGTGTGGTTCGAGGCCTTCGGCGTGCGGTCGGTGATATAATCGGGCTTGAGATGGTTTTCTCTCGTCTTAGGTTTACCGCCTTTCTTCCTCCTCTTCTTCTTTTGTGCCTCTTTCAAATTGCAAGGGTTCGTTTTCCTTTGCCAGTGGTTAAGCCCAACCCAGGCGTTGAGGGCACGTAAGGGTTAGCATTGGGGTTGGGAATATGGTTAGGGTTAGTTTAGGGTGAAGTTTAGGTAAGGATTAGGGTTTCACATTTTCAGAATCTGACTGCAGGATGTGTCTCGGGGCTAGGAGTCTTCGGTTGAAAGTCTGTCTTACTTGGCCTTGCTTCCTCTGCTCATATTGCGCCACGTGTCCCCGCCTGGTAGCGCGCCCCTCGTTGGGTCCCTCGCTCCCCGTTACCCAAGCATGCCCATCCATCTTTTGCAGTTTTTGAGGAGCGCTCCTGTGGGGAATGCTCCGGTCTACATCGACCAATACGGGTGCATTGGGTCCACTCCGGCTCAATTTGCGCCACGTGTCTCCACTTAGTAGCGCGCCCCTCGTCTTGTCCCTTGCTCCCCGTTACCCAAGCATGCCCACCATGTTTTGCAGTTTTTGAGGAGCGCTCCTGTGGGGTATGCTCCGGTCTACATCGACCAGTACGGGTACATTGTGTCTATCTCCGGGGGCCCGACGGGTAACGCGGCGCCCGCCCCGACCGCCGTCATCTCCGAGCCGGGCGTCCCGCGCACCAACAGCACCTCTGCGCCGAATCAGCTGTGCTTCAACATCCCCGTGAGAGAGTGAGTCGTCGCGATGTGATTCATTTCCTCATTTCATGTTGATTTAGGCGCAGGTTGAGATTGACCAACCCTTTGGGCTCAAGTGAAGAAAAACTCTATTTCCAAAGTTGATATGCTCCGCACCCGTACTCACCCTACCCAACCTCAACCCGTTTCCGGGCATGACCCAACTCAACGTAGCCGTAACTCAACATAGAATTGACTACTTCTCTGCAGGGACACTCGCATTGCAGATGTCAAGACTGCCTACAACTTGTGTTTGTTTTCGACGAATGGTCACACCGGTAGTGATTGCGTCTTTGTGCCTGACCTGTAGCTGTCAAGCGGTCTGCAGTTGGATCTCGTTGTGTCACCATGTTTTTGTCTGGCGTCTGTGTGTCTGTGTCCTTCTATCCTTGTTGTATCCTTGTTGTCCCGTTAGATAGCCAACAACACTTCGTCGCTCCGCTAGCTGTGCTTCAATATTCCCGCCGGGCAGTTCCTCCTTTAGGAATCAAATGTGGTTGCTCGATTGGATTCCCAGTCATTAAAAGGATGAAGGACATTGAGCGGCCGTCTGCTGCATCCCGTGATTTCTTCATCTGTTACATGTTCTTCTCGGGCGTTTTTGGAATCTGCTTGAATCTCATTTGTCATGAATCGGCATCAGAGAAGTGGGCCTTCACCGCTCTGCGCACGTTCCCATCCATTCTCCAATTTCTTGTTGATTGACCGAACGTGTCCCCATGCTGATTCACGACTTCAGGGAGCACGGGAGGGCTGCATCCGGCACACTAGCGCTCGTCTCCTTTTCGCATCTGCCGCTTATCTATCCTCGATCTCCTTGCTGTTTCGTCATTCGTGAGGGGTTGTTTGCTCATCTCCGCAATGGACCAGGATTCTTCTTGTTTGCATTGCCCTCTTTCCATTTTCGAGCGGCGTTTCTTGGGGTGATAGGAAGCGGCTCCGACGTGCTGGGGCAAAAGCGACCGTCCAATGTCAAACTTGTAAGATTACTCTCATCCTCCTCCTCCTCGTCCCTTTATATTTTCTCTTCTCGTACTCTTTATCTTGTCTTGTAGACCCCGCTAAAGCCTCTGCAAACCAACGTGCAGGATCGGGCCACTTGGCCAGATTGACGTCAGCGGCTTCCCCAACGTGACGTTCAGCTTCGTCAACTCGGAGGCGCTGCTGACGGTCGACCCGAACGACTACATGTACATTTTCCAGTCGTCCGATCTCACCGGCTTGAACCAGGCGATCCTAGCGTGCCCCACATTCATATCGGACGGCGGAGGAGGGACTACCATCCTCGGAGGTATGCTCAATAAAACTCAGGAAAGATAATAGTAAGCTCCGATTAACACTAAAAACCCTAACCCAAAAAGACACCCGCTCCGCACCCGTACCCACCCTAACCACCAAACTAACCCTACCTGTCCCAGTTGGTTACCTTACTATTATCGTGGCTTACTAATATCTTTCTTGAGTTTGATGTATGCTCACGCTTCCTTCCTCGTTGCCTCCATTACGGAGGTTACGACTCTCAAAAGACGCTAAGGAACAAATACGGGGTATGCTCAGGCTTCCTTCCTTGTTGCCTCCATTACTGAGGTTACATTTCTCTGAACTGCTAAGGCACAAGAGATGGAATGCTCGGGTTTTCTTTCTCATTGCCACCTTTTTCGATGTCACACCTCTACCCTACTCTTTGGCGCCCAGCTCGACTCAGCTCTGTCTTTACGCTCCTCCCGCTTGTCATAAAATACAGCAACTTCATCGCTTTTTCTGAAATTGCCAAAAACGTCTCAAAAACGCTAAAGCACAAGACTGGTAACCTCAGGCTTCCTTCCTCGTTGCCTCCACTATCGACGTTACATATGTCAAAGGCGCGAAGGCATCCTTGTCAATGAAGTCTCATACCGACCCCATACCCACCCGTTATGAAATGGTTATGAAATGAAGAGAGGGGGACTACTCTATCGCTAACCCTAGTCAATGTTTGCGGGATCCTTGAAGACGCGAACCTGGAGTGCATTTTGTTCCTCTTCATTCGGGAAGTCAGTCTTTTCCGCAACCCGTCCCTGCCGCTTGGGAGATTCCACAGCAACTATTCGTGTATCACAGTCGAGGACGTTGCGCTTACAAATTCGGTCGGTATTTTTTCGTGTCGAAAGTAAGTGTTGTCACTCGTTGCGCAGAGTACACGATGCGGAATCACTTCTTCGTCTTCGATACGGCGGCCCGCCGCATCGGCGTCGCCCCCGTTACATGTGAGTCACCCAACTTTGCAACAGCACTTCTAAGAAGTGTTTGCTTCTCTGCTGGCAAAGCGAAGTAGCATGGCTTCGCTGTTTGTTGCGCCAGCGGTTTTCAGTACGTGCATTGTGCTGCACGAAGGACAGTACGGCTCGACGCGTCGAAAGATGATACGGTCCGTTAACGGTGACTGAGGGAGGTCGGTGTTGGGCGTTGATGCCTGAGGATTATTTCCCGGGAGCAGAAACAGGTTCCTTGGCAGTTGAAAGGAGAAGTGGAATCCGTTGTGGGTAACGGAGACAGGGGCCGTTCTCGATGCTGTCAAGAAAAGGGCAAGTGCTCGCTCCGTCGTTGGAGAGATCTCCTCTTTCTTTGCGGAACGCTCTGCCGCTTTGATGTAGAGAATCCGCCCGTGCAACCTCCGATTTTAGGATGGTTATTGAACCGAGTTGCTTGCTCATCTGCTGCAGGCTCAAATTACACATAATTGCGGTCGGGGAAGCTTTCCCGGGGCCCTTCGAAGGCAATCTGCGGGCCCAGCTGTGACCGGGGACGCGCCTCCGGTGGCCTCAACAAAGATGGATAGTATTTAAGCAAGAAAGCATTTGTCCAGATGGGGGGGAAACTTTTTGCGAGAGGATATAACGATTCGCAGGAGAGATGAGTTGGACTTTTCGCAACCGGGAAGCATAATTTTCAGAAGCGCGTGCTTCTCGGTCATGGTCGACTTGTCCTATTCTTCCGAGAGGGTGCGTATTTATTTTGACGGCAGCAACTCGTTGTAATAAGGTTGGAGAATACGGGCTGCAAGATGAGAAACAAAATCGTAAAGGTGGAAAAGACACGAAGGAATGATCGTCGTCCATAGCAAGGCACACCTTCTCGTCAGTGATATTGTGGCGAGGGACAGCCAGCGTTTTGTTGATGTAGGAGCGGATATACCGCCTTTATTTCTAGTTCCCGTGTAAACAGCCAGCTCGCGCTCGCTAGCCCGACAAGAAGAGCTTTTCCTAGGTCGTGCAAAGATCTTACTAATTGTGCTCACTTAGTAAAAGCTGAATATACACGGATCTTTCCATCCAGACACAGACATACATTGTTCAGACGCTTGAATTCTGTTAGTCTAGGAATTTTGCAAATATCTGCCTCCAGTTTGCGCGCTCGGACCATGACCGCATACCAGAGAACCTCCAGAGAACCTCCGCTCCCGGCCGTCCTCTTAAACGGCGAATCTGACGTGTATGCACTATCTGTGGACTCCACTTAAGAAGGCTGGGGTCGAATCCGACATCCAAATATGGCACGATCCGATCATGATCTAGGCGTGCACTGCATGACCCGTTGTGTTTTCAAAAAGACATAAGTTGCAGATTCCGGAAAGGCGAACCATACGTGTGTGCTGCCGCTCAAACAATCAATCCTTGACGCTTGTCATTCAGGGCATTTCGAACACATGGTCTTTCGCAAAAAGGGTTGTCCCAACGATCGACGCCCGAATTACGCACATGTTTTGCGCGTGTTACGGCTTGACGAAGCCGGTTCTCCTATCCACACTGACATGCTCTGATATACATGCGGCCCGCGTATACATTGAATCAAGATGCATGATGATCTGACACCGGTACGTCGCGCTTAGGTATGAAATGATACTATCGAGCTGACGGTAGACAACGACGGTAGCTGAGGGCTTCAGAGGGGCGCGCCGGTACGTGTGCATGTGCATGTGCATGTGTTTTGAGTGTATGAGTAATTAGTTAAGTTTGGGTCGACACGTGTGATCGCAAGTGAATCAGAAACGCATAAAACTGAGAAAAATGTGGTTTACCCGGCCTCCGCTGCTCACTGAGGGTTGACAATGATTGCCTGTCAGATAATACTATAAGTTACATATCCGCCGCATGCTGTATACTACTATAGCGCCTGCGCCTCAACTTTTAGCTCATGCTCTAGCTCTGTCCTGCGCTTAAGCTTTCCTGCAAGTATCCTTACTCTCACGATATGCGTACTACTACGGTCCGCCGTATTCAATCATCGCTTCTAGAGCATGCTAGCTTAAGCTTTCGAGCTAGTCCTGGATCACCACTACGTACTGCAAAACTCATTCTATCAAATTCTCAGCTTATGATCAATAAAGGACTCTTTACTCCACTGCTCAGTCACGTCTCTCGGATGAAGCTATCGCTCGTATCGATGGATCTCTAACCACTTAAAGTACCACTTGGAAACTCGACTTCATAGATTAAGGTTTAACTAGCAAAATTGTTGACGCTACCTCCAACTCGCAAGCTCTTGCTGTTCGCCCTGACAAAGCCAAGTCAGTCCAAAACAGCCGACCAGCGCGCACGGCCACAGCTCGTGGCGCCACTTGGCTCAAAGCAGCTGGCCCATTTTAGTTGGCCCTGATGGAATGTATCCTCCGGAGTGATTTTCCAGCGCTCGTTTTGGGGTCTGCTTCGAGCTCCAAGACGTCGAGACCCCGGACGGCCTTCTTCAGATACTTGGGATACCTGAGATTGGAGAAAGTCGTCAGCATCGGCCTCAGTTTGGAACTCCAGAAGCCAGGCTTTTGAGGGTTAGAGCTCTGGGTTATCTTAAATTTCGAGATAACAGCAATCGGTTTGCAGACACCAAGCAGCAGGTGTGGGACTTTGCGCGAGCCAAGTTTCGGAGTACAGAGGAACCAAAGACGGCACTCGTTGCCTTTGACCTGGTGTTACGTACGATTCTCGGCATCCAGCTTCAAGAGAAATCATTTCCTTTCGGACAAAAGCTAGAGCCCGGACTTTCAGCCGCCCACTCCCGACTCCAGCACAAACCTTTGGCAAGTTCGCATGCAGTTTTGACTAGCTGATGACCAACTTTGGCTACTTGAAACACGATCGTTCATACGGTCTACAACGGACGAACAGAGTTGGATTAGGACAGCAAGAGCGTCCGTTCGGACACAGAATACGCTCGTCCGGACGTCCGGGCACCATACAGCTTACAACGGACAAACAGAGTTGGATTAGGACAGCAAGAGCGTCCGTTCGGACACAGAACACGCTCACTCGGACGTCCGGGCACTCACCAGAAGTGGTCGAAGAGGAACTTGATGGGCGCTGGGATGCCCGCGCGAAACTCCTTCTCGACGTAGTCCTTGCCCGCCCACTTGTACATGGAGTGAACGACCCAGGGACCCATCTTGGCGTTCCCGCTCAAACCTGCGGCCTTGATAATCTGGTCCACCAGCTGCAACAGCGGTTAAGGAAGGGTTAGAGCGGTCGGGAGAAGATTGGAGGGTTCAGCACAGAATATCTTGGGCGTTGCCGGTCAAATCTGCGGCCTTGATACTGTGGTCCACCAGCTGCAACAGCAGTTAAAGGAAGGGTTACAGCGGTCGGGGAGAGATTCAGGGTTGTTGATCATGAGGAAGACTGCTTTAGTAGGGGAAGGTTAGTGGAGGTTTCACGTGGTTGAGGCAGTGATGTATTCAGAGCAGGGAGAACAAGAGGGGCCATTGTTGCCTATGTTTGTAGGCGTAGATGCAGGAGAGTCTTTCTGGAGATTAAAGTGAGTCCGTTCGTTGAGAAGGCGAGGACTAAAAGCTGCGGTCTTTTTGCGGAAAAGCCACAGCCGCTGTGCTGTTCAACGCAGGCGGCTTCCCTCATTCCCAATTATATAGTGAGACATCCGAGCGCACCAGTTTTCACCGGCCTCCATCAAAATCAATGGAATTGCTGCAGACCCAATTTGGAATATTGACCACTATCGCGAACCCACCTGGTGATGCTCCTCCTTGGTGAACTTCTCCTTGATCACCGGCGTGAAGAACCGCTCCTCCTCCGCGATATGCTCCCTCAGTTCCGTAGCCAAGTGGGCGACCTTCTGCCTCAGCTCCTCTGCCACAAGTCGCCTCTCACTCAGCGATGGTTCGGGGGCCCCCCGTTTGAGCGGCTTGAAACGCAGCTCCATGGCGCGAATCTCGTCCAGCATTCGGATCAGTTCCTCGTGGTCGGCGGCCATGCGCTCGGGGATGACGTCACAGCGGGCCTTGACGGCGGGGAAGAAGATGGTCTCCTCGATGTCGTGGTGGTGGTGGACCTGCGGGGTTAGCAATGCGGGTTAGCAGGTGGTTAACTGGTTGGAGAGGGGGTTGTCACAACACTTGGGTTTGCACACAGCTCTGGTCGTAACATTGAAGCGGAGGGGCTGCAAGAGGTTGTGGGAAAGCTCAAGTGCTAATGGCCCCAAATCCAGTTAGAAAGGTCACCAATCACCTAAGTACAGTACCAGTCGGCCACCATTCATATGAAGAGAAGAGATAATTACAAGTGACCATAGAGACGGCGGCAGCAGGTATGCGTTCTGCCCCTCAAAGTATCTCCAAACGAAGCAGAAGCAGATCGAAAGGACAAGCGAAAGCAGCTCCGAAAGTTCAGATCAAGGAGCTGGTATGCAGCTCACATTGGGGTAGAACCAGTCGTTGTACCACTTGAAGAAGGCCTTGACCTTCCAGGCCTGGGTTCCGTCAAAGAAGGGCACCTGCAGCAGACGCTCCATGCGCGCCAGGTCGTTGCGGATGGGCTCGTGCGGGGTCTGCAAGCAAACAGAAAAAGGTCTCATTCAGCTTCCTTGTTGGTAGCGTATGTGCTTTCTGTTTGGATTGCGACGGCCCCCAAAATCGACGGGACCACAACAACTGACGCAATCCGGCTGACCTTGAGCAAAGGGTGTGCATGCTGCGGTATGAAGGGACTTGAAATGGTTTCCGAAGCACGAGGGTGCTCAAGGAGTGACGCTGAAGCTCCTCAGCTAAGGAACCGATCCGCTCATATGCAACCAACATTGTCCTTCAGATTGCTTTCAGGCGTGGGGAATGACCCAATGTCTGCCCACTCAAACCTTTTTGCGGTTTCCGCTGACAACTGTTCTTTGAAAGCATATGCGGCCAGGCAGATGCACAGGCATCCCGCTTGTTAAAGTCGACCATTCAAGATTGAGTCAAAGCAGCGGACAGAATGCTGTCAGACACATGGTGCTAAAGACCAATCCGGTTACAGCAGCTATGTCCAAGTACAGGAAGGATTTGGCTGCTACCCAGGCTGGTTACGCAGACTAAAGTTTGGTTCATTGTCCAAAACCAGGCCATAACGATGTAAAATCTGTTTACTTCTCGAGTCTGGTCAATGAACATACAACCAGCTTCTAACCAGCCCGCAACCGACCATGGCTGATTGCCAAAAAATCATGTGAAACTCACTAGCAGCGATGCGTCTGACCAATGGGTGACAACCGGGATCACAATGGAGGTGGGGCCGAAAAATGCAGGCACGTCCTTGGGTGGCGCCATTCTTCTGCTGACGAACCCCTAGAACGCTATTAGAACTCCGAGAAGTTGAACACTCCAATGCGGGGATGCGCGGCAGCTGAATGTAGCTGTTAATGATGTCTGCTTTTTTAGCTGTTGATGCTGCTGGGTGCCGATAATGGGCAGAGCGCAAACTGATACCAAGGATGAGACAGTGTTTGTTAAAACCAGAACTGTGAGATGAATGGGTCTTTCATTGGATGCTAGGAACTGGTGAGAAAATCTGGCAGAAGGGGCTACTGTATGTATTGAGGAAGGAAGAATCTGGTTCACTTAGCGAAGATGGAAGCTTACTTTTATCCAACTTCAGGACATGCGCACATATGATCATCTTTTCAGGCCGGCAGCCCGAAGAGTCAGGAACGCCTGCCAACCAATGGACTTTGAAGACTTGCTTCCGTGAAATGCCGTTCGCCAGCGGTCGTCATGTGGATCGTGATGATCCCTCGCGCGGCATTCAAGTTTTGCCAGGTCATGCAACTCAAGTGCGAGTGTCGTCATTGCGGAAAGAGGACAACTGTACGGAAAATAAATTAGGTATGCGACTTTTGGAAATCATATACAGTTTTGGCAGCTGATCAGAAGAAACATAATTCTCAAGAAAGATAATAGTAAGCCAAGATAATAGTAAGCTCCGACTAACACTAAAAACCCTAACCTATAAGGAAACACCCGCTCCGCACCCGTACCCACCCTAACCACCACCCTAACCCTACCCGTCACAGTGCGGTTACCTTACAATTATCTGGGCTTACTATTATTTTTCTTGAGTTTCATAGAAACAGCTTGATCGGGATTCAGCTGTTTCTTTGTGACCGGAAGAAGCTTTCAACTTCCAAGGGACCGGTCACCGATCTCGACACTTTCGTTCAAATTACTTCTGGATTCAATCATTGCACAAAGCACACCCCAGCTGATGACCAGACTTCAGAGTCTCCGACCACACTGCCGAATACAGTGTCAATAATTACACTAGGATCAGCAGACGAGTCCTAACACTCACAGCCGCCGGGAAAGAAAGTGCTGCTTCCGCGAAGCCTCCCCAAGAGTCAAGGCCGAAACACCGAAAAAGAAACCATTGCAGACAGCAGCTCAGATGATTCTAGACAGCTGAGCTATAGAAACTGATAGTGTGAAGCCATGTGGGTTGAACATCTTGGGCACCCATTGACACTGGATCTTGAACCGTTGACCCATGCACTGGTCCGCTACTTCTAATGATTGCTCGGCCGGCATCCTTCTCTGTACGGCACAGCCAGGCCCTCAAGCTCTTCCGACCCGTCTACTTGCTACAGTTGTCAAACTTTTCAGCGCGACAACTTTGCACAGTTCCCAACACAACGTCTAGCAGTACGCTCGGGAGGAGGTGCTGACTTCCAAGCGGACGAGTCACGATCACGGACTAGCAGAGCATTTACTTTTCAATGTGAGATGATTGCGCATCCTTCTAAGTTCTAGGCTATTCATGCAGTCGGCTAGCTTTTGCCCCGCTCCTTCCCCGGTCACTGCCCGCTGTCATCTTCATCGTATGAGCTACGGTAGGGGATAGGTAGCTGTCGCATTGGGTCCACGTACTTCTGGCTCTCTGTCCTCTAGCACATCATAAAAGGCTCCGGCTCTTGTGCCAGTCTGCAAACAAACTGAGCTCCGTAGGTACGTCTCCTCGAACTCTAACCCAAAGCCCGTAAACGTCCTTCCTCTCCCTTCACTCTCTCCAGAATAAGCTTCAAAAGGCAAGTGTCTTCGCTCGGCTCTCAGCAACCTCGGCATCCCGGGGGCTTCCCGCATTCAGCCTGAGCAAAGCTAATTCCACTCCCTGAAACCAATCCTCGACCCAGGCTTTCAAAGCACCGCTCGAAAAGGATGGCGCCCCCCAAGGACGTGCCTGCGTTCGCTGGGCCCACCTCCACGGTGATCCCAGCCGTCAACCATTGGTCAGACGGGTCGTTGCTGGTAAGTTGGGCGCATCTGTGATGCCAGCTGCTTATAGTAGCTTGTCTGAAAAAGGCAATTTAGGATGCTACGATTGGTTGCATTCTTATCATTGCGCACAGGTTCCTGTCGCTGGTATGACCTGCCTTGGGTAGCTCGCAAAGTTTGTTAAGCCTGGACCTGCCCAACTATGTGTTGAGCCTGAATCGCGTATGAGTCTATACATTTTCGAAACTGTTTGGTCTATTTAACAACAGCTCAAATGATCTTGCAGGTTGCTTAGCAGTCCCCCAAAAAACGAACACTTAAAGAAAGAGATGGACTCCGATCAGGGTTCCCTGCTGCCTTTAAAATAGTAAGCAATTCAAAAGACTTGACCAGGAAGCTTACAGAAAGGCGTCTCTTGCAGGCCCCGCACGAGCCCATTCGCCACGACCTGGCGCGCATGGAGCGTCTGCTGCAGGCGCCCTTCTTTGATGGGACTCAGCCCTGGAAGGTCGCGGCCTTCTTCAAGTGGTACAACGACTGGTTCTACTTTAATGTGAGAGCCCCCTTGGAGCTCATTTGTACTATTGAAGAGCTTCATGACTTCGCTTTGGCTCCTCTCATGCAAGCAGAACAGGTTGCTTAGACTCTTAATGAGCCTCCGTTCTGGCCTGGTGTTTGAAACGATATTCATCAAACAGCAGCTTCGTCTATGGAGTAAAAGATAAAGGGCAGCTCAAAAATTGGCTGTCCCTTGATTGAAGTGTGCGGCAGTAGTTCTCAGCATGTCAATGGTGAGTCAATTTTAGAAAGACGTTTTTCAAACTCCAATATCATGAAGACTGATCTGGCACGTGCGAGTATTGCTCACTCCCAGCACATACTTATAGTCAGTGACTTGACTCTGGTTAACTTTCTCCGAAACTGATGGAGTTCCAAGATCATTGCCACCCCAACCTCTTCACAGCCACCTTCTTAAACCGATATAGCTTCACTCGAGAACGTTACTCAAGCTAATCCCAGCCGGTACCCTGCTGACGTCCCATACTGCTAACCCCACAGGTCCACCACCACCACGACATCGAGGAGACCATCTTCTTCCCCGCCGTCAAGGCCCGTTGTGACGTCATCCCCGAGCGCATGGCCGCCGACCACGAGGGGCTTCTTCACATGCTGGACGAAATCCGGTCCATGGAAGCGCGTTTCAAGCCGCTCTCTTGCGGCGCCCCGGCACCGTCACCCTCTGAGAGGCGACTTGCAGCAGAGGAGCTGCGGCAGAAGGTCGCCCACATGGCCGCGGAACTGCGGGAGCATATCGCGGAGGAGGAGCGGTTTTTCACACCCGTGATCAGGGAGAAGTTCACCAAGGAGGAGCATCAACAGGTAAGGAGCTTTGGTGGAGCCAAGGAATTGTGCCATTTCGAAGGAATTGAATGTGAGGACTGGAATCTGAGAGTGCTGCTTGAACGATCGCCCTTCTGCCCATGTCCCTTGGACCACGTTCTAACCTAATCAGCACCCTCCAAAGTACTGGAGGGCTTCTCCCGAGCACTTCAAATACTCCTTCAATTCAACCTTTGCCTCAACCCCTTCGCAATTCACTCTGAGCATTGCCTTGTCGCCGCGGCAACTGATCATCCTGGGCAAGAACCCCTCAATAACCCTCTCAACCTTCCCCCGACCGCTCCAACCCTCGTTTCTTAACCGCTGTTCCAGCTGGTGGGCCGGATCCTCCAGGCGGCGGGCCTGGGCGGAAACCTCCAACAATTTGATGTCCTTAACCCTCTCAACCTCCTCTAAAACTAGTTTATTAACCGCTGTTCCAGCTGGTGGCCCGGATCATTCAGGCGGCGGGCCTGAGCGGAAACGCCAAGTTGTGCCCTTGGATCGTCCACGCCATGTACCGCTGGGCGGGCAAAGACTACGTCGAGAAGGAGATGCGGGCGACCATGCCCCTGCCCATCAGATTCCTCCTCGACTACTTCTGGTGAGTGCACGAGCGTCCGAATCTACGTGCTTGGCGTCCGAACGCGCAATGGAACTGTCCGCATCAGCGTGCTTGGCGTCCGACTGTGCGGTTGGACTGTCCGAGGAGCTTTCTGTCCGAATGCACGCGTGTGGAAGCGAGGCCGAACGTGCGAGGGACTTGTTAGCCAGGATGATAGATCTCCAACTGCTCTGTGAACTTGCCCGCTGTGTGTTCCAACATTTTTGCCAGCTGGCAAATCGGGGTGCTGCACTTCTTGCTCATTGAGTCCTGCAACATCAAAGTCGTCTCCTCACGCGAAAAGATACTTCGAAAGTCTGCGTTCACATGCTGCTTTTGCCTGGTTTGCAGTTCCACCAGCCACTTACACGGTGAAGTCTCCTGTCTTACTCATCAATCTTCCCACCGTATTCTCGAGGGGGGAACACGACGCACATGGGTAGCTCAAGAGGGACTGATCCGTTGTGCACCTTCTACAGGTATCCCAAGTATTTGAAGCAGGGCGTGGCGGGCCTGGACGTCTTGGAGTTCGAAGCGGACCCGAGCACGAGTGCCGGCAAGTCGCTCAAGAGAATCCACTCCCTGAAGGCGAACTAGGTTGAGGGCGCACCGTCTGAGCTACGTGGTGCTGCGAGCTCGTGGGCACGTGCTAGCATTATATTGTGATTATTTTGATTATTTTGATTACTATGATTATTTTATTATTAGTATCCGGCCAGGATGATAAATCCTGGTGGGCATTCAATGTTTTCGCGTAGGAGACCGCATGACCCGCATGCGGCGCTTGATTCCAAACCTTGAAATAATGGCAGATTGACGAATTTACGAAGCGTAGGTATATGTTATTTGATTTGTGGAGTAGGTAGATTAGATGTAAGGGTGCCATGGGCATGGCCGGCGGCCGCGGGTTATCTATAGGGACATAGTAACGGTCAATCGGTCCTTCTACGCAAATCTCATAGGCTCTAGCTGATTATAAAAGAGTTCATAAGATACAAGGTGCACAAACTCACATGCGATATTTTATACGCGTTCACTATGCACGTGGCTTTCGTGTATGCTATTTCAGAGATTACCATGCAAATTGGCCATGCATGCTATAATCATGCACCTCAGCAACGACGATCAGCCGACACCATCTTCCATGCACAATGGACGCGCATGTACTTGATCCTGGCACATCTATCTTATAGCTTGAGCGAAGCTTATCCGATATGTGACAAGCACGCATAAATGACGGGCAAATATACGTACGTGGCATGCAAAAGATGAGGGCCGATCGCAGACATCCCATCTGGCTTATTGCCATGCATAAGTACGTACTTGATCTGACGGCAGGGGCCGCTCAGCAGCTTTTAGACGCGGATGAATGCATATATACAGCCCGAGCATGCATGTGGATTATGCGACTTGGGTCGGAGGTTGGACGATTCTCAACCCGTGTAAAGATCGGTGCAGCTTGCAAGCACTGCAGCTAGACGTACAGACCTGCAAGCTTGCAGTCTGTATTCGCATCCTCAGATCGATTCAGGCTGAATGCCGGTTGAAGAGGAACGCGGCACTGAGCTGGCCGATGTACTGGACAAGCCGTCTTGAATGACTTTACCAACGGAACCCGTAGGAACCTCTGTGCTGTGTTACCAAAAAGCTCCTCAAAGAGCGACCTCACGATCAGTTCGCTTTTGTTGCCAAACCGGACGGCCCTGACAGGACACAGCAAGTGGCAAGAATTCAAATCCGATCATCACCGCAAAGTAATGTAGCTCACGATTTGATAGACTACGTTACAAAACGTACTCAGCACATCGCTGTCCTAGCTTCTCTGCAATGTATCATACCGCTACGCAGTTGACTCGTCCGCGCAATGCCGCCTAAACGCACTGAGAGCTGACGTCACGGGAGCCGTTCGCCCCCGATTGTCAGCGGGTTTCTCATATAGTTACGTGCCCTCGACTCGGATGTTCAAAAACAGCTCAATTCGACGTCCGAGTATTTCACCGAGCTCCTCCCGAGCCCCCAGAGTAATCTGCCTGCACGTCAGCAATCAAACCGGCGGTCAGGCCCGCTGGTTTACGAAGAAACTGACTGAGCTTCTGTTCGCCGTTTAACCTTCGTTCTGGGACCATGTCGTCCTAAAAAGGTCCGGACTAAATAAGACGACAAGCCGACTGTTCCGCGAAAAAAGGTGAACGGAAAGGTAAGCGCAGAAAGGGACGGGGCGCAAACGGCTTGGTGTTTCGATCAAATCCCTCGCTTGACTTATCGTGGAAACGGCTGGTCGCCATCAAAGGTGTCGCTCTGTGGTATCTCGAACAAAAGGTACGCAAGTCTCGGCGACGAACGATGTACGTTCAGAGGACCAAACAAGGGCTCCAATTGACAACCTGAACTGAGGAAAAGAAAAGGGCGGTGCATTGAGGAGAGACCGACACAAGGAGGACAGTCGAGAGGGTCACAAAAAGAGAAGGAAGATAGCACCAGAACCCAAAAATCAACCGATGCCCCCCGGAAGGTTCATTTCATTGGAGCCCCCCCGCCCGCCAAGATCGACTCGATCTTCCTCCTCTTGATCATCAATCTCTCAAGCGGAAACAAACTTTGATTTCAGACAAACAGGGAGGTAAGCGGACCCAAAAAGTCGCTCCTCGATGCCACCCCCTCTGCCCGCCGCCATTACTCTCCGACTTTATCGCAGAAAGCAAAGACACCTCCACACCGCAAGCACGTCTAGCGATCAGTGACGCAACCGGAGACTTGCTGTATTGCAGCCCCCCCCTTTGCCCACCTCCATCGCTTCGATCTTCTTCCGGTCCACGATCCGTCCCCAAAGAAAGGAATTGAACGCTTATATTAGCGTACTGACAATTCGCGACCCCTCCTGAGCCCTTCATCGCCCTCATTTTCCTCCTTTGTCACACTTACTCCCCCCCGTTCTTAAACCGTTCTACAACCGTCTAGACAAACGGTAAAGCAACCAAAGTGAGCAGCAACCAGAGACTTACTTTATTGTAGCCCCCTTCTTGCCGACCACCATCGCTTTGATCTTCTTCCGGTCGACGATCAGGTCCTGCCGGATCTCCAGCACGCCGTCACCGGATTCCGCCCAACCCACCGGCTTAACCACCACCTGGTACAAGAAGTGGTTCACTTTACTTTCTTAAACAATTGTACGTAAACACCCCATTTTAGCGTGGTTTCCCGTTCCTTCCCGTGTTTACGGTCAGAATGCGTATCTCTGCAATTCCTCGGGTTATCTGTCCCTGCCGGGAGGGGCTCGATGCTCATCATATGCTGTTTCCGTCAAACTTGCCATCGAACTTCCAAATGGCTCCTGATCTTAGACCTTACGAAGCCTAGTCACTGCCATCCTTCGGCTCAAAATTGCGGACCACAACTCAGAACTTGCAAAACTGCAGTGGCAGGTTTGACGCGTACAGCTGAAGCAACAGCAGGGGTAGGATTGCCAGCCTGGGATGGTAGGGTTGGTTCGGGTTCAGGTTCGGTACGGGTGCGGAGCAGGTGACTTCATAAGTTAGGTATCGGGCCTACACTTATTTTAAGAGTCATTAGAAGTCATATAAACCTGAATTTGCGACGACTTACCTTGTACGGAATCTCTTTGTGCAGCCGGTCCAGCAGGTGCTGCCGGACGATGTCCATCGCGCGCTGCTCGTCCGAAAGGTCCGTCGGACGGCCCTCGGGCAGCTCCCAGGGCCGCAGCACGGCCTGCAGGCAAGAAAAGATTCTTATCAATCATTAAGAACAGAGAGCATCATTGCCATATGAATGTACTGATGTCATTGGATCTTTAACAGTCCATTTCGTAATTCTGGATCTGGGAGCTCTATCTAAGGAGTACCATTTCGACATCATAACGTGCTTTCTCATTCAAGATTTGATGTTTGAGTTTGCAACCCTCCTCTTTTCCTTCTGCTTTATGTTCAGCAGGATAACCGAGGGTGTGCTTTCCGTTCGATTATGTAACTCCGCGAAGCGGTTGAAAAAAGTCGCGTGACCCTTCCGCTCGTCTCTGGACGCAAAGAGACCGCACTGTCTCTAACAGCAGCGATTCTGAGGCACAGCAAGTTGCAAAACGAGCAACTTTACTGGAAACCCTTTGCGTCCCTCAAAAGCTGGCACGTACGGATACCTCTCAAGGAAACGAGAAGCCATCCCTACGTCCGAGTAAAGTCAGGAATGCTCCTTGAAGCGACTGTCGTATGCTTCCAGACAAGCAACTCACGTTCTTTCGGAGGTAGCGGTACAGCTGCTTGAGCCCCAGCCCGCGCTTCCCTGACGTCACGAAGCACCTGCACAAAGAGTGGTACACGTCAGCAAACCTCCCCCAATCTTTCCTTTTCTTCGGGTGAATTCGCCGATCCGATCCGATCCGATCGCCGGCCGAGCTTACGTATGATCGAACAGCAACTCTCACAAACGGCTTACTATAAACTCGCCTTAACCCACTCTCACCGTCCTTCGACTGCTACCAAAAGTCAATTCACCTCACTGCATCATAGCCCTACCTCGTCCCAACCCTCCCCTTAACTTCGTTCGTGACCAATTTGCTTTTAGCCTGTTAAACAAGTGCAGCGTCATCAAAGCTCGCGCAGCTCCTCCACTTCGGACAGTCCGCACCGGACGACGTTTCGTCTTAAGCCTCAGCCTGAATTCGCCTCACAACCTTCCCCTAATCGCGGCCATAACCGCCCTGCTTACCTGTCAAAGGCGTGCAGCGCCGTCAAAAGCTCGCGCAGCTTCCAGTCTCCGACGGTCCGCACATCCCGTGTCGTCCACCTAACCGGTTTGCAAACCTCACCCAAACTTTGTTTTTAAACCTCAACGTCACCCTCCTGCTTACCTGTCAAACGCGTGCAGCATCATCAGCCGCTCGCACAGCTCCTCCAGTTTCGGACGGTCCGCACGCCCGACGGCGTCCACCTTGTTCAGCACAAGCGCGTGCTTCTGACCGGTCGGCAACTGCTCGCCTAGCTTGGCAATCATGCGAGGGATCCGCGGATCCGGCCTGCGTTAACACAATTCGGACGGTCAAAATCTGGGCGCATAAGTAAAGCCGTCAGACGGTCTATGATCACTTCGACCTACATTTGAACCGTCCGCATAGAGAGTTTGGACCGTCCGGAAATAGCTCGCCAGCTTGGCAACCATAAGCGGTATTCATGGATCAAGCCTGCCAAGGTCCGGACGGTCCGCAACTACTGCACTTGTAATCGGACCGTTCGCAAAGAGAAAGCAAAATTTGGACCGTTGACAGAGCTTGTCAGATTGCCCTTCAGTGAGACAAGCTCGGGTCCAGTGGCAAAACAGGGAGGGTTTGGGCAGTCTAGCGCGCACTTGATAGAAAGAATCAAATACCGGACCGTCCACAACAAAGAGACATCTCCCGTGCCACTCGTTACAGAATATTCCCTCAGCTTTCTTTTTCCATGCTCGTCGACCACGACAACGACGGGACGGCAGTCCACCTCCGCTCTTTGCGCCCACTTCGCTCTCACCCCTCTGCGCTTTTTACACTTTCCTAAAAACCAAACATACTGAGACAAAAACAATAGGCTCAGCTGAATCCCAAAGTCCTGACTTCCAGAACCTTTGTTTCTCTCCTCTCGGTTTTCCCGCGCGACGTCGATCACAACAATGACGACATCGCAGTCCACGCCCGCCCTCTGCGGCGGATTCACCAGCTGTTGGTTCGTGGTGACCTTGTCAAAAACCAAGAAAAAATTACAACAATATTCACATTCCATCAAACAGAACAGGCTTGATAGCATCACTATCCCTCATATTCCGGAGTTCCTCACCTCTCAATCTCCCGCGCAACGTCGATCACGACAATGACGACATCACAGTCCGCCCCCGCCCTCTGCGCTCGGTTGACCAGCTGCTGGTTCGTGCTGCGCAGCTCACGCCCCGGGGCCAGGCTGGCGAGCCCCGGGGTGTCGCAGACGACGAGCTGCGTCGTGCGGTGCGTCGAGACGCCGATGATCGGCGCGCGCGTCGTGTTGGTCTTGGCGGACACGGCGGACACCTTGGTGCCGACCTGTCCGAAAAGGAGGGGGTTAGTATCCGAAAAGTGAGACTTTGGTCCAGATTTTTGAATCAGTGTGGCACTCGACCAGCTGCGTCGAGCCGTGCACCGAGACGCCAACAATGGGGGCACGCGTCGTGTTGCTTTTAGCGGACACGGAGAACACCTTGGTGCCGGCCTGTCCGAATGGGAGGGGCATAAGTGTCCGAAAGGTCGAAACCTGGTCCAAATTGCGGAACAGTGTCGCAAACGACTAGCTGGAGGAGCGGTGCGTCGAGACGCCGATGATCGGCGCGCGCGTTGTGTTGGTCTTGGCGGACACGGCGGACACCTTGGTGCCGACTTGTGTCCAAAGAGAGGGGAATAGCGTCCAGAAACGAGGGCTTGGATTCCGGAAATGGGAACTTGCAAGTCCATAACGGGGGTACTGAAGACCAAGAACGAAAGATTTCGTCCGAATGAGGAAATTGTCGACTGGAAACGTGTGGATTGTTGTCCGAAAAGGACGGATTGTAGTCCGAAAACGAGGGGATCTGCTATCCAAGAGCGAGGGGTTTGTTTTGAGAAAGCAGTGGGATGGAGGTCCGGAAACAAGAAGACTTATGCCCCAAACGGGGAACCTGACGTTCGGGAACGAGACGACCAATCCGCAAACGATGGGACGGATCGTCCGGGAAGTACAGGTGGTGTACCGATTTTCTACGTCAGAGCGTATGAACGACAGATCTACACGTGCTTCTCCAGACCAGTGCTCCGAAACGCTGATGGTGGCACGCAAACTTTGATGGTCTTTCGTTATTACAAAACCTACTTTGGAGCGATTGAGGGGTTTGCCGCCCAAATGGCAGGCTCTTGTCGTCCGAGAAGGAACGGAGCCGTGCAAGTTCGCACGTAAGTCAAACTGCTTCGTGCCTTCTTTCGAGGAGAACATCCTAGAATCCTAAGCACTCAGGATCCTAGAACCCTTAGGGCAGCCGACCTGGGCCAAAGACGGGCAGGTGGCTGCAGTCCCTGATTATGTCTTGTAAGTTCTGCGGCGGAGATTCTTGTCAAAGATGAGGGGTTCATCCAAACCAATCAACATCTAATATAAAAGCCCTCTCATGAGATTGTGTGGCGAGGCCACTCTGATAAGACCATGTTGGATTAAGGGGGTTGACCTCAATCTTTCACCCAGTTGATGTGTGTTAAGATGAAAAAAGATTGTGAGCTGTCTCACAAAACTGAATACGTTGATTAAGCGCAACCTGACCTTTGCAGCCTCAATTTGACTCTAGTTGCGTTTGTGAGATGTGAGATGTAGCTGTGAAGGCGTTAATTCCAACATTCCCTCCTCCTTCCCGATTCACTTCTTGTCGTAATTTCACCGCTCTTTTCAGCAATCTAAGTTTTCACTTTGCCAATCAATAACGCGACTTACCAGGGCATTCGTGAGCACCGACTTCCCCGCATTTGGTGGCCCCATAATTGCCAGTCTCAGCGACTTCTGCTTTTCCACGGGAACTGACGCCGAGCCCTGCCGCTCCTCCTTTTCTTCCTCCTCCAGTTCTCCCTCGCCCTGCCTGTCCAACTGAGTCAGCCACGTCCGAAGCTCCTCAAGGTCCGGAACGCGTTCAGACGCGTCCGAGTCGTCCAGAAAGCGATCTGAGCCGTCCGAATCTTCTGAGAGGCGTGCTGAAACGTCTGACCTTCCCAATTGGCGCTCTGAAAGGTCGCGTGTTGGCGCATTATCCATTACCCGAGCGTCTGTTTCTTCTAGCGTTTCTAAACTTCGGTTATCCTCACTAGCTGCTTCACCTGAACGTGCGGAAGAGCTTCGTGTCTGAATGTCAGTGCTTTTTTGCTGGGTCAGCTGATCCGATTCTGCCCCCCAAGGGCTCGTTCCGTCTGCACTGGATATTCTTGCTCTGCTCCCGGTTGACTGGGCTTCTTCCTCAATCCTAACAGCACCCGACAACCTCCCCGCAAAATCCCTCCCCTCCCCCTCAAAAGAGTCAAGCCCTCTCTCAGAAGTACTCGCTTCTTGACAGCTGCTGTCCAATCGGTTGCCGCTTTCCAAACCTTGCTCAGAGAACACCCCCGGCACTGTCTGAGACTCCTCTTGTACAGCTTCTCCCACCGATCGCCCTATCGCACCAGTCTGAATGCCATCAGTCGTACCTCGGACACTCTCAGCGATGTCCTGGGCGCCATCTACACTCTCTTGCTCTGCAGCAGACTGTCTGAAACCTTCGTCGACGTCAGGAGCCACTTCGTTCCACAGGTCGCCTGTCAGAGCCGCCCCTTGCCGCACCTGAAACCGTCCGCTCCAAGGGGCCTCTTTGTGCACCCCAAACCCGAGCCGCCGCGGTTGTGTCCCGCCCCCTAGTTGCCCCCCTTGCCTTCTCACAGAGCTCTCCCTTGTTGTTGCTACTCCAGCCTTCGCCCCGTCAGGTTTTGGTCGAGCTTTTACTCCACCTGCATTAAGTTGAAATTTTTCCCTTTTAACGAGCTTTGACTGCACTTCCGCCTCACGCTTTGCTTCCGTAGCCCCCGTGCTTTTTAATCCCCCTGCCTTACCTGCAATTTGTTCTCCTTTCCGCCGCCCTTCATCGATGTGCGCTGCGTTCTTCCCCACCGCACGCGCCCTTGTCTCGACCACCCCCTTTTTCGCACTTTCCCGATTCTCCACTACAGCACCACCTTCTGCTCTCATAGCTTTTGGACCTCGCACCCGCTCATCGTTCCCAGTATGCCCCACCGATTCCCTCTCCCTTTCCGCCAACTCTTCCGCCCTCTGCAGAGCCCATCTAATTTCATCCGCCCCGAGCGCCGCACTCTCTTCCGACCTCAGCAGGGGGTTCCAACCCCACTCATCTTCGGCCCCCCTCCGCGCAGCTTTGTTCCTAAAGCCAAGCGCCGCCGAACCATGCAACGTCCTGCATTGGGAAAGCAGCTCGCCAACAAAGCCTGTGCTGCCGCACTCTAGCTTGCCTGCAGGCCAAGCTGCTGTCAAGAGGCCCTGTCTGGTGGACCCTGAGCGCAGCCAAGCCCAAAGGGGCCCCAGTGCCATCCTGAGGAGTGTACGCTCACCGCTCAGCCTGCCTGCAGGAAGCCAAATCCCAGCATTGTCAATGCCAACAAGCTCACTTTATCTTACAAACTTTCACAATGTTTTGACTGCGTCCATGATCACATCATGGAAGACCTCCTGAAGAGCACCAGGCAAGCTACTAGGAGAGTCGCCTTGTTTTAGCCTTGCTCAACCGTTTCCTTTAAGCCTGTCTCTGTAACCGGTTCACGCCTTGCCAAAGGCGACTCGAAGGGGTTTACGTTTCGATCAAGGACTTCAAGGACGACTCAACCTGGTTTGCAAGGTTACAGCAAGCTAGTTGAAGATACCTACACTCGTGAGAGATCAGCAGGAGACATTCGCACCTGACCTTGTGCAGGTGACTTCAAGCACAGCCGCAGTGCTATCCTCATGTTCCATCCAGGCAGGTTTGGGGCCTTGAGTATCTCGCGACCTTCCTTCCAGGTTGATGATTATCGTCCCTCTGAGAAGCCTTCTAGGACCTCCTACCGCGGTCTTGTTCTGTCAGCAGTAGGGTGTGGCCTTCTGGACGGGCCGCTAGACTTCCAGGTTGGTTACGACAACAGCCAACAGCCCCCCTCCAGGTTTCAATTCTGGTTGTTCAAGGACAGGAATAGACCTAGTGTCCGCGCTGAGCTCAGGAGTGTAACTCGTAGAGTACCCCTCCCAGTCTACGTCCTGCCTCACATTACAAAAGAGGAGTTCCTGAGGGTACTGGAGAAGCTGACACCCCCTGTCCAGCTCGTAGAGGGGATTTCCGCCGTTATCGGAAGAACCTTCGAAGCCCGTGCAGGTGTGTTGGCTAACAAGACATGAAGCAGCCGTTGCGCATCGCTCTTCTTCACGACAGCCAAAGCGGAGCCTGGGTCTTCAGAGATCTGGAGGGGCTGGGGATCATCGGCGAGGCGGTATCAGTGGACGGCGCACTCAGCAGCGCAAGAGCGATAGCGGCTTCGCTGCTCAGAGAGCATCCCGAGATCTCGCGTGACCTCGACTTCCAGTCCTGTCCTGCCGGCTGGACAATTGATGATGCATATTGGGTAAGCAGTTGTGTCAGGAGGAAAGAGCCTTGTCAAAGAGAGTTGTTATACTTCTTCAAGCGCTGCTTGCTTAGACGCAGGCAGATACTTACTCAGACTGAATTCCGCATTGCTGAAACTCTGGTGCAAGGAGTCCATTCGTTGTAGGATGCACCAGGTTGCCAACCTCATTGGATTTGGATCTCCAGCGGCAGACTCCCTGAACTGGATAGGGTTTCTGTCATCGTGCAGCCCGTGGAGGCTGCTAGCACTCCGGAAACCATGGATCGGCGACAGCTTGGCAATGGTGAATCTCACAGTCATCTCTTGTGGAGTTGGTCTCATCTGTCAAGGGTCTTGCCATTTGCTTCAAGCAGCAGGCATTTTGGGGCTTCTTTGTTCAGCATGTCCTGAAAGCATTGCTGTCAAACTTGAGCTGCAGCTTGAAAGGATCCTGGTTAACTTCTGCTGATCCCACTTGTGCTCAGTCACTGAAGTTTGTTGTGCAGTTGCGTTCCCTCAAGAAGAGCGCCTGCCTTAGAGCCTGGTAGGTATCACTCTCGATGTCACTGCTCCTGGGAATGCAAGCTCAAGAACTGCCGTTGGAGACATAAGGTGCATTTGTCAAGTGCTTCACTTACTGCCGTCCTGCGTCACAATGTTCTTGATTGTTCTTCATGTCATCCTTGCAGGAGAGCGCAACAGCGAACGGTAAGGTCACCATGTTACTTCTCTGTAGCAGACTATTCCTAGTGACTCAGTTTGGTCCTGCCTCAGACCTTGCTTGTGCGGCCCTGCCATGCGCTGTGCATCACTTTATAACTTGGTTTCTTGCAACAGCGTAATTGGCAACTTCTTTCAGTGATCAGATTTGGCCGTCTTTGCGTATGGTTAAGTGGCAGGTCATGGAAGACTTTGTCCAAGCAGCAATGAAGATTCTCTCCAAGAAGCAGATTCTAAAACCTTTCCTCGTTATTTGCAGCACTTCTGGATGATGCTCCTGCCCTATGCGTCAGGGGGACCAAACGCCCCAGGTAAATAGGTTAGCAACATGAACAGTGTTCCAGCAGCCAAACGGCTTATTGCCCGGAACCGAAAACTGGTGGGATTGAACCTCCACAGGGTCACCTTCGAAACCCCAAGGTTTCGTGTCCGGGCAAAACGCCGTTTAGGAGATGTAGAGGGCTGGTTTAGGTGGGTTTCACAGCCAAACACCCATTAACCTTCTTCTAACATTGTTCCTAACCCTCCCCTCAGACCAACCGAGGACCGCAGCGGCCTCGGGACATCAAAATGAACCAATCTGGACCGTCAAAGTCGGGAAGTCTCTCATCTGACGGTGCGGAACATGGTTCACGGACTTTGAGTGGTGTTTGGTCCCCCTGCTATGCGTAGCCCGACCGCGCCGACAATTCGGTGAGTGTAGTTAGAAGGCTCGGGACAAGATTGACTGCTTTCCTTCTCACATCCGGTCATTGGTTTTGCGTTCGCGTATCTGGCCCTGCCATGTGTGCATGCATCACAGTGATAGCTGGTTCCTTGCAGCATCGGGTTTGGCATTTGCTTCTAGCAGAGGCAGTTTGCGCGTCTGCCTTTAGATCAAGCAGCAGGCCATGGAAGGCCTTGTCCAAGCAGCAGATTATGGAAGGTTTGCTTCCAAGAAGCAAGTTCTGAAGATGCCTTTGGCAATGTGCAGATCCTGTGCCGTTCCTCCCGCCAGAACACGCGGCTGCTCTACATCGCATTGGTGAGTGTGAGTCAAAACTTTTAGGACAACAGCATGGGTGCCTTGGGCCGCTTTCTCTGCATGCTCTACACCCAAAATTCAGAGCAATTCTAGAGCAACTTAACAGAAACGGGCAGAGGAAGTGCGCCTCATAGCGCGGCTGCTAATGGGAAGTTGATGTGTGTTGTGCAGCGCAAGTGCATGCCCATCTGCTCAACGAGGATACAGAAGTGACAGAAGCAGCGGAGCCCTGAGAATGGTAACTGCCGGCAAGCTCAACATCGAATCACATGACGTGTGTCGCAGTAGGTGGTTCTTGATGCTGAAACATGCACATTACTTGATAAGCGGGGTTAAGTGCCCTAGGATGGAAGCATTCGAAGTTGCACACCTAGTATGGCCTATTGCAAGTGTGCGTTTTGTCAATTCCGCTCTTTTTGCAAGCCCTCAACTCATTGTATTCCATGCAAGGTCAGGGGCGGAAGACAAACGGTCCGGGATGTGATAAGGAGTGGTTGTCTGGTCATCCTTGTTTCCAATAATGCATATGCGCAAAGAGTAGGAGTTTGGTTAGCGTACGGTTCATAGGCATGCATTGATGGAGCGCATCAACGATTATAGAGCATCTTCTATATATCCACTATGTTCTTGGGGCCACTTCTGCCATTTCGAGCCTTTGAATGTGTAATCATACTTCACTCATATACAAGTTCATGGACCCAAAATGTACAGAAGCTGCTCACAAAGGTGAAGTCTTGGAGACTTCATGCACCTACTCGTGAAGTTATACCTTTTGAGTTCAGCAGCTTGTGATGAACACGGCTCTTGCACCCTGATAAAGAAATTTCGGTACCGATGTGCAGAATCCAAGTGTTTTTAAAGACCATTTCGTATAGTAAAGACCATTCCAGACATTATATTGGAGAAAGAGGAAAAAGAAAAGACATTAGGTAGTTCTAGTATTGCTTTTTCTTTTGAAAGAAATCTGAGAAATATGTATGTAAGGTCACTGGTGGCTTAGGGACGAGGGCCGGATATTCGGCTCTTGTCTCTAAGCCCCCGCCAGAGTGCTCGGGTGGCCGGAGGCGGGTAACTGGGGGTCCGTACTGCACCGGCGCGCCGGAACAGCTTTCGACCTGCGGTACGGCCCTACTGGACAGTGGATCCTGGGGGGCATGCCCTGGCGCTCTCTGATGGGCGCAGACTTTATGCCGAACTTCATTTGGCTTGCTGCCTTGCTACCGCTGAGTGTGGCATTAGCGCGTTTATCGACGGTGATAGGAACGGCAGCTTCGGGGGGCGACCATTCTGCACATGAAGCAATGCAAAGGAAGCCAACTAGCTAGGCTTCTCTCCATTGGCCGATCAGGGCTGATCAAGAATTTAATCTAATGTGTAATTTTAATTTGTAAAAGAAGGCCCGGTACTACGAGGTATAGTAGTACCTATACCGAGTGCGTGCTGGCCGATTTTCAGGGTAAATGAGGGCCGGTTGCCCACAACATTGCAAGGATCCTGATTCCGTCATAGAAGTAATCCTCGGATGTGTTAACGGGACGCGATCAAACATCCAACCATCTATTTATACATGGCATGGAAGCCTGTATATGGCCTGCGTGGATATGGTACATTAAGGTGTGTTGTAATCAGAACAACATACTCCATGCATCTGTATGTCTATTCGGAGTCTTCACAAGTTGCTACCAAGCCACACAACGGGCGGACTTCCAACATTCAGATCTGCATGTGGCTGCACGTTAGTAAATGTCTCACCCGTCAGCTGATTCCAAAAATCGCCTCAAGTCTGAAGTATCTCCAACGCTCCTTATCCATTGGCCAATCATCGGATTGGATTCAGTGCTTTCAACCATTGCCATGGACAGATGGCTAGGATAAGGTTTATCGACATGGTCACACTTTGTTGGATTCTGAAGTTTACCTTGGCCCAAAACTCAAATTGAGCGACTAGGTTCAATTGTTATTGTGGTACCGGCTGCTAGACACATGAGCAATAAAAGCTACTGAAATCCATACTAGCGCAACTTAGACACCGACCTCGCTCGACACCTCTATCAATCGAGATAACCCTCCATATCGTTCTCAAAAGTTCCAACAGACCAATAAATTAACCACAAGCTCGAAAGCACGGTTCTCGTTCTACACAATTTGACGCGACGCCTTTCCGGCGCAGAAAGATCCACCAATGTAGGATCCGATCCTCACAACGTAGAAACGGCTTCTTAGATAGCGGACGAACAAAGAATGAGTCAGATCCCGGCCCACTCGAGCGACGACGCTCGGAGATCGTCGGAGGAACCGATGGAACACGAGCGCGGCTGCCGTTGAGCTATGGCGTACAGCGCAAGCGGGTGGCAGTGGCTGACCGCTGACAGCCACGCCCCGATGCGCCCAAAGCCGCTATCCCGAGTAAACACCTGAAAAGCGAGAGAAACCTACGCTAAGACATCCGCTGTGGAAGAAGCATCGCAACTCACAAGATGACGGGGTGAAGTGGAAAAGAGCATAATGAGCTTTTGACGACCACAGAGCTGGGGGTTGGTTGAGTTCCGTTCTCAGAGGGTAGAAGATGGAAACTTCGGGCAGCAACAAGCAGCCATATGCGTCATAAAGGCATAGGGTAAACAATTCTAGAGCGCAATATGCTGGCTCGAACAGAGAGCGAGTTTCGCTACACTGCCTCGGGGTGGGTAAGGTGACCCGTTTGCACTGCAGAGAAGATCGTCCAATAAGCATTTGGCTTAACCGCAGGTTTTAGAGAAAGATTGATCTCCAAGTGGCTCTACCTGTACGTCCGTCATCGCCAGCGCGTGCACCTGCGCCGCACCGAACACGAGCCCCGCGGCCGCCGAGTCGCGCTCCGCTTGAGCGCAGCTCTCGCCGTTAAGCGTGCAGTCCGGGTGCTTCGCGACGCGCTCCGTGTTCGTCAGCACTTTGTCCCCGTACCGTTCCTTGACTTTTTGCCGCAGCGTGAGGGACTCCGAAAGAAAATACCAGAGGACTTGTTGCCCCGAGCGGAGCCGGTTCTCCTCAATTTGTTCCACGCAGGCTAGGTCAGCGGCGGCCGTCTCGAGGGGGGTATCGTCGTCACCCTTGAACACGTGGTCACCGACCCTGGGGGGCAAAGAAGAAAGTTATCGTTTGTTTTGTCTTCTAACAGAAGCTGAACATTTTGCGGACGCATTTTTAAAAGTTCGAGAAATTGTCTAGAAAGAGACACCAGTTCAGGGGGCGTTCAGCTGTGCTCGATGATCCAATTTCGTTGGCTCAATGCGCGACACGGTCGCAGATACGCAGCTGAAGCAAAGGTACAGTACCAAAAGCACAGCACCAAGTCTCAGGTACGTGAAGACACGATCTTGTCACACAGGAACAGGGCCAGGTGCAATACTTCCATGTCTTAGCTTGAGACGTTACGGTTTGATGTGATACGCCATATTATCACTTGTATTCCCCAGAGACTTGCGTCGACAAGTCGATGCCCGGGCTGACTTTCGACAAACTATTCTTGGAGTACTATTTGATTTTCTTTTCTTCAGCTTGATCTGATGATACTTTACGACTCGCTCGAGGATATTGATGAGCCTGTCCCAGCTTGCAAACCCGCTTCTTTCCTTGAAAGCGGCAGGTAATGTTGACCTGCTCCAAGATTACGCCTTGTGTTCCTAGTAAAGCGGCCCATCTAGAGCTCAAACGTTCATGGACCTCCAAGCAAGCAAAGATACTCAGAAGGAACTTCGCAAGCGCGTCACTTCTGGGATCTACATTGCACTGTATATCTTCGGGCATTTTGCCTGCGGATTTAGCGTCCAAGCTTTCAAACGACAGGCGAGATGTGCATCAAGGCTTTACAAATTTTACCGAGACTGACTTGACGACCCCTTCCAAAGTTCCGCGGTTCGAGAGTTGGCAGCATTTGCTCCTCACCGGACCATAATCCCAATCTTGAGGGCGTCTTTGGCTCCCTCAAGCACGCTGATCTCGCGCTTCATCTCGGGCGAGATGCGGTCCGTGAGCGAGAAGAGGTAGTGGTACGCGCACGCAAACGCGGTGTCCGGCCGCAGGCCCCAGTCCAATAGCTGCTGCCGATGGAACGGGTTCTGCGGAAAGGGGGTGTCACGAGATTGGGTTATGTGGTTGATATATTCGGAGTATTGGGCTGGAATGTCAAAGGAGGGCCTTGGAATAGAGACGGTGCCAATGAATCGGTTTGTGCAGAATGGAGTCTTTGGATTAGTGCTTGGGTTATAGACACTCTTCACAATGTGCTTCGAACCGAAGTTGTTCAAAGATAGACCCAGGTGATGGGGATGGACACAGAACGAGGATTGTGCTTGAATGGCATCTTGTCACCTCACCTACTCAGAAACCAAACAAACGCTTCATTGCTGATGGAAAGGGTCTGAGCAGGGGAGAGACCTCGGGCTGTCAAATTATGTCATTGAAGAAATGTGTTTCAATCTTTGTTAAACAGACTGTATGTAGAACAACATACGTAAGACCCTGAGCTCTGGCAGAAAACCAGATTAAAGGATTCGCTCATTAGGTCTTGGTGAGAAGAATCAGGGTGTTTTGCTGACCACAAAAGGAAGCTCCTTTAGGTCCTTCCATCTGAAGCCACTCACTAGCTTGGCTAGATGTTGTCACACCAATCAGCATCAAAATCATGCTTTTTGAAACTTACCACCAATTGACACCTGATCTCGAAGAGACTTGGAACAACAAGCATAGTGCTGTGGATGTACCTTCAAAACCGCATCTTGCGAGACAGACTGCTCCAATAATCTTGCCAGTTCAATAACGCAGAAAGCACCTCCACCTCCAAGAAAATTATGCCCAGCCGTCAGTTTGCCTCGATCATGACAGACGTAACGGCCAAGAATTTCTGCGGGTTTAAAATTAGAAGAATCGTACAATGGCGGTGCGCACATACATTACACAACACGTGAAAGCAAACAAAACTTTCGACCAATCGAAGGCAATCACTCACATCAAAGAGCACGTGCGTGCGCCCCCTATTTGACTGGATGTACACTGTCTCTGCGTCCGCTGTCCCCTCCGGAAACTCCCTCAGATCCTGCGTCCGGAAGATCTCCACGCTGTCCTCGTCCATGTTCACCAATCCCCAAAAGGGGCCGTTTGGCTCAACAAAGTCATTTGGTCGTGTCCAGTTTATGAAAGGCGCGTCATAGGCTGCTTCAAACGGGGGCTGGTTCCCGTGCGTAATCTGGAACGCGCGCCGGGTCAGCAGTGCGTAGTAAAACTCGGTTATGATCCCGGTTAGCTTGTCGGCCAGGCCCGTCTTTTCGACGTACAAGGAGACAGCATAACGGGGGGGCGATGTTCCATTTATGATGCTGTTGTGCAACTTGGTGTACTCATCCTGCCAATTACCACACTTGTCGGCGAGCCACGTCTTGTCCCCCGGCCACCTCCTAAACCTCTCTTCATATTCCAATGCGTGGGCGCCACCTGGCGCGCTCTTGTAGCCCGAAACGCTCCTAACCCAGCTGTTGTCCAGGCTCAGGTAAACCACCGACCATTGGGAGGAGAACGCCAGCTGTATGTCTTCTATGAGCTGGAAACACACCGCCGCGCTTGCAAGTAAGAGAAACAAAGCGCACACGGCCCAGCAAAGGCGCTTCCGCTTTGCCTCCGTCATAGCGTGCTGTCAGCATTGCATCCCTTCATGATGTAAACAGAACTTGATGAGCAGTGGCGTTCCTCCTTGCTGATGTGGCGCCACTTGCAGAAAAGATCGATTCAAGAAGTTGGGGCTTCAACACAAGTTCAAGCCTAAGGCTTCCCCGCCATGGTGAGCTCAGCTCACGCGACCGAAGTTTGCGGAGGTAGGTCTGGGCACGAATTCCGGTACTGGTGGCGAGCGGCCGCAGGCCGGGGTCGAATCCGGCCCTGTGTTGCATCGTTAGTCCGACTTTGGAATTGAAGTCGGACTAACGAGCCACCTGGGGCTTGCAAGTTCGACTAACGATCAACGAGAAGCAAGAAGCTGATGCCTGAAGTCGGACTAACGACCAGCTCTTTGCCGTTTGATATGACACGTTGGACAGACATCTCGCGGTTGGAATCAAAGCAGGTGACCAAATGTTTTGTGGGGTTCCTGCCTTGCAGAACGGGGCACAAACAAGGGGGGGCAGCTCGCAGGCGACCGCAATTTGAATGTTTGTTTGGTTAAGCGCCCGGTCTGGCCCAGGTTTACAGCAAACCTACTTCAGTGAAGAGCAACCTACGGTACTTCAGTGCAGTGTCAAAGGCTCAACACACTGCACATCAGCTCTTGTCACCATGGCTTCTTTTCTGTCTTTTGGAAAAGCTGGAGAGCTTCTGACAGGTACCAACCGCAGCATGGCGTCTGGCCCGGGTCACTCTGCTGCCATAGGCTCTATAGGAGTCCAGACCAGCAATGGGGCTGCATCTAAGGCACCTGCTGGAGATGAGGCTGCCCAGTACAATCCAAGAAGCGAAGATGAAACATGTGCAAAGAACATTGTAGGTTGGTGCCATGATCAGGTTGCAACACCAGCTGACTGGAAAGATAAGAAAACCAAGCCTCCTTGGGTCATTCCTGACATTGATCCAAAAGTGGGCCCGTCAAAGGATCAAGCCCCTGATCCTAGGTATTGGCCAAGCATGAAAAAAGAGTACCCCAACCCGGTGCAGGCAAGCAGAGGGCAGAATGCTCTGCAGCCAAACCACTTTCACCTGGCAGGCAAGGTGGTCTATTTTGTCTTCTGGCAGTTCTTCTTTGGAGAGCTCGTGCCCATCATCTATTGCCCTAAGTGCGGAAAGGTGGACCGAGTGACATCGGATGGCTGGGTCGGTGTGACGGACAAGATTCGTCGCGTCTGTAGTGCAAACGGGCCTGCATTTCTCTTCAGCAAGGTTTTCCGCTGTGGGAAGGGCAAGAAGAAGGGGGAGGGCTGCCCGGGTACGTCACTCTCTGCATTGAAGTCCTGTCTCTTTTGATCCTCGCAGCTTTGTGACTCTTTGGTAACAGACTCCCTGGCAGTGTTCACGAACAGGACGCTCAAAGAGTTTTCTATCTTCTTGCGGTACGAGTCAGGCACTCCATCCGGCAAGCTTCAATCAGGCATTCCATCCAGGCATGGCTTTTCAGTCAACAGTTCTGGTTGCGCTTGAAAAGCTTGCTGTGAATCTTGATGTAGTCATGCTGGACATTCTGCAGTCACAAGCTAGTCTAAAAGGACGGTCTACTCGTCTGTGTTTTTATTCAGGCACTAAATGAGCTGCTTCGTTGTACAGGCAACGATGGGAAACCCTACCAGTTTCGCTCCCACGACGAGGGGGTCTTGGACCAGCTGCGACGACACTGCCCTGCCGTACTCGATCAACTCTCTATTGTCTTCACCCGTGGTGGGGCTATCGAGCGTAGCTTGCTGGACACCATGGTCCGCAATGTTGCAAGCAGTGCTTCTATTGCCGACCAGCAGAAAATGGTCCGTGAAGCGCATATGCGCACTTTTACGCAGCACAAGACTACTTACATCCAGTATGCTGCAGCGCGTGCCAAGCTTCGACAACAGCAGGGCGGTGCGCTCCTTTTCCCTGGACTTGCTCAGCAACCTCCCTCCGCCCCTGCTGATTTTGGAGAGTATGGGGACAAAGAAGGCTACCGGGGTTGGATACCATCAACGTCCTGGATAGCAGGTTTGTATGAACGTTTAAGGACTCCAGATCATTCTCTTGCTAGCCTGTTTGAATGTTTGCTCCACAGCCTTGCAATCTGGTGCCCATGATAATAATTGATGTGCTGCGATGCTTCCATTCACTGCTTGCTGCTGGTCGCTCCGATTGCGAGGACATCAAAGCATCAAAGTCACATGCTTCATCATGCTGATTAGATCCGGCTTTCTTCTGGGCTAGCGATGCAACTCGGTTCTTTGCAATCTGTGCTTGTCATATTGAGAAAGTTGCCTGATCTTGATCTGTATCTCCTTTGTGCAGGCGTCATTCTTGCGTCCCTGAACTCGCGGCTTGCGTTCCTTGAACGCCATCTAGCTGCGGTGGATGGGGTTTTTTGGCGGGGGGATCATACCTTCCAAGCGGCCTCTCGGATCCGCTCAGCTGACGGGCGCAAGGATTATGCAGCTGTCTACTCAATAATGAACGAATGGTCGCAAATTGTGGGTCAATGGGCTGTGGGGGACACCTCCTTCGACGAGTATGCCACCGGGATTCGAGATGTGCTCAAGCGGTATGATGACCTTGGATATCAGGTGGGTTTGATGTATGTGGAAACTGAGCTGTTTAATCATTGATTGGGCTTGAAGTGTACGCTCTTGTCTGACTGTATGATTTGATGCTGATCTGCATTGCCTGACCTATGAAGTGTCCTTATGTAAGTTGATACACGAGCATTCAAGACATGAGAGCCGTCCAAGTGGGTGTTGGCAGTCTGCTTTTGGAACACGTCCTGAGCTTTTGCAGGGTCTAATTCATACTTTTCATGGTCTAACACATACTTTTCATTGCAGCTCCCAAAGTACATGTGGGTTGACAACTCGCGAACAGTAGCCGCCCAGTTGTACGACGTTATCCCCAGTTTGAGCAAAGTCTTAGAGGACGCCACGCATGTCATGCGACGGGTGTTCGAGATTATTCCCGACGCCCATTCCCTCAAACGTGGGTCCACTGTTCAGCTTTATCTGTGCTCAGGACGCATTGATATCAACATTGACCGCTGAAGATTCATATGCTCTTGAAGTCAGGAAGCAAGTATTGTTCAAGATCTGTCCTGCAGTTGGTCGCACCATTTGAGTTGGACACAAGTGCCTTCGCAACCTGCTCAGTAGCATTGATTAAGGCTCAGCGCGTTAGGCCCATGCAAAGCTTTGGCCAAGCTTGGCCGAAAGGGCTTCAGCATTCTAGTGAACTTTTCGTTCTCCATGTGCAGCCGACTTCTGCCGGGACTACTCGAGCTCCATGTTCAAGATCCACCAGCAGGACAAGTGGGCTTTGCGGGAGTTTCTTCTGGCCGGAGGTCCTGGACGGCGGAAGTGGACACCAGCGGAGGTGGCAGCAAAGCCTGGGAGCTACTGGCGAGCGCGCTGCCGGCATACCATCCCCCCCCCCCAAGAACTAGTTAACGGCGTTGAAGCAGTCATGAAGAAGTATGAGCGGGAAACTTGCGTCATCAACGGTGACCCTCTCATCACTGAAGATGTCCAGCACGTACATCAGCTCCAGCTCCAGCTCATGCAAGAGGGCTTGCTAAGTGGTGAGTCTTTCAGAACAATTTAGTCTATTCTTCCTGAGCATTGGACTGGCATCTGCGCTTTTTGTATCACCTTTTTTGGGTGTGTTACAGCACTTTCCGTAGTCTGAGCACTGCCATATTGGTGGACCGCTGCCAGTGGACATAAAGTTGTGTGTTGTGTTCTGATTGAAGTCGAGTTCGGACTGAAATGCATGCGTATCAAGCGAAGACCTGTTCCTACATTAGATACGTCTCAAGTGCTGGTCAAGAGGAGACTTGTGTGTAGATGCTTGACCATTTCTTCGTCACATGCAGATCCGATGAACGTTGAGGAGATGTACATCCTGGTCAGCGCGCCTGGCTGCATGCCCCGTTATGTTGGGGTCCGAGGCTGCTCGTCGCTAGAGGGCTACCACCGCCACCTCAACGCGCTGCTGGGCGGGGGCAACTATTCTCCCGAGCTCGCAGGGGCTCTCATGGCCCTCTTCAACTACCGGTGGAACTACGAGTGCGCGGTTCGTAGCAAGGGGGCAAAAGATTGGGGAATGTTTGACCACTGGCTGCTGGAAGCGATGCAAGACACGTGCGCGGGGATGGGGTGGCCAAATCCGTGTCCCGAGTGGCGACGCGCTCCCCCCACCGAAGAGCGATTCGGCGTCCATGCAAGCCCTGTGCAAGTTCGGACAGGGGGCTCTCAGGAAGATGTGGGGGAGGAGCCGGAGTTTCTGGACCAGGAGGCCACCTTCGTGGAGACTATGCTGGAGGAGCAACAGCTGAAGAGCACGCAGGCTGTGGGTAAGGCGTCTATTTCGTGGCAGGCAAAATGTTGGAGTTCCGGCACAACGGTCATGACCGTCGAATGGAAAACGAGCTTCGGCGTTGTAAGATTGAATCCTCGTTTCCCAAGTTGCTGTTATACGTTGCTTTCTTTTCTCCTCTGACTCAGTGGTCGCTTGATTCTCACATGTACTGAGCAGTCGCGTTGTCTTTGGAACGTAGTCAGAATTTCACCATGTCGCAATCAAAACACTAATCTAGTCTGACGGTGCTGTACTGAGCTTCGCTTTGCATAGGAGAGTCGTCTGCAACGGTACCTAAAGCATCAGTCAAAGAGGCATGCACGCTTGCCTGATGTGTAACTACCATTCTGGTCTTCTCTTCTCGCACATCGCTTACAAAAGCTTCTTCATGCTTCACACATTTTGTGGTTTGCATCTTCGCATGTCTGACACAAGCTTGACCTTGGAAGCGCCTAACGATTTCATCTCGACTTTTGCAGGCGCAGCTAATGCGCAGCAACCAGTGGCTGCCGCATGCTCGCACGGAACCATCCCCCCTGCCCGCCCTACGCCCCCCACGCATGCCTCTCCGCCCCAGCAGGGCGAGCTGGCTGCAAACGTGCCCGAGCACTCCTGCCCCCCCACCGAGGACGGGCTGCCCGGAGCAAAACGTGTGACTGCGCAACAGGGAGGGCAGCCTGTGCCCTCGCTCCCCTCCCAGCCGGACGAGCAGCCCGTGCCCTCGCTTGCCCCGCAGCAGGACGGGCAGCCTGCGGTCATGCAGGCCGCGCAGCAGGGAGAGCAGCCCGGAGTGCCCCCTATTCCCCCCCAGTACGACGAGCAGCCTGCGGTCGTGCACTGCGCCGCGCAACGGGGAGGGCAGTCCGGCGTGCCCCTGGTCCCCCCTCACAAGGACCGGCAGCCCCAAGTTGTGCGTGGAGCAGCGCACCCGGGGGGACAGCCTGTACACTCCCCCCCGTTTCAGGACATGCTACCCGAAATTCTGCGCGCCGCACCGCAACGGGGGGTGCAGCAGCCCTCCTACTCCTGCCCCCCCAGTCAGGACGAGGTCGTCCAAGCCGCGGCGCAGCCGGGAGGGCAGCCCTCGCCATCCTTCCCCTCCAATCAGGACAAGCTGCCTGGGGTCGTGCGCGCCGCAGCACAGCCGGGGGGGCAGCCCTTTTACTCCTTCTCCCCCAGTCAGGACGGAGTGGTCCGCGCCGCGGCGCAACCGTGGGGGCAGCCCTCGCCTTCCTCCCCCCCCAGTCAAGACGGACTGCCTGGTTTCGTGCGCGCTGCGGCGCAACCGGGGGGACAACCCTCGCCTTCCTTCCCCCCCC